CCAAACAGCCTCAGTATCCTTTAATATCATCAAGTTATCCATTATTTATGAAATCATACAAAGTAATCATCACGTAATGCAGCTCTCATGAATTAAGCATTACCTTTTTCTGCACGGGATTTGTTACAGGTATAGCAGGGTTGGCAGTAACATATGGGATCAATCTGAATGTCTTGCAAGCTTCAGTTATATGGAACATATGCAATGCAGAAAACAAGATGATATCAGTTGAAAGAATTCTTCAGTATACAAAGATAGCAAGTGAAGCACCCCTTGTGATTGAAGACCGCAGGCCACCAAGCAACTGGCCAGAAATCGGAACAATATGTTTCAAAAATTTGCAGGTTCAAGATATCTATAATTTGAGACAAATAAACATACATGTTACTATACGTATGTTTATACATATAAGAAACATGATATTATATGTATGAACATATTACAAATACTAACATATTTCTTTGACTTACAATTGATTTTTTATGTCCATAAGCTTCTCCTTACATTTCTTTTACTATGTGCATTAAAATGTATGACAGATACGTTATGCTGAACATTTACCATCCGTGTTGAAAAACATCACTTGCACATTTCCTGGAAGGAAGAAAATTGGTGTTGTGGGGCGAACTGGGAGTGGAAAATCAACCCTCATACAGGCTCTTTTCAGGATTGTTGAACCAAGAGAAGGAAGCATTGTAATTGACAATGTGGACATATGCAAGATAGGTCTCCATGACTTAAGGTCAAGGCTTAGCATTATCCCACAAGACCCTGCCTTGTTTGAAGGGACTGTTAGAGGAAACCTGGACCCACTGCAGCAATACTCTGACATTGACGTGTGGGAGGTAAATATTTTAATCAAACAATTAGATCAAGAACATGAAAATGGAAGCTAATGTATATCTATTGTTAAAGTAGAGTAACCAGAAAGAATATTCACTGATGACATACAGTACAGTTTCTAAGACCAAGTTATGTAGTGTCTAGTGTGTTACTTGTAAAGTAGATGTTGAAACCATAGGGTATTAGAAATGCAGGAAGGAAATTGAGAGATTGGAGACTATAATGTGGTATGGAAATGTAAAGCACTAATCCTTAATTATTCTAATAATCCTAACTAAATAAGGAATCAAATCATGAAACATAAGGAAATATGGAAACCAGGAAAATAGGGAAACTAATCCCAAGAGATGGTTTCTAAGAGACTCTAAACTATAATATTGATATTATGAGATTCTTTTGATATATTCTAACAGTAGTATTTTTGTTTTTACTTTTTTTCTGTCTCACGATTAAAAAAGATTGTTATCATCACACATCAGCAGATTGACTTTTTTTTTTTTTTTTTTTCATTTTCAGGCTCTAGATAAATGTCAGCTTGGTCACCTAGTGAGGGCCAAGGAAGACAAGTTGGACAGCCCAGGTTAATTCGTCAACTCTGAACATGCATAATTTGATCATGCTTTTGGTAATAATCATTAATAAACTAAATGAAATGCAATTTTTTTTCTCAGTGGTTGAAAATGGTGATAACTGGAGTGTGGGCCAAAGGCAATTATTTTGCCTTGGAAGAGCCCTGTTGAAGAGAAGTAGCATATTGGTACTAGATGAAGCAACAGCCTCAGTGGATTCTGCAACTGATGGGGTGATACAGAATATCATAAGTCAAGAGTTCAAAGATAGGACTGTTGTCACAATAGCTCATCGAATCCACACTGTTATTGATAGTGATTTGGTTTTGGTGCTCAGTGATGGTATGTATATGTTTATACAGTCATGTCAGCAACACACTCATATTCTGTTAAGACGTTAACACTTCATGCGATTGGTCCATTTTTAAAAAGTCAAAGCAGCATTTAAAAGTGATCAATTTATGAGGCAAGTGTTTTGACTATTTAAAAAATGGACTAATCACAAGAAGTTTATTAAAGAGTGTGTTACTAGAATTTCTTGTGTTTATAAGCATTGATGAATTGAATATTCCACAACAGCACACACAGTGATAAAAATCCAAACATGGTAATGAAACTAGAAATTTTATGTTAGTATATGTGAGGAAACACTTAAATTTTGGAGAAATAAGTGCTTATTTATAAAAATCTCTTTCAGGAAATTGGCAAAAATAAGCAATTATTTCTTTAAAATAAGTTGAACCAAATTCACACTAAGATTGCCAAGAAAGTTGCTTAATATAATCTTATTATGTTACAGGGAGAATTGCTGAGTATGATGAACCATCAAAGTTACTTGAGAGAGAAGATTCCTTCTTCTTTAAACTCATAAGGGAGTACTCTAGAAGATCACATAGCTTCAACAGCTTGGCAACTCAACATGTCCAAAGCAGGGAATAATTCCAAGACTTAATGGATTTTAATTAATTAATATGTTGGAGTCAAAGGTAGGTGCTTCTTGGGACAAAAAGGCTCCATCCAAATTATCCCAACCACATCTTCAATAAAACCACCAAGGGATACATAAAAAGGGGTTCCTAATTCAATGTGAGATAACAATATTGTGGTACTTTTCCACAGAAAAAAGAGAACACTTCAAGTGGGTCTTCTTTTGATATATTATGAGGCATAGGCTCCAGTTTTGAGCATGAAAGAGTAAAGTGGGAGAGAAGAGAAAGGCCAACTACAAATCCAGATAAATCTCATCAAAGCATAAGATGGCAAATGGGGATATTTAAAATGTGTGTTTCATATCTATTTAGTTCTGCCTCTAATAAACAGCTCCCTAGAATCGGTTTTGAAAGTGCACTTTTAATTGGCCATATTATAAGATAGAATTAAAATCCATCACTCTGAGTTTGGTCTTATTTAGTTTAAAAATGCAATTCCCCAGCTTTAACCTTCTTGTTCTTACATTTTATTTTTAAAAAATTCTTGAAACATGATTAGGAGGAATAAGTAACATAATTAGCAAAATATGTGAAACATTAATCTAGAATCTGTACGTCTAACTTTACCGTTGAAAAACACCTAGGCAAAAATAATGAAATTATATTTTAATTATTATTTCATATAAGTAATTGATAACATAAATAAAATAAAAACAATATAACATTTTATATTATTGATGAACATAGAAAACGGAATCAATCATCACACATAATTAAATTATTATTTACCAAATAAATATTTTAATAAAAGTTTTCATAATATTACGGAAAATCATTCTCACATTTTAAATTAAATAATTAAACACCTATTTATAAAATACAAGTGGTAATAATATTTTATTATGTACATATAAAAAAAAATTGATATATGAAAATAATAAAATATTTTACATTCACTAAAATACATCAAAATAAAGTGACTAAAGTAATAAATTCTGGAGACTAATTTGATAGTTAAATGCATATCTAGAGATCACAAACATAAATTTCATTGTTTAAGAAATAATGGCAAACAAAGTGTCTGGTAAGATTGATAGACCCAAAAATATGAGCTCAATCAAAGAGAGGTGCGAGATTGCTACATTGTGATGGAGAAGTGTACCTTCAAAAGGGCACTTCAATAATCAAGTCAATATATTTACAGCAGCAGGTCAACAATAGTGAAATTGTATAGGTGCCTAATGTAGTGACTTTGGCTTATTCAATTTAGCATAACCAATTGAAAATTCTTAATCCCATAATTGTTAACCATAGAAAATCCTTAGTATTTTATGATAGTACGTTTTGGTGTTTAAGTGGGCCATTGATGATCCAGGAGGGTTAGCTTTGAATTTTGAACTTTTTTGAATTGACAGTGAACAACAAATAATTTAATTGTAAATAAAAGCTTCTTGTAATTTTCTTGTTACATCTAAGAAATAATATTTGATGTTCTTTTTCTAGAAAAAAAGAAAGAAAGAAAATCATGTCCTCCTATAATTGTTAACTAATTCATAACAAAATCTTAAAATAGGATGCTATGAAATCCATTCTCATAAGTTTTGACAAATGTATCTATCATATCAAATTTTGTAGTAACTAAGAGAATAATCACTTCCCGAACATAACCTAACATATTTAAAATAACTGAATTACATTGAAGTTTTTCAATTTTTTTCCTCCTCATTCATAGTTAATATCTAGCAATTAACATTTGCATTTTACTAAGCAGTTGTATCAAATCCACTTAATTTTTTTTAAAATGTCTATTAGACATGTCCGTTTCACAAACTTTAAATGTTTACTTTAGTTTGCATTTATCTTTTTAAGTTTTTAAAGACTCTTAAATGGAAATTGTTAAATTCAAATGTTTAAGATAGATAGTTTAAAAATATTTTCAAGAAACTACATTTCCAAAATATTTTTAATTAAGTTTTCCAAAAAAATATTCTCATAATTTAATATTCCTATAAATACAGAAAGCTTTTATAATATAAAAATACGAATATATATACTTCAATATTTTCAATTTTAAACTTGATTTACCATCTATCTATTTTGTGATCATTTATTCAAAATTTTTATTGCTAACCCACTTTTATAATCGCAGATTATTTAAGGTTAGTATCATTTAATACCATTATATATATATATATATATATATATATATATATATATATAAAATATTCATAGACTATTCAAACTGTTAGTTTAAAAATTCTTATCAAATAAATCAATGTCAAAGTTTCATTAAAAAAAAATTATTAAGTAATTCACAATATTATTAAATTTTAACAAGTATTATGTTTTTAATTAAAAAGTACATATTAAAGATGGAATAATACATCTACAAATGTCTAAAAAGTTATTAAGAAATGTAAATATCTCATTCTCAACAAATCCTAACTCATATATATATATATATATATATATATATATATATATATATATACAGCATTTATATTTTATATAATTATATTTTTTTTTTACTCATTCTCTTGTTATAATTGCCTTATATATTTTTTAAAGAAATAATATTCTCAAGAATTATTATATAACATTCCCAATAACATTTAAGACATCAAACGTAATTTTAACATTTTCAAAAAACAGAATTCTCAAAAACATAATTTCCAATAACTAAAAGTTTCATACACCAAACGTCTCCTTGAAGTCGGAGAAGAATATAGCCACACAAATCCAATGCCATTATTCACCATTCTGACTTCTAAAAACCTTCCTGTTGCTATCAGAGCTAAATAGAGATAGACTCCACTTGCCGGGTAAGAAGGGATAAAAAAAAAAAGAGTAAAAAGACACACGACTTCCATTGTATATTTCCAATATATACGGTATTTTGTACGTACGAAAGTCCCCCGAATCAGCTTTCTATAAGGTATCTTTCAAGTAAAGGTTTCACTAAAAAAATTACTTTACAATTCTGCCGCTTGTTACCGCAGTGTCATAAGCTGGAATGAGGATACCATTGATACAAATTGTTCAATCAATGCCCAAACTGGAATAAGGTTCAATTCCACCCTGACAAAGAAGATAAAAGAAAAAAAGAAGAAAACATTGCAAGATAAAGTACTCTATCCCACACAAACAAAACTACAAAATATTTAAACAAAAAAAAAAAAAAAAAAAGAAAGAAAGAAAAGACCAACAAAAACTAATTATTTGTATATAAGTATGCAATCATGTGTGTTTGTAAAGTCAAGAAGGTGGTCTCGCTCTCTATCATTTTAACTTTTCTTATAGGTAGAATGAGAAATAACCAACAAATTTACAGAAATATACTACTCACTGAGCAATCATCATGAACCCGCCATACGGTCTCTCCCAGAAGGTTTGCCACTGATAGGACAGTTAATTGGGGAAAATAGTTCTGTTCTGCCACTGGAATTGTATTAGTTATGATAACTTCTTGAAACAAACCGCTTGACAACCTCTCGATAGCTGGAGGACTGCAAAGGCAAAAATGATACGTAATTACAAAGTATAATGCCTTGGATCAGAAGACATAAATAAATGTACCATTTAGTACCATCATTCCAAAACATCCATCATAGTTTATATATCCATCCACGCAGCAGAAAAAGAAGAGAATGTTGGAAATCTTATCTATCTTTATACATGAACAAACTCGGACGTGGTTGGGTAGAGGGAGCTGAAAGGTCAGGTTCGGTCCCACACCATCAGGGAGGGGGGGAAAAGTGAAAAGGATTTTACAGGCTACAGCTTTCAAATCTCCCCAGGCACCATCCTTTTGCTAAAGGCTAGAAAAGGTTAGTAATACAGAGACAAGAGGACAAGGCAACCTGCAAACAATATTACAAATGATGGAGAAAGATGTTTTTGGAAGAGAATTTTGGGGCTGGAATGATAATAATGAGAGTAGGAGAGAACGGAGGCTGAAAAAAAGTAGACAAAAAATACAACTCCATCCCAAAGATACAGCGGAGAAGTGCAAACTTCTTCCCTAGTTACTATTACTGAATAACCTGTTATCAATCAAACAGGAAATAAGAACTACTCCAAACTGGCATATGCCAAACGCAAATATGCTGCTTCAGCTGACCAATGGATAACTGAATCAGGAAGTGCTTTAGAACAACTATAGCATAACAAACAGTTTAAACATCAAGAGAAACTACAATATGTTGGCCGCCGCAAATTGAAACAACCTGCAATAAACCCATTCCTTAAACCCTTAGTTACAGCCCTCTACATCCCTTGGAGATCATGTAACTGAAAGTGTAAACTAATATGATAAATGCTAATTTTTACTATTTTCAACGGGTATACTTACCTGAAGGTTAAAACTCAACAATTCCCTTGCCAAACTCTGCACTAACTTCAAACTAAGATTCAGGCTAACCACTTGCAACTACAAAAATAGCACTTCACTGGAACTTCTAAGTTCCCATAGATAAAGCTCAAAAGAGAAACATATAGAATTTGTTGTAATAAATCCAATCAATCATCAACATTGTAATACTTCTTGGCTTTGAAAATCAAATGAAATACACTGTAAATTGTGTATCAAGATAGGAAAAAAAGGAAAGAAGACAAGGGACATATTAGTTTCTTTGTGTTATTCCCGCCAAGGGGGCAGGAATGTGTAAAAGAGCTAGTGTTGACTGATTTCTTTTTGCTTAATAATTGGCTCAAGTTGCAAACTCACCACAGTTGTCATGATTCAAGCGTCCCAGTACAAATCATAACTTGAAATAAATGATTAACAGAATATAACAGTCATTATACCTGAAAACAGCATGTGTAGTACATGCATAGACTTCTCTTGCCCCTTCTTGATGCAATAGAGCTGCACCTTTGGCAATTGTCCCTACAAGACAAATTCAAATTTTACTGAGAAGACAACTTATAAGACATAGCTAGCCATACCAAGCTGAAGCAAAAGAAAAAATTAAAACAAGTAATCTAAATTCTTAGAAGTGCCTTGCAGCACTAAATTTTAGCCAAAAATAACTAATTAATTATACAAGTTAATACACAACTTGGGTCCTTGAAAGTGGCAACTTGTACTGATTTGATCCTTAAAAGCACATGTTTATACAAATCAGTCCTGAAAGTGTCAACTTTCTAACAATTTCACCCTATCAAGTTGTCAACATATAAAACAATTTTATCCCTCTAAGGATTAATTTGTATGTGTTAACTCGATCAACATATATGGTAGTAAATCTTATCCCACTAGGTGAAGTCAACTATATGAATCACAAAACTCATTTAACTCGATCAAAAACTAAATTTTCAAAAATATTATTAAATCAAAAAATACCTTTTAATAACTTTTAAGATTCTCTGGGGTCTCCCTCTACCCTTTTTTACCATATTAGAAGTTATGTAGTTCACTCTCTTCATTGATGCTTTCAAAGATTTTCTCTGCACGTAATCAAACTACCTTAAATGATTTTTAGTTATATTTTCCATTATAAATGTTACTCCAATATTTTCATGTATACAATAGTCTCTTATTTTGTTTTTCTCGTATGACCACTCATCCACCTTATTATTCTCATTTCTGTCACTTTCGTTTTTTTTTCTCATGTTCCTTAAAAGTCCAACATTTACTACCATATATGATAGTCATATTGCAGTACAATAAAACTTCCCTTTCAACTTCAATACAGCCACAAATAACTTCTGATATCTTTCTCCAATTGAACCATTCAGCTTGTATTCTATAAGAAATTTCAAGTATTTAACCTTGAAGACTTAAATTTATAAACAAAAAAGAACTCAATTTATATGCCCTTATCTTACAATTGTTTTTATGGAAAAGAACTCCAAAATAGTTTCCATTTTAGTAGGCTAAAGTGCTAAACAGGTAAATAGAAAAAGAATTTATGTAAAGCACATGCACATCTAATGATTAGTAGTGATTGAAGACCAAAGGAAAAGGCCTACAATTTTACTTCTTAAACTTAAAATTACCTCTTTGAAGCTAAATAAAGATATTTGTTAACCTATAATGATACAGTTAGCTAGTTTCTTTAAGTCACAAACTTAAAATTACCTCTTTTGGTATAATTTGGCACAAACTTAGTCTGTACTATTTACTAAAAAAAAGAAAACCAATCCATTTTAGTTCAAAAAATGTAATGCAAGGACAGGGAAGGCCAAAGAAAGTAATTGTATATGATTTGAAGCACTATACTACGTGATTATAGGGTCACGGACAAATTATCATTATTACTCTTGCACATCAAGAGTTTAACACAAACTCACCAGCAGTGTCAATCATGTCGTCTACCATAACTGCTACCTTTCCCTTTACATCACCTATTAAATTCATTACCTGCAAGACAAGATTCTCCAATCAAAAAGACAAAAAGGAGCTCCAATTCAAGACTATAAATTATGCTTTGTCATTAACTTTAAGGGAACAAAAGTGGCCAGTGGACACCCCTCAGCCGTCTTATGTATGGTTTTAAAACCCAAACCAGAGCTACCTGACCAGCCATATAAACCATGAACCTGCCTTGTTCTTGTTACCAGTTTGGATTTTACTGCAGAACCACTTTGATGATCAGAATGGATTAAACTGCCCCAAACCACTCAAACCAGTGAACCAGACTAAGTTCTGGGTATTGGAAAACAACTGCTTGCAAATTGGTATAGAAGTATTAAACTGCAACTAAGAGTTGTGTCCAAGCAGAAGTTACCACACATGGACATACGGGAGGTACACGGTAAGTGGTTTTAAGCCAACCTAGCTTCTTAGTTAAATAAACACTTGAATGTATATTTATGGTCAAATTACAAATTAACTTCTCCACCTTTGATCTGTGTTGAGAAATGCCTACAACACATTTTAGACACTTTCAAATATACTCTTTATTATTGGCTGAAATTTATTGGGAATTATAAAATCAAAGTTGTAAAATAGAGTGAGACCAGCATGATTTCATGATTTCCAATAAATTTCAACCAATAATAGTGTATTTGAAAGAGTACATTAGAGTGCATAGCTAACATTTCTCATGATTGTTTGCAAATGGTCCTGTGGTTTCAGCTCTAGCAATTAACCCACTGAAGCCTTTTGGTTTTTCCAGTTAACCAACTGAAACTTTAAACAATGGAAAATTACACTTTATTAGTCCAATTTTTGTAATTAACCTCATTAACTATTTGAAACTATAGGTTACATTGAACATGTAACTGGGTTAATCGTCAAAATTAAAAATGACAAGGGGCTTAGGGTGAAAGTTGAAGTGGGCAATTCGCAACCTATATTTGTTATAGGCTAATTTATTTTTTAATGCTTTTTAAATAATTATTTACTAAAATAATTCAAAAATAAAACTATTTCCATGTCTGAAACTTTTTGCCACGTCAGTGATACCACTAGTTTCATACCTCACATGTGCAAAACTTTTTTTTTTTAAAATAGTTTTACATATCAGAGGGACAAAACCTTTTTTTTAAAACCAGTTTCGTATATGGCACAAACAAAACTTAAAAGATAATGACACGTGTCAAAATTTTAAATAATTTCTTCTATACAATATACAAAATTTATTTAAAAAACATTTTAAAACAGTTTTGCATTTGCTGTATACGAAACTACTATTATATAATTATAAAAGTATACACTACTCTCTCTGCAAATTTGGTTCCATCTGAACCAGGCAAGCTGGCTCTGCAATCACAGTTCACAAACACTATTTACTGCACTCATGTTTATCTTGCACATCTTCACATCTGTTCTTTTATTGATCTTTTTAAACTTTGTACATCGATATATAATACTTTTTTGTAAAGTTTAATATATTAATAATATTACAAACTTTATATATTTTATTATAATTTTATATTTTTAGTGTATTCTGAGGCACATATTTGAAATTTTATTATTAATAATAAAAATGCTAACTAGTATATTTAAAACACTAGTTAATAAATAAAAATTTTAAAATATATTATTTTTTATTCTTTAGCTAAATTTTTAGAATTATTAAACAATTTAAAGAGAAAAATATACAAATAAAAATATCTAAATATTTTGTTAAAATTAGTTATTGAATTTACTATTTTATTTTTTATTGATAAGGTTCATTATAACTTTTAAACTATTCAAATATTCTACATATTTTATAAAGATAAAAATATATTTAAAATAACAATAATTAATATTGTCTTAAATATTTGAGAGGTAAATAAAAATATAGGTAGGTTTGGATGTGGGGATGGTTAACCATTGCATTGGTTTAGACTTGTAAAGTTGTGTTTTACGAGGGATGGTCCCTGACTGCATTGCTACATTATCAGAAGATTTTTACTGTTTTTCCAGCTAAAAGTGTGTACTTTTATAATTATATAATAGTAGTCTCGTACACTGCTTATACAAGACTGCTTTAAACAAATTTTAAAATTAATTTCATACACCATAAAGACAAAATTATATAAAATTTTGACACGTATCATTTTTTTAAATTTAGCTTATGCCATATACAAAATTATTAAAAATTATCCCTCTAACATGCAAAATTATTTAAAAAAAAAAAATCGCACCTGTGAGGTGCAAAACTTGTGATAACATGGCAAAAAACTCCAAACAGGAAAATAGTTTTATTTTTTAATTATTTTAGTAAATAGTTATTTAGAAAAACATTAAAAAAATAAATAAGCCTTTGTTATAAATCCACTTTGACTTTTAAAACATTATTTAAATTACTTCCATACAACCAATTATTTATAAAATTTGTTACCATTATTATAAATATGGATATACTAAAAGAAAATATTTATCTACCATTAAATTTAAGTTATTTAGTTACTTATATTTGTTATCTATACATAGGAGAATGTTAGAATAGCATATATATAGTAGAAAAGATGATTGAAAACTATTAATGTGGTTGGGTCACATGCAAAGAAAATCTTAAGAGACACCAATGAGAAGAGTAGATGACATGACTTTAAGTCTGATAAAAAGAGGTAGAGGAAGACATAGAAGAACTTCAGAGAAAGTTATTAAAAAGAGATCTTTTAATTAATAATATTTCTAAAAATTTAATTTTGGACCAAATTCAATAATATCATATAATCTATGTAGTCAACCTCACCTAGTGGAATAAAGCTTGGTTTTTGTTTTATAAAGCAACAAGTCAACAACAACAAAAGCCTCATCACACTAGGAAAGTAAAACATAACTAGTATTTTTGTCAAGAAAAGGATAAATTTTCTATTTAAACTTTTTAAATAAATTCACATGAATTATTCAATAACATTTAAATTGCATAACAATATAACACTACTTGAATTTTTATATCAATAAGTTCCTATGGAAAGTGCATTTAATATCATACATAAACCACATGATATTCTAAAACTTTCTACCAAGAATCATATAAGTCTAGACATATGCGGATAGTACATATCATACCTCAGCAACATTATGCCCATGACGCCTTTTATCAACAATAGCTAAAGGAGCATCAGACAATTTTTTGGCAAAAGCACGAGCTCTAGCAACACCACCGACATCTGGTGAGACGACTACCAAATCATCTGAACAAATAGTCTTGCTGGCAAGGTAATCAAGTATAACAGGCTGGTAATGTCAAAAAGGAATATACAATTAATCAATAAACCAAATTATTACAATGACAATTTCAAGGTAAGAACTTCTTGTTAATCTATAAATAAAACAAAAAAAAAAAATTCAATACAAACTGAATACACCATTAGCAGGTCTCAAATATTGTTACAAAAATAAAATAACAGGAATAAATGGAACATATATCCTTTCCTAGAATAGTCTTACATAGGAACGCTGCAAAATGGAAATCATGCGAGAACATTAATAGGAATTGAATTTTCTATAGAACTGAATGAAAACTCAGAGAACAATGCTATGATTACAACAAAAATAACAGCCAATTATCACACGACAACAAGAAAGATAATCAGAGGAGGATTGCCTATCCAAGTGATTGCCTATCCTCAACTCTCCCACTCCCTTCATATTCACATCCTCTATCCCACATCTTTGCTGCCACATATCAGATCTGTTAGGATTAAGAATAACATAATCCTCTCTCCTTCCTAGCATCATATTTCTCTCCACTACTTTCCCCATCATTTCCCATACTAACCCCACACCCTGCTTCTACCTTCTACAATACAACCTAATTGGAGGCCCAGGAGGGGGCCACCAAACATCAATTTTCCAACTCAAAGTATTAACAAAATCAAGCACCCAACCTTAGAATTCAAGAAACATCTAGTACAGAAGCCAGATAATTCTCATTACCACCAGTAATCACAATCATAATTACAATTAGAGTCACGATCAACATTTCCTTAAGCTAACCTGCCTCCACCGCTACATAATACAATTGTGTGAAAGGTAATCTGCACCATAATTCATGTAACACAACAGAAAATAATCAAGCAAAATGTCTGATGATTATTCAGATCAGATAACAGCCAAAAGGGGTAGCTTAAAGGTCAACTAATAAGAGAGAAAAATAATGCAAGTCACAAGAGTCCATGTGTGATGTGTGACTGAATAGAAAAAACAATTGAAGGTTTCAGTACATCTAAACAAAATTATCTTTAAGGCTAGATTTGAAGGAAAATAAAAAATTTAAATCACCATATAAACAGTAAATAGGTATGTTGCTAGAAGGTTCTAAATTCAACTTACAATCATGGTGCACCAATACAATAAAGCAACAAATAATTGAATCGAATACAAATTATTACAAATATATGGCATATTCATAGCATGTAGCCAACCTCACCTAGTGGGATAAGGCTTGGTTGTTGTGTATGGCATATCCATAGGATGTTTCTTTGTGTTTAACAGATCACTTATGTTTTTTATTCTTCCATGCTATTATGTACTAATGAAATAACCCAACTTCTATGTTATAATACCTGTCCATACACATGATCAACTGGAATATCAAAATAGCCCATGGCCTGCCCAGAATGGAGGTCACAAGCAAGAACACGATTTGCACCTGCTTCAGTAATTAAATTTGCCACAAGCTTGGCAGCAATGGATTCACGCCCTTGAGTCTGAAACAGTAGATGAAGACCATTTTTAAACTCAACTGAATTTGAATGTTGGACATTTTCAGTTAATTTCATCAGCCACAGCTGTGACCTAATTTTTCTATAGGATTTATTATATGAGTAAGCAAGGTCACATTTTTAGAACATAAAAAAACACATGAATCCAGCTGTTGGACTTTTGCAGTTGCAAAAATAGAATCTGATTATTCTAATGATTTAGATATTATTATTATTTTTACATCCAAACAATGTCACGCAGATACAACAAACGGCTTAGCATATTTGTACTGCACACAAATCTGATACTGGGACTCATGTTATGGCTGTCTCTGATTTTATAAAACAAAAAAATAAAAAAAATCCATTTTTACTGTCAGATACAGTCACCAGTGTATATTTTGCATTTTTTTTTTCCATCATCTCTCAAAGAAAAGTGTTAGATATGAAGTCATTCATGATCCTTCACACCTAACAGCTTATGCTTTTGGTAGAGTTGATGATTGACAGAAAAAATCTCCACTTTGGGCTTATTACCAATTGAGTCAAAGAAACTAATGCAAAGGAAGGAGGCAGTTATAACTTATAAGTACTGAAGATGATAATAACTGCAATAATTAGTAGAATGGGTCATATTCAAGGATTAAGAAGTGTTAAAGTCCCACATCAATTATAGATATGACTAAAAAAAGAGCTTATAAAGGCTAAAGCAATTCTCACCTTATGTGCTAGCTTTTGATGTTGAGTAAGACTTAAGCCCAAATTCAAAACGTAGCGATAGAAATGAGTATTATGTAATAAATCTTTTTTAAATATTGTTATCATTATACTCTATTCTATCATACCTATATCCTATGTTTTTTTAAAAAGTTGACAATTTCTGTGCAACACAGTTACAAAATTCATAAACAACCCCTCCCCCCCCTCCCAAAACACCCAAGGGAAAATATAGTGGAATGAGAAGAAACACAAAATTTTGTCTGAAAAACTAATATTACAAATATGTAATAAAGCTGGCAAACAGACCTTTCTATCAGCTCTAGCATATCCAAAATACGGAATGACTGCAGTAATATTTTTGGCTGAAGCTCTCCTACAGGCATCAATCATTATCAAAAGCTCCATAAGATTCTCATTGGCGGGAGGACATGTGGGCTGCACAAGAAATACATCGCATCCCCTAACACTCTCTTGCAGCTGAACATATATCTCACCATCAGCAAAACGCTTTATCTTAATTTTTCCTAGCTCCAGGCCCAGGTAGCATGCAATTTCCTATTTAGATAGATGCAACTAATAGATTTCAGTAAATAATAAAAGAATATGCAGTGTATTACATAACATTTCGAACATTAGTAAACAACAGAAGTTTGACAAAAAGCAAGCATTTCTTACTGACCAAAATATTATTTCCACTGTATATATAAACCAAAAATACAAAGGAAAAGAATATGAAAAAAATAATTTGGTGTTTGGGGTATGTTGTTTTCGTTTTCAGTTAATATATTTTCACTAACAATTACAAAAGTATCACCTTGATTTTGCATAGTTTCTTGTTTTCAAAAATTTGTAAGGATAATAGTTAAAACAACAAAATCTTCTTGTCACCATTTCCTTCACAGAAAACAACATAGCAACATGGCATATTTGTAATTATAAACGAAAATACATTAGCTAAAACTCAAACATATAGCAGATCAAACATGCTCTAAGCTAGCCAAAAACAATTTCAATTTTCAAGAAATAGCACACTAATAAGAGTATTTTTCAGAGCAATAAAACAAAAAGAACATACTCGTGGGCTACAAGCCTACAACTACAAGATAGTTTACTTGTAAAAGTGGCAGCAAAAATTTTCAGGAATTAGTTTTTTTTTTTAGAATTCTTCACATATAACTAAGGATTTTAATTTTGATGCAGTATCAATGTAAAAAGTTTGAGAACCATAACAAATACTCAAAAAAGCCAAACCACGTTAATGATGCAAGTAGAAGAAATTATCAAATATTTTTACCAGTTCTTGGAAAAAGCTTTCAAAAACTATTTCTCTACATTAATCTGTTACCACTTACCAAGCATGGGCTAAACAAACACACATTTATTCCTTACCATTTTATTAACTTCCCAAACAATACAACAAAAACTTTCCTACATTCAAAATTTCAACTATGAAAAACCAAAAACATCAAAATCTTTATGTTAATTCTATTTCATTTCGTCTATCATTTCATTACATATACAAGCACAACCTACATATCACCTTTAGCATTTCAAATTTTAGAGAAGTTAAATAAAAGAGCTTATAAAATAATAGAGAAGCATAAGTTGATTTTAACTAATGAAAAGAGTTTGATTCATTTTACTTCCATATCTTCGCCCCTCATAGAGTAGTTATAAAGAAATTTATCCTAATCGAGCCTCAATCTCTTACCAAACATGGGTAGCCTTGTCCTTACCATTCTATTCACTTCCCAAACAATACGCCAGAAACTTTCCAATATATAAAACAGAAAACACCAATATTTGAATTTCAATTTCATTTCATTACATATCCAAGCATCAATATCTTAACCATGCGTAAACCAAAACCAAAATTGAACTCTGAAAGTAAAACGAATCGGTTTTGAGGTTTAACCTGAGCCAACGCCGGATTGGCAGTGCCGGAAAAAATCCGAAGACGTGTGTCGTTTCTGTTACCCAAATCCTGAATACGAGCGTTTGGCGCCACAAGGAAACTCGGAATCGCGCTTCCAGTTCCGCTAACAATTAACTCACTCACACTTGGCCTCCCATTCTCCAACTTCACTGTGTCTATTGCTTTGCACCTCTGAAACCGACAAAAACACGTTTCGTTAATCATTTCCGAGTAACCAAACAAAAATCAAGAAATTTACTCGCCGCGAAACGTTTAAACAGTGAGAGGGTGACTTACGACGCCGTTTCTGAGCAAGACGCGAGAGGGAGGAGCGATTGTAGCAAAACGATGAGTGATGATCTGAGAGAAGGAAGGAGAAGAAGTGGAAGCGGAGTGAAGAAAAGTGAACATTGCGTTTGGACTCGCTGCTGAATTCGGATTGGGTCTATTTATATTTTTTTTCAATTTCTTCTTTTTTTACTTCATTTGTCTGCTACCATAAATTCAACATAGAAAGTATATCGGATTTCTTTATAATTTTTATTAAGTTATTTTTATTTAAAATAAATTAGAAAAAAGTATATTTTAAATATAAAAATATGTTTTAAATAAAATTTACATAATAACAAAAATTCATATTGTGTAGTGAGTATATTTTGTGATGTTATATTAATATTATAATATAGCCAATTTTACATTGACTCAAAATAATTGTAAAAAAAAATTAAAAAAAATTGTAAATACACATTTACAATTAGGACATTGCTTTGGTACTCTCGAAAAAGTTCCATTACTAATAATCGTGCTTAAATCCATTATTGACAAATAGTTACTGGTTTACTTGCCTCATTCAAGTTGACCCACCATGGCTTAGGTCAATAGTGAACTAATTTAAAGTGACTCGTATTTATAGCAAACATTTAAAATTACAATCCAACTTCACCCACTAACCTAGTGGGTTAACTCACTAAATTAAAAATTATATTTTTCAATAAAAATTTTAAAAACATATAATTAGTGATCACTAGTAAGTAATTTTTAAATTATCAAATATTTTAATATTTATATTATTCATATTTTTATTTTTTATTATCATTTATTTCTTAGTAGATATTAATATTAACCAACTAATTAAAAATGTTGTTTATAAATTAAATTAAAAACCCGTGGATGTTTAACCCATCATATTAAAAATGGCACAAAGTATGAGTAAAAATAAAGTAGAAAAAAAAGTTATCATATCATGATTTTTTTAACCCATCATCCTCTTTAAAATAATAATTTGAATTATGAGAATATAACAAATACTAAAAATAAACTAAAATAAAATAAATTATTTTATACCATCTACTTATCCATACCACTAAATAATTCCTACACTTTCCAAGGTTTTTATAAAAATTCTTTTAAACTATATATTTGCAAGTTTTCTTTAATTTTTTTATAAATTTCATAGTAATTCAACTTTTTTTTTTCAAAAATAATTTTTCAAAAAGAAAAAATCTCGTAAACTTATATCGGTGAATATGATAGAATAATATTTAGAAATTGGATAAAAATAAAATAAATAAGAGCATAAAGCTTAGCAATAAAAATAGATTAAGTTAGGTTAGACTTTGCATAAATAAGTTTGGCCTGTTTAATAATTTTGAAGTTTAAATCTTACCTATTATTTATTTTAGACTTTTTATTAAACCTAACCTAATTTTTTTAAAAACCTAATTTAGTATATTAATAACCTATTTCATATTGAGACATTTAATAAGTCATTAAACTTCTTTATAAATAGACTATTAAATCATCTAAACAAGTATTTTTTTTAAGATTAAACTATAAGAAAATGATTTAACACCTTCAATATGTCTAATAAAATTATATATTCTTATTTATCACTTTTAGATCACATATTTAAATTAAATAATTAAATCACAACACATACAAAAAATACAATAAAATGAACATCAATTTATAAGTCATTAAGCAAATCTAGTAACATAAAGTCTTACACATTAAATCAACAAATATAGTATAACTAAATAAGTTTGAGACCTAAAATTAGCTAATACAACAAACAAAAATCTAAAATGCACAAATAACAATATTTTTTTCATAATAAATAGGAAATAACAAATATGTCATCTGATTTTCAAAAAAATCTCTTTATAGTCTTCATCAATCTTCAAAATAAAGAAAAATATAATTAGAAAAAATACTTTAAAAATAGTTATTACAAATATTTTTTAAAAATACTTTTAGAAGTTAGTACCTGTAATTTTCTTGTCAAATTATACTTATGACGAAGTCAATTGAATAGGTCATTCTAATAGGCCTAATATATTATTATATTATAATTTTTATGTAAAATTATTTAATATATTATTATATATTTTATAAATTTTAAATAGGTCATTCTAACATATCTAATATACTTTTACTTAAATTCAAGTCTGACTTATTTAACTAATTAAGCTTTTTAAGAAGTCTAAATTAAATCTATTAATTAAATAAGTTAAGTTGGATTAAACTTTAAAAAAGTTAAGTCATAAACTCCTAGTTTCAACTATTTTCATCCCTAATAAAGCTCTTGCTTATTTTACTGAATAAGTTCATGTGTAGTTATGATCATATCATAATATCATGCCTTAACATTATATTTGGCAATAGTGTGCTACTTTTTGCTCTTCCATGTCCTCTATAAAGTACATGTGATGGTGACGCAACCCAATCAGCATTAGAGCAGCTAATAATTGCAATATTTTCTTATTTTGATACAGTAATCTTTTTCTTGGTGCATTCTTTATGTCCTTGAAAATGTGAACAAGAAGTATTTAAAAATTAATTGATTATACTCACAACGAATGCAACATTGAGTTTAATTATTACAAGGTAGTTAAGTTCACCAAACCAAACATTGGTATCTTTATAAGTCTTTCAAAGGCTCCCTTCAACTAGAAAGAAGCTTGAGATTGGGCTCTATAAAGAAATCAATTGGTCAACACTTGAGCATTCCTATTTTAGTGAGAATATCAAAGTGCATACTTGTGCTGATTAATAGAAATCTTATGGCTGGATTGACAACTTCAATTCTCAGAAAATGTTCAAGAAAACCTAAATTCTTTGTTTAAAAATAACAGGATAAGTGTTGTTTGAGTTTTTGAATCCCCACACTATCATTACTATCATTGCTAGTAATGATAGTTAACATCAACATACACTACCAAGTGGATTCAAATATGGGACAATGAATGAAGGAAGAAGATAGATTGATTTGCCTCACAACAAGAAAACATTGATAGAAGATAATGATAAAAAATATATATATAGTATGTTGAAAAGATAATTCAAAACAAAAGGAACTAACTCTATAGAGACTTGGGAGAGGGATTATGGTATTGATGCCAATGACTTTGGTTTAAGAACTATAAGTTAAAGTGACAAAGGGAAGAGAATTTAGAAATTCTAGATGAGAGAAAATGGTAGCATTACTAAACATGTGATAAGAAGCACTAGAATAAAAAATGCAAAGCCCAAGGGAAAGAGGACTAGGAAACACAAGCAACAAGAGTACCTGTTTGAGCCACAAAGGCGACAAGTAAAGCAGATTGCATTTCAACCTTGTATTGAAGGAAATCTTGGTACTATAAAAAAGGAATAGGGACATGAGTAGCTATAGCAAGAAGACCATGCGCAATATTCACAATAGTGCTTTGCTCTCTAGCCTTGGTGTGACATTGAGCTTCAAGTGTCCAAAGCTTTTCCAACATTAGGGATAAGGACGAAAATTGGTGTTGCTAGGACCTCGCTCACTTCCTCCACGAAGAAAAGAATTCAATGCTAGTGGGCAGCGGTGCGCAAATGGTAAAAAGACAATGAAAAGCAAACTTTATATGAAGTGGACTCCCTAAACCCTTATAAGGAGTATTTTGATTCTATTCTTTGTCAACGTAAAATATCTTAATATACCCTTCACGCCTAAGACTAGATAAGTAGTTGATACTTCCACCAATCCAGTCAAAGCAAATTCATTCTTGAAGCTGAAAAATATACTTGGAATGATGAAACCAAGTTTAAGAGAGGAAGTTAAATATTAAACTTGGTAGATGCTGAAAATTTCTCAAAAAGTTTAGCTTTTGAATAGTCGAGAGGTAGCAGCAAATTTAGACTAATAATCAGAATGCAAGCTTACAAATATTGAATCAAGTTGTTAAGTAAAAATATTAGTGGTTAATTAGCTTATCCAAATTAGTTTGTTGAAGCAAATAACCGACCTTTAAGTAGTATAAACAGGGAGCTATATTTGGTTTGTTGTATCTACGAAAGCATTAAAACAAAAAGTGAACGTAAAGAGAAAAGTGAGAAAAAAATATTAGAAAGCTCCAAAAAAAATTTTGTGAAAGTTTTGTGAGTTGTGGTTTTATTTAAGGGAGTATTAACTTTTAACAAAGCTAAAAAATCTGATTGTATTATTTATTTTTTTAATATAAATATCTTTATGAGATTAATTTTTTTTTTTTTAGTATTTGTATTTTCTTTCTAAATTTTAACAAGGCAATTTTATTTTAATTGCCAACAAACACTGCTTGATTGATGGTAATGGTAATTCTCGGTGTCAAGCTTGTGATTTATTATTAAGTAATCTATAAAATTTTATACTTGTTAAATGTTAATTGAAGAATTATTTGGTATTGGAATAGATTTAGATGGAGTTTGAAATTTATTTATTAAAAAAAAAGTGAACAGTACCATATGAACAGTGTCAAATGAACAGTAAAATCGCCTATGAACAGTGCAAACCACGTACAAACCGTGTATGAACAGTAAAATCGCATATGTACAGTGACCGTTGACATCATCCTGACGTCACATACGCGTACAGTGCGTGTACAGTATGCGTGTACAGTGTTTCTGGCGTGAATAGTATCATAAACAGTATTTCTAGCGTGAACAGTAAGGCGGTGAACAGTGTTTCCAGCTATGAACATTAATTTCGGCTGTGAACAGTAAATTTCAAAAAATTTCTATAAAAAATGGGCTTCACACGAAATTTTCATTTCTTTACTCATATCCAAGGTTCTCAAAGGTTCTAAGGCCATATACCACCATTTTGTCTCATATTAACCCCTCCTAAATTTAGATTTCTCGCCAGATCTGAGATTCTACGTCTATTCTGAGGGATTTGAAGTAAATTTCTTTAATTTTGAAGCTAGATTTACCGTTCGTTTTTCTTCTTCTTCTCTTTCTCATAGAAGTTCATGGTGTTCTTAGGAGAAACTCCGTTCTAAAACCAAATATTCGGTGAATCTTGCTATAAAACAAGTAATATTTGATAGATCTAGTGTGAATCATCGTTCTGAGGTAAGGGGAGCTTACTTTAACCTATGAACTATGTTTTGAACGGTTTAATATGCTATTTCAAGATGTTTTGATATGATTTTGTTAGATCTATTGAATAAAAGCTATTTTCTAAGCTGTAACTGCTGTTAATTGATTTAAAATGCTGAGATTTTGGCTGATATATTTTTAACTTGCCTTAGCTGAGCTGTTAAAATAACTTTTAGCGGTGTGCATCATGCTGAGATATATGTTTTGCATCATTATAGAGCCGAGTTACATGTTTAGATGGGTAGACGTGTAACGGTAAGTTCATGCTGAGCTGTTGTGCTGTCTGGATCCAGATACCGGAATGGGTCGCTCTCGAACTGGCTCAGTTCCTTCTGGATTACTTAGGTTGTGAAACCAGTTGGAAACCGTTTTCACGCTGTGCATTAGATGGGCTGGAAATGCATGGGGTCATTGTTGTGAGAAATATTTTGCTCTATATATATGATTTTATTTTATGTTTGGTAAGTTCATCCTTGCATTTCTTTCTATATCGTTGTGTGCATGTGTACTGCGATGATCGTACGGTGATACGTGAGTAGATGTAGCAGGTATTGCATCTACTTCACAGGCTGAGGGGCCAGTGGAGAAATGTCAGAAACTGAAGTCGAGTAATATTGCATCAAAGTCTTTTTCTTTATATTTTGAGACCTCATGTAGAAGGAGCTATATAGTATAATTTTGGGTATTTTGAATATTATGAACTAAATGTAATATTATATTGTTCGATTGGATATTTGTTGTAAGAAACTTTGTTTTATTTTGAATGAGAAGTGAATTTTATACTTATATTCTCTATTATTTATTTATTTTAAATAAGTATATAACATAGAAACAATGTTTTTAGTTCCTTATAAAAAGGGTTGTGACACTCAAGAAAAGGTACTTCTAGTCGAAGCAACAGGTCACCGGAAAAGGTCGACAACAATGGAGAATAGGGCTGGGCCATTTACTGTAGCATCCAGAAAAAATTGGATCAGAAAAAGGTGTTATGAATATTGTATCTTGCATTTGACCCGAAGACCTGAATATTACAGTCACACATGCATTCACAATGTTATATTCCTAATTACCGTATTTATATATCAACATTCCCATTTACTTTATCAACAAGTTACAAAGATAAAAGTTACAAAATAAACTCTGATTTTGGTTGGAGAATATCACAATTAGCACCTATTATATTTCACCTCATTTAAGTTTTGTCCAAAAAAAAGACCTAGGCTTCTATAGCAACACCCAAAAATATAAGAAATATCCAGTGTTCTCTTTTCAACTTTAACAACACGAAATAGCAATAAAATCAAACAGCCAAAAACTAGATAGAGTCCAAATTTGCTGGGATTTATAAGATGTGCAGTCTATACATTTAAATTATCCTTATTACATTCGAAAACGTCGGCAGACGCCAAAGGACTCACTTGGGCTTAGTTCACAATGTACTATTGCTATGTCAAAACTTTCTAATTGAAAAATCAAAGCATGTCTCAAGGACTTGAGCTAAGATCTTTAGTGGCATGGAGTTGAAAATCTTTAGAGCAATTGGTGGCCACTTCACCAAGAATATTGGTTCAAGCTTCATGAAGAAACTCCAAATGGAAGTAGCGCAGCAGCCACAATACGACCTTCTTCATTCAATATGTTGTAAGTTGATGCTGCATTTCTCTAAGTTGATAATAAAAAAGAAATAAATAAATCATGCAACATTCAAATATCAAAGAGAAGCAATCAAACTAGTATTTTTGGTTGGTTTATTTCCTACACCATTTTGAATTATTTTCTTTATGAGAATTATGTCAAATCAGTTTTAAGCTACTATTTACATGTATTAAAATCTTTATTCAATAAACATAATTGCAAATCTGTAACTACTTTACGTTAATTGATTCAAATAAAATGGAAATTCCTGAAGATTGTCTCCAATTAGAAGTCCTACGTTGCGAACATATATATAGCTCCTAGGACTTAATTTTGATCCATAGTTTCCCTATAAACTTTTTACAGACATCCAACAATTTGTTGTCACATGACGAATAGTTTACATGTCAAATTCTTTCAATGATACGACAACATATAATTGAATGATAATGTAAAATAGTTTATAATAACAGTAGATCGAATAAAACTCTTTTCTAATCACTTGTACTATCATGCTAGAATACTCTCTTCATCCATTTTATACTTCAACTTTCTCACTGTTTGAAATCATCTTTTCAAAGCAATTTTCAGGAACAGTTTGTCTGGCATTATCTTAACATGAACCAGCAAAGGATCAGATAAAAGAAAGGAAAAACAGTGAACAAAAAAAAAAAAAAAAAAAGAATTGTGTAGATGGAACCAGTAGAATAGAACTCTGAATATACCTAAAAGGATAAGTTCACAATATGAAACAGAATCGTAGACAGATATGCAGACACAACTCTTAAAACCATGTTAACTTGCTTCTTATAGTGTAACATATATCTAGAAGTGGCAAAACAGGCTACCCACCCCAGTTTGGGCTTCAGGCTTTAATAGGTCAAGCCAAAAAAGCCTGATTCACAAAAAGAAATGTCCAAACCCAATCAAAGAAAAACTTGAATGTGTCCAACCAAAAATGTCCAGAATTAATTTGGGCCTAATTTAAAGCCCAAGCCCCACCTTTTAGCAGGCTTAATTGGGTGAACTGATTTCGCTAACTCTACATATTTCTCAAACGATTTTATACTACAGTTAATTAGCATTGATATGGTAATGAACTATGCAAATATCAATTTTCTTAAAATAAACCACAAACTATTTTTAAAATGTTTTCCCTATGATTGAAAGCTTTGAAGGGAATGAGAAGGGATAAACATAAAGCCATTGAATCAGAAGAGAGGGAACAATAAGCAGCACTCCATTGTTTGGCTATAAAGTAACAAATCCAACATAACCCTCCCCCTCATGTATTATGCTCCAACAAAACAGGGCAACAGACAAAACGAGTCACTGGAAAACTTTAAATGAAAAAATAGAAAAAGAAAAAAGAAAGGTGCATACTTATCCAAACAACTCCACGCCTTCCCCCATCACCCATCCACCCACCCACACCTACAAATAAGAAGTGCAACCTAAAAAATGCAGGTGAAACAAATTCTGTGGAGGAAAGATGGACCTCAGGTACCCCCTATCTTCTTGTCCCTTGCCTTTCAAAATTTTCAAGACAAGTTTCGTAGTTCCCACGTCCTCTCTTTACCCATGACATAGGTTAGTTTACTTTAGGTTACTTTATCAAACACAAAGTATCAACAATGTAAGATGAACTAATGAACTCAAGTACAAATTTCATAAATTAAATCAATCATATATACCGAGTCAACAGCTTCTAACTTCATGCCAATAGATCGAATAAACCGTCTAAGTTCAGGATCTACATGTTGAATGTTCCTTCCACAGCCAAGAATCAAAATCTCTGGCAAATAATTCTTCCAAGTCTCAGTTAATATAAGATCAAAAGCAATTTGACAGGTCATTACAGCATCCAATTAGCTATATAATAAGAAAAGCCAATGTCTTGTAATTAATTCAAAGTAATTAGCTAAAAGGCACAATATTTTAAAAAGAGAGAAGGAAAAGTAGAAAAGAGAAATGGATGAATTTACAAGAAAAAGAGAAACAATATTTTAATTTGTATTAAATTTGTCAGTGGGATATGTATGATGTATCAACTTTAAGGTCCCAACCCAACACTTATAAACTCCAAGTGCATGTATATGGAAACCACGAATTAGAAAGACTTCCAGAGTGAATTAGAAAGGAAACCATGAATCCGTAATTTTGCATCTATAAAGTAAAATATATACAAAAGTACCCTGAAAAGGTTCAGAAATAGGAAATAGAAAAAGGAAAAGTAGAACCGGACACAAAGAAAAGGGGGAAAACCAGAGAGTCAATCAACCAACAGAGAATGGCAAAACCTGAAAATCCAACCTGGAATAGGGCGCACAATTTGGAAGAGCGACAAGCTGCAACAAGGAACAAGATGAAAACAAATAAGATACTAAAGCAAGATAAACTAATGCACACTCCCCTAATACAAGCAGATATTGAACTTGAATGTTATAATGCTCTCACTTCTTCCTGTTTCATTACTGTCACGCATATGATGGTCACATCCCTTGTATTGGAGGTGATAATTGATCCCATAAAAGTGGAATTTAAGTATTTAAAACTATTTAAAAGTGGCAGTAGGAATCAAAAGGTTAAAAGAAAACACCGGTTTCTACAAGTATTTCTACAGAAAGGAATTTATGAGAGAAAAGCAGGTAAAACTAGGGGGTGGATGAGATATCTTCCAAAGCATAGTAAATGGGAGAAAACAAAAAACCAGAAAATCAAATGCGTAGGTAGTTCATGTGCAAATCACAATCATTTTACTGCTTAGTTATTCACATGCCAGAACATGAGAGAGCATGTCACATCATTATGGTTGAATAGATTTTGACACAAGTGCTTGGCTGCCAAGTTCTTTATTCATTCTGATACAAACCAGTAAAATCAACAAGGAATTTAAACAACTCAAACAAGGAAAATAGAGGAAATGATGCTGATATTACTTGATATAAAAGAAAAATCAGTTGAATGAATACTACTGCCCAGAGCTAGGCTCCTACATAGAGCTAGTGCTCTCCATCCATAACTAACTTCTTGACTTCCAAAAGATACCCCTCTCACACACGTCTTACTATAACGGACTCCCTCCTTACTTTGGCTAACCACTTACGTCTCTCTGCCACATCACTCTCCTTGCCTATACACTTCTTTCTTATAGTGTAAACTTCCATAGTGTGGGCTTGGCCCCATTTGAGCCCATATCCTCACCCGCAGTCCTAACACACTCCTGGTTTCTGTAGTTGCATAGCATCTCAAGCTAATCTATGTGCATGTTAATTTTGCCATTGATGTTTGCTTGGTTCTGTTCAGATCAGATTGTTGTTTTCTGCTTCATTTAAGTGTGTTCCGCATAAGTGGCTATTCTTTGGCCGATATCTATTGGTGGTTTCTATGTACCCAGAGGTATTTCACAGTTCTTCCTTTGATTTTGAGTGATGTTCTCGGTGAAGCTAACATTATTTTTCCACTAAGGTGTAGCAAGCAAATTCAAAGGCTTCAATCAGCTAGCTATCTGCTTAATATACCACATTGACTTTGTTACACTGAGAGTGCCGGTTGTGTAAGTTCTTAGATGGGTTGATTGTGGGTTTATATTCACTGTTGTTTCTACATTTTCTGTTGATAGATAATGCTAGGAATGCACATAAATATTCAGAAATATTATTATGGGTTAATGTAAGTTAAACTTTTTTCTATTTTTCTTCGAGATTCAAAAGTAAATTTCATTTTACTGAGACATTGAACTTGCATTACTAAGGTATTCAATTATTCATTCATGATAGGAACTTGAGAAGTAATAGACTAAAGGAACAAGACAATGCAAACTTCTTAGAAAGGAAAACCAAGACTGAACAGGGATATGAAGGACAAACAAGGATCATAGAACAAACAAACCTATCAGTTGTTATCTCTGAAAACTTCTGAGGTTTCCAAGACATGAGCAAATTTCCAACACAAAGCAAGCTTCCTTCATATTCAACCCCGTTTACAGTAAACCCTGTATCATTATACCTAGAAAAATAGAAAAAATAAATTGCGGTAACATGATGTTACTTACAATACAATTACAGAACAAAAAAAATGGCACATTTTCACATTCAACTGTCCAAATCATGTTTAATTCAGCTAAAATATACTAAAATAATCACTTGTTATTAAAAAGTCCTCTCAAAAAGCTAGAAGAAATAAGCAATTATTTCTCAAAAATATACTGAACCAAACATCCCCACCTTGAATCCTAGCAATTAAATGGAAAAAAGAAATAAAATTTAAGAGACCCCATTTTTCTAATGAAGAAAAAAGGTTAGTACCCTTGAAATCGAAGCTGGTCTTGGGGGACTTGATCGATGAGGTTGATCTGATCGTACAAAGAGAAAGCGCGTCGAAGAGAGGGTAAGGCATTGGGATGGCTGTGGGACTTCAAAGGTTCCTTCCGGAGACTTCGAATAAGGTTTGGAAGTGCAGATACCGTTCTTTGCCTAACCGCCATCTTCTTCTTCTCTCTCTCTGTCTCTCTCAACCCCTCATGCTCATGCTTCTCTCACTCAATATATTCTCCCCTTTTCTTAATGAAAAATGTTTAAACTCTTATTAATAATAAAATTTTATTGAAAAACATTATTATATTGCAAATGTTTTCCTTCTTTGTAGTCTTTTTTTTCTTTCTGAAAAGTATAAAAATGATTATAAAATTATAAAAAAATTAAAAAATTTAAAATACAAAAAAAGTCCATGTAAATAAATTTTAATAAAATATAAATAAATTTTAAAAATAAAAAACATGAAAGAATATTATATAACATGAAATTATTTTAATAAAATAGAATATTATCAAATGAATAATGTAATTTAATATATATATATATATATATAATTTAAATGAAATAAATATTTTAATATGTAAATTTTGAAATAATAATATTTAGTAATAACTTAAAATACTTAAATGATTCACCCGTAATTACAAGTGTCTTCAAAGATAATTAGCAACATACGATATTCAATTACCAATAACGTTAATTTTAAAAAAATTAATTATTTTATTAATAATATCACTTTTTTAATTTGTTGATATTGGTCCCAAATAAGAGTTATAAGCCAAAAAAATTAGCTTAACAAGAATTATAGGATGGAAAAAAAATAATAAGAGAGTTGCAGTATCATTAACATATTATAATATTTATTAACGTTTTCACCTTAAAAAAAGCCATCAAACATTAGCATGATACCGTTAATTTTTATTTATACTATAATTACTTTAACCTTGTCATATTTTTATTTATGAGAATTAGCTTCAAAACACTATGGGATTAGAAGCTTCATTATCAATTCCTCCAAAAACTTTTAAAATAAAAGTTTATCAATATTCCATACATTATATTTATATAAAAAAATGGTATATATGATTGCACAATTGACAAGTTTATAATGATTAATTCAAAATTTTCTTTTTTCACAGTTCACAACAACTTATCTTATATAATTGCAATTAATATCGTGTTTTCAAATAAATTATCTTCAATAAGCTAATTATATATCTTTTATCTTATTATTCAAAATCCTTTTATTAAAGTATACTTCTGCTCTTGGCCTATTTGTTTCCCTTGGCAAATGATGGGATAATCTTCAAATAACATATCTTGAGCAAAAAACACTGTGTGCATGGTGAATAAAAAATTTATGTATGTATGTAGGTAGCATTCTACATATACACACATAATTGATTATTAGATTGGAAATATGTAACAACTTGATACATTTCAAGATGATTTATACTTATCTTACTCGTTCAAAAACAAAAGGAAACATAATCTAATTTATCATTAGACCAACTTGCATGCTATCATATATGTTTATGTCATTTACTTGTCCAAAAAGTCTCAAAATACTAATAGGCAATTATTATTTTTATTTTATTGAACACTATTTTCTTTAGTATTATATTCATCTTCATCAATATACATGTGTAAGATAAATTTTGTACATCTTAGGTAAATGATATGATTAATAATATTGTGGTTCAATTGTCCATTTACTCAAGATGTGCTTTCTCACACACATACTCACTGTCGGAACTGTGTGCACATTAGATTACAAATGAGCCATTCCATCTATATGGTTACTTATGTTAGTCAAAACCTACTAGTTTTAATAGTTTTTTACTTTTTTATCTATTGCAATTTTAGCACATTTAGAACCAACACTAACACAATTTTATCAACAAACCCTAGCAACGAATAGAAGGTGGAGAAATAAATAGCAAGATGAAAATCCAAACAAAATGGACCATTTACAAAAAAAAAAGAAAAATAAAAATTTAGAGATATTAAAATACAATCACTCACTAAGAAAAGGAACTTATACACAATTTTAGAATGAAATTGCTATGAGTGAGTGATTATGAGGCAACTTATGATTATGATAATATTGTGAGCAAGAATGAGTTACACAAAGTTTATGAACTTAATGGTGCCACTAATGAATATTGATATAATATGGAAGAAAATAGAGAGTTCTATGGATGAGAGTAAAAAAAGTACTAGAAATGAGGAAAAAAGAAAAAATTGGACTACATTATAATATACCAACATTTATTTTAATATTTGTGCATATTTTAGTCTATATAATGATTCATATAGACATTTTGTTGGGACATTAAAATAGCATTTTTGAATTACAAAATACTTTTCAATAATAAGCAATGCTAGCTACATATATTTTGTATTAAAATTTGTTAAAAGCTATAATTTATGTGAATTTCACTCTTTCTCTTTTGTATTTTTTTAATTTTTAATAAATTTTAACCTATGATAAAAAGTGTGTTAAAGTGTATTGTTATCATTTTTCTCTTGGATACATGTGAGGTTAAAATTTTGTATTTTATCAATGTTAATATAATTTTTATTTTAATTAGGATATAAACAATATATTTAAATTAAAATAATTATTGAAATAAAAATTAAGCGAGAGAAGATTTAGGGAGGAAGAGGAGAAGGAAGTTGAGAGAGCAACGATAACGATAAATGGCAATGCCCTGTTCCCGTTTCTTGCGACTGTCACCATTTCTCGCCATTCCATTACCCTCGCCTTCCCTCTCTTTCTCTTCCAACTGCCACGTGTCATCTTCTCCTCAACTCACAGTACACGACGACCACCAACAACCCCATCTCCGTAGCTCACAGCTGGTGACATTAGAATATGCCGACCTCAATCTCTCTTACAACTTGGTAACTTGTTTTTCTTTTTTCCTCACCAGTCACCGCATAAATATAAATATAAAATATATATTATGATATTTTATATCCAATTTCAGGATCTGGGTCACGTCAGGATCAGGCAACATGTTAATCCCCTCAGCTCTTCTTTCTCCGTATGTTCCTTTATATATTCAATTTCTCCATTCCATTATTTTAGCCTATGTTCATATTCGTTTTATTAGCTTAATTTTCATCATATATTCTATGTAATGTAATGTAAATAATGTAATTTTGGTCGCTATGCATCACATTTATTTCCAATTTAATAATTTTAATGCTTGTTCGCTTATAGAGTGAGGTGTAGGAACTAAATTAAATTGGAAATGAGTGTTTACATCGACACGAATTGAATGTATGAATTATTGATATGGTCATATGGGGAACTAGATGCAGAAACAAGACATAAATGTCTTCTGGGGCATGGGGTTGGGATATTGGTTCAATGAATCATCTTTCCTTGCATTGGAGGAGTCTTCTGATTTTTCCATTAATGTGATTCTTTTTCTTGGTAGGTTCCTGCACAAGTACCAGAGTGGAACCAAGTCTTTGCAGACCCGACATTGCCACTCATGGTGGATATCGGATGTGGTAACCTGAATTTCAATGATAAATTTGCTGTATGCTTTTCTATTGTACTTGATTGTTAACTGCTAGCATGTCTGTTATGGACCAATGCGGATCATGTATGTGGAAGTTGACAATGATGAAATTTGTTTCTTGCATAGATATTACTAACAATGGTACACCAATTAATTTCATTAATTTTTTTCCTATTGACAATGATATCAAAATGCTGTTAAGAAGTAGCTCTGGGACTAGGATCAGTCAATCATTTCACTATTTGAGAAACTTATAAGTACACTTACTTGTTCCAGCATATTTGTTGTTGTAAACAATGTCAGGCAGTGGCAGGTTCCTTATGTGGCTCGCTAAAAGAAGTCACAAAGAGAGAAATTTTTTGGGATTGGAAATACGGCAAAGGGTATGGAACCCTTCTTCTTTCTGTCAATTTCGGTTTCAAGTGCCCTTGATAATTGAGTCCTTTCAATTTGTTTTGATCTCTTATCTGTTGTGGTGCTTTGTGCTTCAAATATAGGGGATATCTTCTATGATAATGTAATACCTCCTTGTGCAGATAGTCAAGCGTGCTGAGTTATGGGTAAAAGATCTAGCTCTTGATAACATGTACTATCCTAAACTATATTTAGATGATGAAGTAAAATATACACATGCTTATTTTTGTCAATGCTGGAATAGTTACTGTTCTTACACTAAAATGCAGACATTTCTTGTTTGCAAATGCCACAATTTCTTTCAAGCAGTTGGTAGAATCGTATCCCGGGCCCTTGGTCTTAGTTTCAATTTTGGTGAGTTTATCTCCTTATACTAAAAATTCTAAGACATATACTGTTGTATCTATCTTCAAGAGGCTGTCATCTATATTTAGTAAAAGGTTGGTAGGCCACATTGAGTGACTAAGGAATCCTCCCTAGGGCCTAGGGAGGGGGGAGTGCTTTCAGGGGCAATTGAGCCCCTCCCCCCTCTGCCTTTCATTTCTGGTTAAATGATTTAATGTTGCACATGCAGTGTCCAGATCCACATTTCAAAAAAAGACATCATAAAAGAAGAGTTCTGCAGAAGCCTTTGGTTGGTGCCATAGTAGATAATCTAATGCCCGGTGGACAGGTATAATTTCAATGTGCACTTATATGTTTTTAATTTATTGTAAATATCATAGTACGTTCATCTAGTATTTTGGTAAATATTCTCCTGTGAGATTTCCTTCTTATACCATCTTATTTGAATTTATTTGAATGAGAACATTTTGGTATTGATTGTATAAGAGCATTCTTCATATCCTATCTCTCCTCCCTTTTTCTCTTCCAAAAAAATAAATTAAAATTGAAGATAGTGCAATGCTATGAGCATTTCTAATAATGATGGAGAATTTGAGAAAGATAAACATAAGTGATTACTTGATGTTGACTTATGACTATACTACTTGACTCTTCCAGTTTGATGTCAATCAACAATATGCTTGAGTTTTTCCATTGTGCTACTGCTTTATCATTAATGAGGTAATAATGCAACGAATAATATTTTCTACATCTATGGTAAGTGGTAACATACAATTGAAAGATCTTTCACTCCATTCATATTTGTTATGTCAATGCAAATCTACCCTCAGTATCCTGTACACAATTTGCAAACAAAATAGCATTGAGTGAAAACAAAATGAGGTTGGGGATTGATGAGTTAAATAGTATGCTCAAAACCAAACTGCTACAATGCTTGCAGTATTTTTTTTCTCACTGATGATGGGAAGTGTGACTGGTCTTTGGACTTTGACCGCTGCATTAGCTTGCTATCCAACATGGCAACCCCAATATTGTCCTTTCCTTCCCTGCTTGCCAGAGATGAGTTAAACTATTACTTTGACATAGAGAATGGGCAAAATTATATTGCATAACTTTCTATCCAAAGATGTCATTTGTTAGAGAATTATGGCTTTTGTATCCATTTCATTATTCATTTTCTAACACTGGATCTCAGCTAGTAAGGTTGGGTTGTTTGGATCCAGCTGTATGTGGGTATGGACCTGTTACTTCATATAGCAGATGCACATCATCAAATTTACAAAGGCAGTACCTAATAATAAGTCAAGAGTAAATTCAAAGCAATCGTATTAATCATCAATGGTTTAAATATTCATAGCAGATAATAGAGACCAAACTAATACTGAATTAATCTCTTCCAACTATCTATTTTAATTCAAGTATCAAGGCATTGGGAAACATCCAGGGCTTCTTAAATGCATACACCAGAATGTGTCACAAGTGTCAGGGTGATGTCTATGATGTGCAGTAATATATGTGCCATTGTGACTATCATGTGAAGTTATATGAGTCTCGGTATTTGAGAGAGAGACTTATCGTTAATACTTTCCCTTTAAATTTCCAATTTTTTTTTCTGTGGTTACGTATGAGATATTGGGAGGTGATGGGGGAATAAAAGACTCTGAAGTAGAGCAAAAAATCAAATCACAAATCCTTATGGGATTTGAATACAAGGTGTGCAAAACCTCACACCTAATGGCAAGCCCTAGTTAGATGATGCTGTAGGATCTACTCTAGGGTTTCATACCAAAGCTTCCCATTCCATTGTCTTGGTCTCTTCAGTCATTGAGTATTTTAGTGAACATCAATAAGTTTCTTGCTTCCCTAATTTTTGCCTGACCTCTCCACCACCCTTTTCCTCCCTTCTTGTGTTTCTATATTGTTTCTAGATAGGAGATAATCGTTACAATAAAGATTGTGCAATTAATTTTGTTAGCTAAAACTATCATATAGTAAAAGATATGCTGAAATTTAGCACCCATTTTTTCTCTCTCTATACTACAGAGGATGCAAGTTTCATATTTGGTGTTTTTTATATTGTAATTTTTAGGAAACTTACATCAATGCTGAGGTTTTTTTTTTTTTTTTTATTTTAATTTGTTATTAATTCATATGAGAAGAGTCATTTGCTTTTGGGCTGGGGATCTTCTGAAGGGAGTTGAGTTCTTGGCTGATGAACTTCATCTTTGTGGTTTGTTTGATGTCAGGTGTTTGTACAGTCTGATGTGCTTGACGTGGCACTTGACATGAGAAATCAGTTTGATGAAGTTGACTCACTCAAACACACTGATGCTTTGAACCTGGATATGTTGTGTGACAATGAGGGATGGTTGTTAAGCAACCCCATGGGGATAAGGACTGAGAGAGAGATTCATGCAGAACTTGAAGGGGCAAAAATCTATCGAAGGTTGTACCAGAAGCAGAAATGATTTGTCAAGCTTGACAAGTTTTACCAACGGTTACTCTTCAACTGAGAAGCACAAGAGGAACCTGATTCATGTCAGACATAAATGGAATGGATGACTCTTGTCAGACACATTGCACGCCACATGGTACTTCAAATCTTAACAGGACACTGTATCTGATGTGTCTGCTTTTCGTAGGTTCAACTGCAGCTAAAAATCATACATGCTTTGGAATGGTTAGCGATATTTTCTCTTTTGTGACTTGATATTTTCATGGTGGATTTTGTAACTAGGACTGAGAACTGAGAAGAACTGTGATAGTGTGATGTGTAATCTCCTGTGTCATGTTGCACGTAACAGGTTTAGGGCATTGTAATCTGGTGCTGCAGATCTTTAGCACTGTTCAAAATATTTATTTTCCATAGTAACAATTTGCTACATATACAGGGAATATTTCTGGAATTGAAGCCTAATGATATTGGAATAGAACCTGATATTGCAAAGTTTTCTTCAGTAATGGCTGTGTTATGAACTTACTGTGACCATTATCAAGATATTGCAGTTATCTTCCATTCTGGAATATCTTTAATGTATTTTAGAATATTTTTTTAATATATCTTCGTAGAGTAAATATTTAAATATACAAAGGATGTAAGTTGAAATTAATTTGATTGTTCGTGACATGAAATTAACCAACAATTGCAAGTACCAGATTCAAGTTTAAAGATACACTGAAAAATTTAAATTGATATTAGTTTTAGTGTATATATATATATATATATATATAGAGAGAGAGAGAGAGAGAGAGAGAGAGAGAATATAAACTATAAGGATTTTATTAGAAGTTTGATGATTAAATTAGAGAAATTTATTAATTTATTATATCATATTAATTATTTAAGTTTGGTCCAATTTTATATCAGCACGGTAATTTATTATTCAATACATCATAAAAAAATAAAATATAATATATTTAATTATTAATAGTTCGATCATGAACAAATTATTAAATAATAAACTAATTTCATCTCCGATTTTACAACCCATTCAATTTTAAAAACATTAGTTGATGAAAACAATTTACAAACATTTCTTGTCGACAAATCTGGACAGGAATTATGTGGCCCTTTAGTGGGTGGACGGTGATTATATCATGCATCGTCATCACGCGATTTGAAGGGTGCCCAGAGAAAAAGAAAATTGAATATTTTGGCTTTTTATTTAAATATTATTTTCTAAAAAACAAATTACTAAAAAATATAAATTTTTTAAAACTAAATTTTTTATCTGGAATAGTTTTTGTCACGTGTCGGAATTTTGTTATTATAGTTAACCCCTTTTTTTATTTTAAAAACAAATTTTGATAAAAAAAAATGCGAAACTCGTAAAATTTTAACGCATGGCAAATAAAGTCTGAACTTCTCCCTGTAAATTTCATATATTAGTGGTAAAATTTTATTTGTAAAAATAAAAAATTAAAGTTTCATCAATTGTATCGACAAAATTTATAACACGTGGAAAGAATAACCAAGAATTAATTTAAAAAAATATATTTTAGCAATTTATTTTTAAAAATATAATATTTAAATGAAAAAGGCTTCAAGAGCAATTTTTTTATAGATCTTTTATATTTTGTTAAGCGACATTAATTAAGAAAATAATATATTAATTTTTTATCAAAAAATTACATTAAAATACTTTAAAAATTATTATAGAAGTATATAATAACTAATTTTAAAAAAATATTTTTAGTTTTCATTCTGTAATTATTGTCGATAGCACATTGATTAATTTTTTTATTTAAAAAATTAAAAAGATGAGTCGTACAGTTTGTTGTCCCCGCACTTTTTAGCGCCATTTATCCATTTTTGATTATTCTTTGGAGCAAATAATTTTAAAATTTTAAATTATGGAAACTTACCTGAAATATCCTAAAATTTAATGAAATTGCACGCCGAAGATTATCCAAAACGACAGGGGAAATCTACAACCTTTAACAATTAGGGTTCGTTACTCTCTATTGATGTGTCTCCAACACTGTTTTTATTTTATTTTTAGGTCATTTTCTGTTATTTTAGTAATCATAATAATAAAATACAATATCTAAGTGTCCACAGGAAAGAAAAGGAAAAGAATATTTAACGTTACGTTAGTACAAAAATAAAAATGATATTCCATGTTATTACGTGGAGCTCATAGTAGTCGTCAATAAAAAGCAACCGCGTCAAAGAAACGATAAAGTATAAAAATAGGTAAAGTTTCAATTTCTTTATTTACTTTTGTTAACAAATAATTGTTTTCATCACATTTGGAAGATTTTAGAGAAATCATTTACAATTTTCCATTTGAGTAAGTATGAATCAAATTTTTATTTTATTTTTTGTGTGTGGCAATGTGTTCTGATTTCAGTTTGGTTTGACAGACATGTTATGATTCTTTCTTTCTTTCTTTCTTTGGTAAATTTCAATATCTTTGTTATCAGGATGAACTTGGTTGTCCTTGATTTTTGGATTGCACCAGTAATGGTCTTTGTTTTTATTTATTTTTTCTCGGATTCTCCCTTACACTTTGGCTTAATCATGATAAAAGAAACGTGGGTTTGATCAAATTGTTCCCCTGCTGCATCTTTGCTGAACTTTGATTGATTCTGAATACGGTGATGAACCTTGTTCTGCATTTCCCTTAAGGGTTTGGTGGATATTTGATATTTTGGCAGTATTTATCTCCTTTTTGGAGAAATAGGAAGGACTGGAAGAAATGAAGGGTTGAAAATGGATACTCTTTTTTATTTTTGGTTTTTTAATATCTTTCCTTGGTGTTGTTTGGAATGAAGTTTGAATTTCTCATAGTTTTTTTTCTGCAAAGATAAAAAGTACCAATCAGTGAGTGTAAATTGAAAATACATAAAAGGTGGTTTGTGGTAAATGTGCTGAGGCTGTTTACTGGTGCTCTGGGTGCACTAGACTTGATTCTCTGATTATGGTGCTTCTTAAATAATCTTGGATGCATTTTGCTCATTTAGGAAGAGGGTTGGATATCAACGTGACAGCTTTGTATAGCTATAGACAATTTCTATTTTGGGTTTGATTTGAGTAACCCTGTACTTAATACAAATAAATATATTTTGTTACATATATATAAAAAAAGAAGGCACCAATCAGTCCTCATGCAATAAAATTGCTTTGTCCATGATATCAATTATCTTGATCATGTGTAAATTACTGTTTTATCAATAAAAAAGGCACTAGAGTTAATTGGATTTTTCAATTGGTTCTTTTATGACAATTATGGAGCTGATTCCATTTGATTCTGCAGTCTTTTAATGACTGATGTGATTTTATTTGGATGGCAGTTTTGTAAACTAAGAATCTTTGTCTTTGTTTTGGTCATAGGTTGAATCAACATGAGCAATACTAAACACAAGAATGATGATGACTCTAGTGAGAGAGGTATCTTTTCAGGCTATCCATCAGCACCTCCATATCCCCCTCCACATGGATCATACCCACCACCAGGGTATCCACCTCCAGGAGGCTACCCGCCAGCAGCGTACCCGCCACCACCATATCCACCTCATGGAGGATATCCACCTTCTGGTTACTACCCTTCAGAATATCCACCACCTGCATATCCACCTCCAGGAGGGTATCCTCCTCCAGCTCCTGGTTATCCTCATTCAGGATACCATCCACCATCTTATCCTGCTCCACATGGCTATCCACCTCCTCCACCTCCATATTCTGCAGGTACACTTAACAATCCTAATTTGTTGTGGAGATTATTATATGTATGGTTATGTTTGAAATTGAATTACTACGTTTCAATATTCTCTATTGTCATGTCAACACCATCACCAACAAAAGATTATTCCACTTGGTTTGAGCTAGCTACATAGATCAATTCACACTGTTGGTTCTATCAAAATTTGCATATTTAAATATGTTTTTAATTCCTGAAAAATTAACCAATTGTGATTTAGTTCCTGTAAATGCATTTTTTCATTTGATCCTTAATTTTACAAAAATGTAAGTTTTTAGGTTGAGTTAGTTTTGCTCCATTAAGTGGTGATGTGGCAAATGAATCATTGACACGTGAGATAACCTAATTGTGTCACATCATCACTTAACAGAGCAAAACTAATGGCAAGGACTAAAAGCATGTATTTTCATGAAAACAGGGATCATGTGAATATTTTTTTTCTATAGGAACCAAAAGCAAAATTGGCTAATTTTTAAGGAACAAAAACCATGCTTTACCCAAAATTAAATTTTCAGCTATTTCATTTTGGTCAAGGTTGTAGTGGGTTTCTTCTAATGCTTTCTTGCATGAGTTATATTCAAGCCAAACTTTGTAAATATTGCATCTTTGTATTACAAAGTAACTGGCTTCTCACACTATATAATAATTCTGGAATTGGTAGGACTATGATTTAATTTCAACGTGCACTTAAGTGCTGACTTAATCCTATATAGGGCGTGGCGCTGGTATGGGAGGATTGTTGGCAGGAGGTGCTGCTGCTATGGCTGCTGCATATGGGGCTCACCATCTTGCACATGGATATCATCGTTATGGACATGGAGGTTATTTTGGTCATGGAAAGTACAAGCACGGGAAATTCGGCAAGCGTTGGAAGCATGGCAGGTTTGGATTTGGCAAGTTTAAGCATGGTTGGAAAAGATGGAAGTGATGCTGTGGCCAATAGATTAAATATATAATTCTGAGCATGATCATGAAGGTTGAATTGTGGGATGAATAATGTATGCTATGGCAACACATTGCACTTTTACAATGACTGCTTTAGGTTCGTTGCTCCTTATTAAATGTGTGTGGCTTTTGTACATACAGGAATTCATATCCTGAATTATTTAGATTGTTTTCTCACAATTGTCCACTTCACCAATGCCTTATAGTTGAGATAACAGTTCAGTAAATTTGACAGATAACCTACAAAACGTTTGTCACTTGTCAGTAATAGAAGTTTTACCGTAGAGTAACTTGTATTCCAATATGTCCTTTTGAACTTTTGTGAAGGACAGTTTCCATGAGACCATGAAACTAATTATCTTAAGAAAGATTGTTATTGTGGGCTATTTATGAGAAGCTCCATTGGTGGATTAGAACATCTCTGTGGTAAGGAAAAATTAGGCATTTTGGTGGTAAGTCTGTAAACAAGGAAAGCAAAGCCTTGGAATTTGAGTGAACGTAAGCGAGTTTTTAATTGAATAGCACTGAAAGATATAGCATTGAAATCTAGATATAATTATTTTTAATTGAATAGTTTGGTAGTTTCTTTTTCAACCAGTAGAAAAAAACAGGTCAAAAGCCTAAAGAATAATAATAATTTTGTTTTTGTCTAGACCACAGATATCTTTTATAAGAGGCAATTTTGTTCAAATTAAGTAAAACTACCGGAAAACAAAAAACAAAAAAAGAAAGATGAATAGTTTAATACTGTGTAATGAGATTAAGATTTGACAATTTGTAGGTTTATAGGATATTTTATTTACCGTTTATTATGGTTTATCCTAACTAACCAATTGAGATTCTTTTAATAATTATTCAATATATTATTAAATTGCAAATTATTCATATTGGGACAATTAGAGAAATACTGCAAGAAAAAAATATGAGAAAATACATAATAAAGAATTTTAAGGTTTGAACTTGAACCTTAAGGATTATCACATCCAATGTATTTTTGCAATAATTTTGAATATCTCATAGAGAATCGTAAAGTGGTTGATCTCGATAATATTCTTATAAAAGTTTGAAAAAATTAAAATTAAAATGATTCACTAAGCTTTTTGATGAGATTTTTGAAATCTAATAAAATGTCAAATGAATAAAGGAAGAAACATTTTAGTTTTTATATATAAGAACAAGGGTGATATTGAAAATTGTATAAACTATAGAAAGATTAAACTTACGAGTTACCCTGTGAGGTTGTAAGAAATAGTGTTTGAACATAGGATATGAGAGGAAATTGAGATTGCAAAAAATCAATTCAATTTTATGTTATAAAGATCTACAATAGAAGATATATATCTTTTATGAAAGATGATAGAAAAATATCACTACAAAGAAAATGACTTACATATATGATTTTTATTGACTTAGAAAAGACATATGATTGGGTACTAAGAAAAATGCTATGAAAGGCTTTAGAAAAGAAAGGGATCAATGTTAGTTTAGCATATATTTAGGCTAATATTTGGATTATACAAGATAAGTATGAGTAGATAACTACAAGTGTGAGAACTTTTAGAGGCGTATTTAAGGACTTTCCAATTAAAATAGGCTTACATCAAAGTTCCACTTTAAGCCCTTACTTTTTTAATCTAGTCATATATGTGCTTTCAAATGACATATTAAAGATTATCTCTGAGTGCATGTTCTCTATAAATGATATAATATTAGTTAAGGATTCAAAAGAAGAGATTAACATTAAACATGAGTTATAGATGAAGACTTTAGAATCTAATAATTTTTGCTTGAGTAGAAATAAGACAAAGTATATGCATAGGTTTAACAAAAAAATAAGATAAAGATCATGCTTTGAAAGTTAAAATTAGATATGATATTATATCACAAGTTTTCAGTTTTAAGTACTTAGGATCAATCATGCAAAATAATGAAGAAACTAATGAAGATGTTACTTATTGAATACAAGTTGAATGGTTAAAATAGAAAAAAGCATTAGAAATTATTTATAATTGTAAAATATTTATAAAAAAATGACAGTTTTATTAGAACGCAATACAACTAGCTATTTTATATGATTGTAAATATTGAATCTTAAAAAAAAGGTAAAAATAATATAAATGAGAATGTTAAAGAATCAAATAGATACACGAAAAAGAATAAAATATAAAATAATAATATACGAGATATTATTAAAATAGCATGTACAGTAAAAAAAATAATTAAAAATTATTTAAGATAAATTAGTCACGTAAAAAAAAGATATTTGAAAGGATTAATAAAAAATAGATTGCATGACTTTTAAAAGAAGAGATAATGAAAACTCAAAAAACCTTATTAAATAAGATATTTTGATTAATTATATTTATAAAATTTTAATTTTTAACTGAGTTGAATAGTATGACTCATGTTGTTGATATAACTTATGAATTAGAATAGTCAAAGTGAATATAACGCGTAGGGTAGAATTGAGGTGGGTGAGGGAAGACCAAGAAATTGAGGCAATGTTTCTCCAATGCGTAAAAGGGCAAGCTAGTTAAGCCAATGTAAATTACAGGCTACAGGCCACACTAACATTGGCCAACTCAGAGACAAAAATTATAGTTTAAAAATATTATAAAAATAAGTTAATTTATCTGTGTATTAAATGTATGAATTAAAAATAACAAAAGGTGCAACGTATTAGAATATATGTGAGAATCTAATATATGACACGTGGTGGTAGTGGCAGAACAGCATATGCGTGACACGTGATACACTTGTGTGCAACAATTTCCAAAGGTGGCACTCATCGATCATGGACATACAACATCATTTTTATTACTTATCACATTTTGAATATTATCGACTATCATGTTCAACAACTCTTGAAACCATTTTTTATTTTTCAATCATTTTTTTAAAACTAGTACCACTTGAGTGTGATATGCATCACATGTTAATGTTAGTGTATTTTCACTTTTATTTTTACTCTGATACACTATTAATTTAAATAACCAATATTTATTATTAGTTATAAATTATTATTATTTTGATAAACAATTTTTAAAATTATATTATTGTAGTAAAAAAAGGAGAAGAAAAAAAATAGGTACCATGTCATAACTAAGAAGTACGTTAATAACTAAGATTCAGCTCCCTTCCAGTTATGACAGAGATATGACATCCAGTTTCATTTTTGTTTAAACAAAAATAGACTTGCTTAAGTGAAAATGCAAAAAAATGATAATTAAAAAAAAATTAACTTAAATAATTTTTTTTATTTAAGCGAATATTACAGATTTATTTAAGCGAATTATTTTGTCTTAAATAAATTTTGTGTATTTGAAGATATGATGGCGGGTGTGAAGAAAGAAAGGACTGAGGATAAATGAAGATAAGAAAAGCGAGTGGTATAAGGGTGGTGGTAGTGGAGGGAGAGAAGGTTGGAGAGTTGAGTATGAAGGAAAGAAAGAGAAATATGTATGGAGTGGGGTGAGAGTGACAAGAGAAAGAAAAGTTAGTAGAAGGAAGAGAGAATTGGGAGAGGAAGAGAGAAGTTGAGTATGAAAGAAGAAATAAAGTTGAATATGGAAGTTAAAAAGAATTGAATATGAATGTTGAAAAGAGTTAAATATGGAAATTGAAAAGAAAATGTTAAATATGAGAAGGAGAAGAATAAGAAGGAAGAAATAAAATTAGTTTAAGCTAAAACAAATTCGCTTAAACTAATTTTGTTTAAAAAAATTTGTCATTTTTTATATTTTTGCTTAAATAAGTCTATTTTCACTTAAGAAAAAATAAAACTGAATATCCAGTTCTTGCCATAATTAAAAAGGATATGGATCTCAATAATTAGAAATACAGTCATGCACTATACAAATAGTTGAATTTTTTTTTTAAAAATAATTTAATACTACAATTCAATTAACAACTCAACAGATCAAGTAAAATTTGTATTTCATTATCAAATAATATGAATTTAGAGTGATGAAATTTTCACAAAACATTTTTTATTCAATGATGGAGTGGTTGAGACTATCTATCGCAGACAGTAGGTTGCAATTGATTTTATCCAAACATAAAAATCCAAAAGATGGGGATAAAAAAAAAGGAAAATATGAGTAGTTGATGTTTATGATCGGTGCTCATTTATGAGTCTTTATGAAGAACTAAGTATTTTATTTGAGGAAGTTGTAAAGGAAAAGAGCAAAGGAATAAAACCAAAATGCGTCACGTAATCGAAAACGTTATTATGGCAAAGGTGTATTGATTGAACAGCTACACAACACTACTAACTTACCCTTCAAATTTTATATAAATATAAATGAAAGGATAGATAAATGGATATGAAACAGTCTTAAAAGTTATGCATGAATTCTCAATTAGATTCTTAAATATATAAGGTCTAACACGTCACATTACTCCATGTGTATTATATTAGAGTTAAATATATTTTCAGTTGTTTAAAATACACTGTATTGTTAGTTCCTACAATTTTTTTTGTCATTTTAGTATCTATATTTTTCAAAATTATTGTGTTTTTTTTCCTAGTCGACATCAATTTTTTTATCACATATCACTTGTTCATGGAGTCACATCTAAAATGTAAGAACTATTATGATAAAAAATTATAAAAACTAAAATCAGAATGCAATATATTTTAAAAATAAAAAATATATTTAAACTTTAAAATTTCATTATTTTCAACTAACTATATTTTAATACACGTCTGAGTAGTGTGACCTAACAACCATTGCCATACATCAGGTGTGCTTAAGGATTATTTAACTTGTTTAATTTTGTCAATTTGTTATTGTTAATTTCAAAGGATAGGAACGTGGCAAATAGACAAATAATAAGTAACGATTCAAGAATCACATGGAGTAATACATGATATAAAATGCAAAGTATAATGATATTTGTTAGTTTGACTAACAAGGAGTTTAAGTTTCCTTAAATACTGTCTCAGTTAAAGTCTTATGAATGCAAATAAATAAATAAATAAGGGATTGTGAGAGCCTTACCTCTTAAGTCTCAGTAACGATAAGGAAAAAAATGCTTTGGTCCATTATCTTTGCACCTCATGCCTCCAAAAACAGGCGAGAATAGTTGATAATGCAGCCTTTGCTGAAATTATGTTAAGCCAATAAGTTATTTAATTGTTCCCACTGCAAATTTTGCACACTGCTTTATATATATTTTTTGTTAACAAATTAGTAAATTGCTGTCACAACTGAAAGAAAGTTCTCAAGTGGCTAGTTTGGGGGTACCTTGGATAGGCCCAAGTGGCATTGCCCATAGACAAGTTTTACTTTATATTTATATTAATTTACATATATATAATTATTTAAATATTTCTTTTTACAATTTAAACTAAAATATATGTTTCCCTCATATCATTTTTTTCCCCTATCCCTTTAAGGGCCATTAGCATCTCAACTTTTTGTGCAAACTCTGGAATGGTTATTAACATCACGTGCCACATCATACTTTCTGAAACGCACACTGTAGAAACAAATTGAAACTTAAGTGGCCCCTCATTGGTTATGGCATTTACCTCTTCATTCCATCATGACAGTGGCATAATGAACATTTCCCTATTATCACAAAAAACAGGATGATCAGCTGGAATTGAGGAAAAAGGCACAATAGTGCAGGGGTATCAGTAGCACACAATGGATAAGTATTCATATTGACAAAGCCAATAACCAGCACATGTTAGAACTATTTCAAAGAAGTATACATATAATCTTGAAACAATTGAAGAAGAGTATCAAATAAGCCAGCCCTTGATACCCCTCTTGCATTTACCTTTGTAAATTCTGAGTAAGCCATTATAAATGTGTTCACCATCAAAATATACAAAGCATTTGTTTCCCCACGCCCATTGTTTCTAATGGCTAGTTTGTTACAGCGATTCCCTCTCTCATCATTGCACCCTCTTGCTCGTCCCCCTTTAACTGCTGTTTCCACCTATTATTCCCTGTTTTTAACACACATTCCAACCTCTTCCCTTATTTATTCTTGCATTCAGGCAAGGTACGCGACAAGGCTGGGTATTATCTATGTTGAAAAATAAGATTGTGCCATCAGTGAACTGAAAAGTAAATGATACTGAGCTCTGAGATCAAAATTAAAGACTTAATAAATAAATGGCAGACACCTTCATGATATGCGCATTCAAAGGTTGCAGGGAGTGGCTGCATTAACAAGATGTGGACATTACTGCTAGATACAAGCTTCATGGAATGATCACATGAACACTGAATAGAAATCGTACTAAGATTATCATCTTATATACAGATCCCCATATGTCACATCTAGCTATCTATACATTCCAAACATCTTCAGTCTCTACAGGAGCTATGCTCAAAAACAGATTCAGAAGAAGCCCCTGTTCATCAATTCAGCCGGATTGGACTCTAACATACAAATACCACGTTAATTTTCCAGAATCAAATGGAGTACACAAAAATCTTCATCCATCCAGGACAAATTTTATTTTATAAAATTTCAGTTACTTTTTAAAATTAAAATCAGTATGTTTCAAACACCGAACTTATAAGAAAGACCCCAAAAGTCCATCCCATGTTAATGAAGTACTTGTCACTTGATATGCAAGATAAAATTTCTACAGGCCACAGTTAATTGCAAGCAGCAAGAACACATAAAAAAATGCATTTACTTAGCTCAAAAAGAATTAGTTAAAAAAAAAAAGACTTTGAGTTGAAATTTAATGTATTCATTTGAGATTCAAATATAATATATACAAAATATACTTCAACAAGATGACATCACATTTGACTAGTTCTAGTCTAGTTTCAATTTGCCACATTTGCAGATCAGACATAAAATTAAGCTGACTAGAAAAGGCCTTCCAAAATGACATTCACTCTCGTAGACAAAGCATCAGTCATCATGCATGAGCAAACTTTTTGCCAATAACAAAATTTGTTGACTTGACAGTTTTACCAACTTGTTGAATCGGATTGCTCATTCTTCTGCTGGAAACCGTAACTCCCATCTTGTTGCAAACCCATATCGTAAACTTCAGAATTTGCACCTCTACCTCTTGGTGAAGCATAATTTGAAGTTCTGCTAGTATATTTTCCTCCCCTTCTGCCTGCAATGGAGTTACTCCTTCTATGTTTCCTGACAGAACCAACTCCCTCTGAATACAACTCATTAGACCCATCACCATCCTTTGAGACAACCCTCTTTCCATACTCCTTCCTCCTCAATCTGCTTCCATCAGATCTATCAACATCCATGGATAAATCCATCCTTCCACCCCCATCATCCCTCAATCTGCCATCAAAACTTACTCCATTCCTTCCAAAACTTGAAGAAGGAACAGAACGCCCTCCATCACCAGCCCCATCAACACCCTTTGAGAAACTCCTACTTCGATTCCCATTTTTCCTCCTTCTGCCATCAACACTCACCCCATTCTTCCCATAATTCAAAGCAGAAGAACTCTCTCCATCTCTGTTTGTAGACGAACCAACATCCTCAGCCAAAAACCGCCTTCCATTCCCATCTTTCCTGATTCCACCATCAACACTCCTCCCATAGCTCATAGGAGAAGAAGAACACTCTTCATCATCAGATTCATACTCAGACCCTTCATCAACATTCCCCTCGTTGCTCAAACCTCCATCAAAGTGCATTATTTTCCCTCCATAACTCAAAGAAGAAGAACACTCTCCCCCATTAGACCCATCAACACCCTCCGTCACTCCATCTTCTTCCACAAGAGCACTGCCTTTAACCAACCCATACCCATCAACCTTCCTATAAGGCTTGACACTATGAACAACCCCTTTAGGGAAGAACCTTGCAGAGGGCAACTGATCAGGGGTCTCAAACAACTGAGGCCCATCCTTCTCACTCCACAAATCAAAACCCCCAGGCTTCTGAAACCTATCAGCAAGAACCTTAACCTGTTCATCAGCATCAACAGAGAACAAGTTGGGGGCTCTCTCAACAACCTCCCATGGCCTCTCCAACTCAGACACCGCAGCCTTCAACTCAGCCCTTTTCCTCATCTCATATATCTGCCTCTCACGGCTCAGCCTCGCCTTCAGAAGCTGCTTTGCCTTCTTTGCCTGCATGCGCTTCCATTGCCACTTCGATACCCCTCCCGGGAAGGTTCTTGGACCCCCACCCATGCGGATTATGGTGCTCACATTTGAAGGCTTCTTGGTGGGGATTTCCAGGAAGTGGTGTTGTGGGGTTGACAAAGATTTGGAAAATGAGAGTTGGTGTGGCAGGTTGGGGAGTAACAGATTCATTTGGGTGGCAGCAAAATATCTTTTTTCTTTAAATTTTTATCTGAAAAATAAAATCAACATAACGTAAGCTATGAAGCAATTCATTCAAGTACGATAGAGAATATTATGAGTTCTTTGTGAAGTATGAAGAGAATCTCTCGAAAAGGAATACTAACTTGAAACATAAGTACCACAGTTCATCTCTACACAAAAGTAATGCTATATCTTATTTCTTCCTATTTTGGAAATCTGAGCTCAAAATATTTAAAAGCTTGTCTCCTTAGAGGTTCCTTGTGCAACATTTATAATTCTAACATTGCTTAGGAACAAGAAGTCCTGTATGCCATACATTCCTCTCCTCCTACTAGAGATTACAATCTGTATCTATCATTTATGACATTGGATTTCCCTATCTTGGTAGACATTACAATCTGTATCTATCAAATCAAGTCTCAATGAATTAGGCATATGGAAACCGATGAAAATAAGGTGCGTAATTACATTCCAGTTTAACATACATTGGTACGAGGACATGAACTTCACAACTCAATAGTGAATATATTGATTTATGCATGTAAAATTACTATTAAAATCGGTTAAAGCATAAAAATGACAATTTAGTAGCAAGAGACTTGGTGCCTAGGTGGTCGCTCTTCTCCATTTTACACCCAAATCAATGATAACAACATTCAAACATATTTTCACCTCAATCAAAAGTGATACACGATACCTGCTACATCAATTCATCGTGAAGTTAGACACCCTAACCATTCTTCCATAAGATTCAAAACATACAAACCCCACACCACAAGCTTATTTCTAGTTCACTTAAATCCCTTTAGAACTTAAATGATAGAGTTTTGGTTGAAGTAAAGGATTAGAATCGCTCTTCAAATTCAAACCTTAATGCTCAAAGTGCAAACTCTCCTCTTCCTTCCAATTGTCTGTGACAAGAGCAAGGAAAGAGACGAAATTGTTCAGATTTTGTTATCTCAGCTTCTTCCCTTTGCCAATAAGTCTCTCCATCTAATCCTTATACTATTAAATTCCCCTACTTTTCTTATATCTTCCGATTCTTCCCCCATATATTTCTCTAATTTCAATTTTCAACTTCACCTTATTTTTAAAAGGTTTTGCTATTTACATCACTCATTTTTTTTAATTATATTATTTAGAATTTTTATTCTAAAATTTTTATTTTATAAATAAGAATTATAAAAAAATCTCATTTTTTTTTAATTTTAAAGATTACACTTTTTTTAAAATAAAAATCCTATTCATTTCATTCTTTTCAAATTAAATCATACATCCTAATTTTTTTAAGTTAACTTCATTTATTTTTTTCATCACATCTTTATTAAAAAAAAAGTTATAAAAGTTACACTATATTTTCTTTCCATTACTCTCCATCACTATTGTCATTTGCACTTTGTTGTCCATCAATCATCATGTCATGTCTTTTCTTTGTTAATGTCTATATTTTTTATAGTTAATTATAAAATTATAGATTTTAAAATTCTATAACTATAACTCTTTAATTACAAATCAAAATTTTTAACTAAAATAATTATATAAATGTATATTTTTTAAGTATTTGAGTTACTTTTAATTTTAAAATAAGAAAAATTATTCATAATTATACATCAACTAATTTAAATAAGATTTTGTTAATCTTAGCCTTTAAAGTTACGGATAAACAACTAATACTAGTAAAAATTTATTAGAAAAAGAAATGTTTATTATATTTTTATAATTTTAATATAATAACTATATTTTTTTTATAATTTTTTTATTTATAAATGTTTAAACTCAACTCTAAGAACTTAGGTTAATAAAACTCATTTAAATAATTTTATATAAAAAATAAATAAATAAAATATTTTCATAAATTAGAAACAATTTATACTTTTTAATTTTTTAAAATAATTATCTCATTTAAATCTTCTAAATTTTGAAAACACAAATTGTTAACTTATAAAAAAATGTTATTTATTTTTTATACTGATTTTCTTTTATAAATTTATCCAAATTAAGTTCATCATGTGTTGTGTCAGTAGAAGTTACCTACATTAATGGTGTGACTATGTTACAAGCCACATATGACTTAACAAAAGCTCAAATTCTTCTTCCAATTGCTTCCAAATGAATGTCAGCTTCTTCCCTTCTCTTTTTTTGGGTTCTTTTCCTATGTTCTATGTTTTCAGATATAGAAATGTTCACCTATATCGCCAAACACAACAAAAGCTTTATCCAAACTAAAAGTGAATAAAGATGCATGCTAGATGTTATGAATTAAAGTGCACTATCCCACCATAGTTCAGTGCAAACTAAATAGAAAAAGATATGCAAATAACTCACATCACAACCAAAATTATAAGAAAAATATATGTTAGCATTGATTTTAAACAACTAATATTTATTATATTTTTGTATCTTTAGTGAATATATAGTTTTAGATGCTTAAAAACCATTTCTAAATGTTGATATTAACAAAATTAAAATATAAATAATAATTTTTTCATCAGATATATTATTTGAAAAAGCTTCAATTTAGTTTAACTAATGAAAACTTGCCACAGATATGTTTTAGTAAACCACAGCCAATACTAAAACATACCGTGTGGTGTGTGGAAGGATTGCAAAAATGCTATATTCAAAATAGATGTAGCTTAACAAAATAACTAAATATTTATTTTTAAAATAATTGAACAATTATTTAATGTTTTATATCTTACTATAATTATTTAGAATTAGAAAGTAATTTGTGTTTATATTGTTAGTGTTAAAAGTGAATCTTATGGTAATTTTGTGTATATAGTCTTAAAAGTATGCATTAGCTGCATAATTGTAAAAGTTTGTGATAAAGTATAATGATTTTCTTTTGATCTTGATATTTCTTTTGATTACAGGAACATTTAAAGTGAGTACATAACATTTTCCCCATAGCATTGTTGTCATTTAAGTTTACAAATTTTTCTTTAATATGGGGTTGACCCAATCAAATTATTATCATTACTAAGGCCATACATAACTTGATTAGATCTTTTGAAAAATATTAATCAATCAAAAGCTTGGTTTGAGTTGAAGCTGAATTAAAACTAGGCCTACCCTTAAGCTCAACAATGGCCCACAAGTACCCTCATGTGCTTAGGAGTATTAACCAATCACAAGGATGATACAATAAGACAATAATGCATATTACTATAATAGGCATTAATTTAAATCAACCCAAGATTCTTCTTGGGAAATTTCAGGTGAACAACTTTCGAAATATATTTCAAATTTTCTTTGGTTATTGCTTTTTCAATGATCATTTACATAAGTCAAGACCAAACTCCCTCATTCAAGGTTATACCTACCAAAACCATGTTTTTAAATCTAAGTCAATTATATATACATAAAAAAGTGTCACAGTGATAGAAGGAGCCATTTGAATATTTTGATCAAACAATGGGAAAGACTACCTATTTAAGTAACATGCCAAATAATGTTGTCTACACAAGTTACTTTTGGAAATTACATTAAGAGTTAAATAATTTGCTTCCTTGTCTTATTATTGTTCATTTATGGTAGTAATATCATCGTGCAGGAAAATAATTAGATTGCTAGAAACAAGGACCCTTTGAAAAATCTTGAGGATATATATATAATTATATAGCTCCAAATTAAAGATGTGTTGTGAAAGAGCATTACTATTTACTTATTTATGCGTTTCTTGAGACATTAATGGCAAAGCATTCGATATACATATATGTAGATAGATTCACATCAAAATTTTGTTACATTTATTTTATTATGGCGTGATTTTATAAAAATATATATAATTATCTTTTACTAAAATTAATTTTATCTTTAAAGTTTCATTTAAACCAATTTGATAAATTATAATATTTTTGCTAAATAATTTATGTTCACCTAAGTACACGCTAAGTGATGCAATGCCATCAATATTCAACTAATCAAAATATGATGTCTTGATTGTTTTTGATATAAATATGTTATTAAGACTAGTAGAGGGGTATATTTTTTTTTTAAGATCAGCATTGTAGTATATTTTATTATATTATATTATAATGGTTAAATTATATATTTTATCTTTATAGTTGATATTCATTTACAAACAAGTCTTTATATTTAAGAAAAATGCATTTTAATCCTTATATAAATGTTTTATTACGTTTTAATTTTATCATTTATGTTTTAGTCGACAAAGACTAAAACATAAGTTTTAATGACTAGCTAATTCATAAATTAGTATTAACTACATGAAGATTAAATATATATTTTAATAAAAAATAATTTTTTTTATGAACTTGTCTAAAAAAAAATTAAAAATGAGTCATCAAATAAAAAAATCATGAATTTTAAAATATTGAAAACTCATATTTAAGTCAAAAATTATTTATGTATCATGTATGTTTATTGAAAAAAATTATTAATTTGGTATAACATAAATCAATAAAATAATAATAATTATAGATAATAAATGCTAAGAATAATTTACATATAATAAAAACTTTTATTACAATTAAAAAAATACTTAAACATAGTTATATATTACAAAATTATAATAAAGATGTTAACATTAATGTTTTATTTATTCTTTTAAAAGTAAGATAAAAGGTAAAATATATAATTAAGTAAAATTTTTTATTAATAAAAAATAAAGTGTTGAAGATGAAATTGAATTATAATACATGTATTTTTTCAATTAAATTTAATTTATTGTATTCTTTTAAAAATATAATTAGTTTAAATATATATTTGATTAATATATTTAACACGTTTATAAATTAATTTTTATATTTAAAAAATTATATTTTAATCTTTATATTTAAAAAACTTATATGTTAATCTCTATACTTAAATAACTAATATTTTAGTCTTTATTATTATGATTTAGTCCCTTTATTGATAACTTCGTTGTAATAACAAAGACAAACATAAAAACATAAATAAAAAAGATAAAAATATTTGTATAAGTATTAAAACGTAATTAATTTGTAAATCTAAGTCAACTATAGAAACTAAGTGTATATTTCAATTTATTGTAATAATATGTGATTTAATGAGAAAAAGAATAATTTTTAAAGAAAAAAATTCCATATATAAAAAATTATGTAATTTAATAAAAAATATATTCTTATTTAAGATGATGATTTGCATTTATGATAAAGAATAAATAAAAGGAGAGAGTAAATTTGAATATTATAAAAAGGAGTAATAAAAATAGTTTTGAATAATATAAAAAAGAGTAATATTATTTTAATTAAGAAAAGCTTGCGTGTGTGGACTGAAAAAAAATAAAAAGAAAAAGATGAGGGTATCTGATAGCGATTCCTAACTTGATTTCTTACACTCTCTTTTGGTTACAGCTGTATTCACGACCCCTCTTCTTTCTATCCTTTACTCACTCAAATATTCTTTTTTTTTTTTAATCTAATTATTTTAAATTCTCTTTATTTAATTAATATAATCTTTTCTTTTTATTATTTATGACCCCATCTACCATTTTGTCTCACTCTTCCACAATTTCCAACTTTTCAGTTCTTCGTGTTCATACTGCATATTAAAATAGGTATTGATACAAGTGCTACTACTATTATTATTCTTTTCATATTCATGGGCTTTTCAGAGACAGCTGTTATGTTTTTCTTTTTTTATTTTTAGTTTTGTTTATTGGTGATTAAAAATATTTTTATGTTAATTTGATGATTAAAAATAATAATTTGGTGCACAAATCAATTAGGGAACCAATTTAAGAAATAAAAGAAGTTTAAAGGCAGAAGTTTAGTTTTTGCATTAAAAGTTTATTTTTACACCTCATTTTCAATATGCTTTTCATTTAAAAAATGTTTGAGAAAAAAAAAGGAAGTGAAGAGAGAATTTCATTTACAAAAATGATTTATAACTTATCATAAAAAATACTAGAGCATGTTTATTTTCCTTTTTTAAAAACATTTTCTGTTTTTAAAATAAAATTATATGGTATTTTATTTTTAAAAATAGAAAACTATTTTTAAAAAGGAAAATAAACATACTTTTATTCTCATCTCATTTCTTTAAAAAAACTGTAAAAAATTAAATATAGCATCAAAAATTAATTTCTAACTTAATTGTATTTTTTATCCTTTATTATAGTTTTAGTGTAATAATTTTAGTCTTTTAATTGTTTTCCCTCAAATTTAGCTTCTCTAGTTTTCAACTATTATAATCAAGTTTTTTTCATCAATTTTTCTTTAGATGAAACTCAATTTTTACTTTCTCCTCAGTTGAAAGTTTATGATATATGTAAGACAAGAAATAATTTTAAAGGTTTAGAAAATACATAATAAATTTAATTAATTTTATTAGATGTGAAATCAAAATTTTACGGAGGAAAAAATGAGTTTTTTTTTTAATGTAAATATGGTGAAATTTTGAGAAAAGCGAGAATTAGAGATAAAAAAAAATTGTGACAACTAAAAAAGAGAAATGAAACTCAAATAAAACATCTTTAAATATTAAAATTATACATCTATTTATATATATATATTAACTGTGAATCTTATTTTTAAAAAAGAGTATTTTGTGAGTTATTTTGAATAAAAACATTTTAACAAGAAATTATTATTTTTATTATGACTTATGTCTTCTGTTATATTAAACATTTAAAATTTTTAATTAATTTAAAATTTTCATAATTTATCTCTCTAATTGAATATTACGTAACACAATTGAATATTTATCATTAATAATAATAAAAATTATTCTTTTTTAAGTTTATAGAAAATATAAAAATTTAAGAACTTGGAATATATATTTTTAACTAAAATTTTTTTTAACTTAATAATAATCATGGAATACACAAGAAAAAACTCATGAAATAATAAAAATAGAATTGTAAAAAAATATAACTTTTAAAACAGCTATCATATAAGTCAATAAATTTTAATAATACGACAACTAACAGTAATCGAAGCTTTACACTATCCGTTCATTTCGATGAAATTCAAATTATTTTGTCAAAAGCAACCAAAAACTCTTGTGTCAAAATACGATAATCATGTACATTGGAATGTCATAAAAATAATGAAAGAAAAACAAATGTGATTCCTTTACTTTCTCCGTCTGTTTCGTGAGAAATGGTGTAGAGAGCATAATAATTACTTAATTATATTAATATATCATATTATTATATTCAATCTCTCTCTCTCTCTCTCTCTCTCTCTCTCACTCGTCTTTCTCTCTCACGCACATAGCAACACCAAAAAACACATAAGTGTACTACAAAGAAAGAGAGATTGCGCAAACATTTCAGTGATTTTTGGGTAATTATCCTCGTGATCTGCGCACAATCTCAACTACTGCATATGGGTTCTTCTTCTTTTTTCTCTCTTTGTTTGTTCACCACCCTTCTCTTTGAATAAATCCATTTCAAGTTTTTGCAACTTGGAGGGTGCAAAAGGTGAGATTTTTTAGTTGGTTTTGTGCGTGTCATCTTAAAAACCCATTTTTTTTTTCTGGGGTGCTTTTGTTTGTTTTATTTTGCCTTTATTTTTTACCCTTTTTGTGCTACTTGTTTTGTATGTGAGGCTGTGGCAATATGATTTTGCATTTTTAGCTTTGAGTTTAAAAGGTTGAGGGAGTTTGGTGCATTATGTGTCAACTGGGTGAGTTGGAGGTGGCATTTTTATCTGTTGTGTATGACTTTGACTTTTGTTTTGTTCTTTGTGTTCCACTTGATGCTTTTGTGTAATGCAATTTTGGGTTACCCACATCGTTGATGGCTTTGTTGAAAGGTTTTCACATCATCATCATCATCACAATTGACTGCTCCTCTAACAGTTTAACTTCATTCCAAAGATTTCTCGTGTGTTTGAATTTGTGGTAGTTGATTGGCTTAAATTGATCACAGGAATTCTGTTAGTTAAATTCCTTTGATCGTTGGGGTGCTTGAGTTTGTTGAGGTTGGTTATACTTGTAGCTTCACACTCAACTATAGGTGCACTTGTAAACTTTATCCTGAAAATGCATGTTATATTTGGTTGAAGACTATGTTGGGGGGATGAGTTTCATGTCATGGCTATTTGAATATTATTTGGAGTAGATAGGGACTTGGAAGGTCTAAAGTGAAAGTTATGTAAAGTTTTTATCAAGTATGACCTAAATGGTTTAGTTGACTTTGTCATTTTTGTTCAACTGAAAAATATTTACATAAACATGTGATTGGGGCTTTTGCTAAAGAAGAGGGTTGGCTCTTGACTTCCAAATGAGTTTGAGCTAACTTGATCAGTTATTTGACTATGTTAGTTTCTTTTTCTTCTACCAAATGTGCCTTATTCTGAAGTTAATGTTTTAATCTATATCTTTCCTTAAAGTGAAAGAAAAGTGAAAGTTTATCTTATTGGTGACCTAAACAGATTGCTTGATGTATGCTGTCATCAGAATCTAGCCTCCTTTATAAGCTGGCTTATATTCTATAATCTTTTGCTAAGAAATGAACCTTTACCAAATCGAGAATGGCACACATGATAGAGGATGTTTGAGCTGTTTTAAGAATCAAAACTTAAAGTCGACAAATACCTGGCTTCTTCCTTTCAATACAACCACTTCAACTGCCATTTCAATAAAGATTTTTTAAAATAATATCATATTCCAGGGTCATGTTTGGCATGAAAAAAAAAAAAAACTCTTTTTGCTAAGTGGTCGAGAGTTTGAACCTTACCCCCTTATTTTCTATAATTAAATTAAATTTCAAACAAGATAAAGTGAGATTTTTTTATTTTATTTTTTTCATTTTCCAAATCTCAGATATGAAGGCTTGGAGATACAAAGCCATTCATGTGTTAGATAACAACTTAAGCTATTAGTAGAGTTTTTGTCTTTTTTCAATATCTCAATAGGAAACAAGTTGTACTCGTGAGGTTGGTTATGCTTCTGAGGTAATCTAACTAATAAATGAAAAAAATTAGAGAAGTATATAGTCTGCTTCTTTTGTTGGCAAAAAGGCCACAGTGAAAAACCTGAATAGTAAACATAGGCACCTTCATCTGGAGTAGAAAATTTCAAACCAAAACACTGCATATACAAATAAAGTTTGTATTAAACTGAAAAAGTTTAAGTTCAAGTGGAGTTTCTGAAGGCGAATACTTGGAAAATATTCACAAATGACAAGTTTTTTTTTCTTTAGTTGGCTTATTCTGGCATTTTTTTAGGAATTGATAAAACTTATTTGCTGATATATCAAGATTAACATGTATATTTATAACATCCCTGGGGTATTTCAGTTATATAGTTTGTCTCATTGATATAGTGAAGAGATATTTGAGCAATATATGCTAATGATTTTTTCACTTTCGTTCGTTGGAACAATGGTTCATTTTTCACACAACCCAATATTTATGCACTTCATTTGTCTCTGGGTTTGGTTCTAATGCTTCTGTTAAACTCATAAGGCATGTAAGATTGTATCCATTATAATCACTGGAGAAGGCAAAATTCTGACAATTTAACTAGTGGATTCCTGCATGCCAATTTGCATCTGGTAATCACTGAATGTGTCTTTTTGAAAACATTTATGCATTTCTTAAAGTTAACTCAATTTTTTATGACCTCAGAAAGTAGGTTAAGTGAAAAAGGTTTTTGTTTTCTTGTAGAATTTTATTTGAATGCAAACTGTGAAGAAGCTAAAGAACTTAAACTGGTTTTATTCTTATGTACAGTCCCTTAGCACCTAAACTATCATAAAATGGGTAGTGTATACTTTTTCTTTTATTTTATTTTTATAAATATTAATGTTTGTTACTTTGGATTTTTGTTTATTGCTTGGGTATGGCATGTTACAAGGACAGGAATTTCATACTGTATGATAACTTGTGTAAGTTGTTATGCTTTTTTTAATACTAATCAAACAAGTGCATGCTTAATTTTCTCTTTATTCCTGATTTAGTTATTGTTTCCATCTTACATTTCACAGGGAATCTAACTTTTGCAAAAGTAGTGCTTTGGAAGCAATGGGGGCACAATTGTGACAAATATGGATCCTCAGGCCTTCATTAGGCTGTCAATAGGTTCTCTGGGATTAAGATGCACTGGCATTGAACTGAGCACTGGAAAATCTGGAATCCAAAGACTCTCTTCACCTTGTGTTTGTGAGATAAGGCTTCGGGGCTTTCCTGTTCAAACCTCGTCAGTCCCCTTGATATCCTCCACCGAAGTTATACCTGATACCCAGAACATTGCTTCCAGCTTTTACCTTGAGGAATCTGATTTGAAAGCTTTGTTAGCTCCTGGTTGTTTCCATAACACTCATGCTTGTTTGGAGATTGCTGTTTTCTCCGGGAGGAAGGGGTCCCATTGTGGAGTTAGTATCAAAAGGCAGCAAATTGGGATTTTTAAAATGCAGGTCGGCCCTGAGTGGGCTGAAGGAAAGCCGTTGATTCTTTTTAATGGGTGGATAAGTATTGGCAAGAACAAACAGGAGAATGGAAAGCCAGGTGCAGAATTACATTTAAAAGTGAAACTAGATCCTGACCCTAGATATGTATTCAAATTTGAAGATGTAACAACATTGAGTCCTCAGATAGTTCAGCTGCAAGGATCCATCAAGCAGCCAATCTTCAGTTGCAAGTTTAGTAAGGACAGGTGATATGAAATTTGCAATCTATTTTACTTTCAACTATGTTGTCTCTATCTGAGAGATTCTTTAAAAGCCATGATTTAGTAGTTCTCAAATAACCTGCATACAAGTTTTAAAATTAAAATCAATATCATGTTTTACATAGTTTTTCTTCAATCAACTTAGTTTTAAGAAATTTTGTTTACTTTGCATCCTGAAGCATGGACAAAACACTTATATCAGAATGTCTATGTGGATTGATGTAGTTAACCACTCTCCAAATGAAGATTAAATTATATAAGCCTTTTCTTCATAAGAACTCAAGGCTTGATTTTGGGACCAAGGAATTAAATCATTCTCTCTCTCAAATCAATATTTCAAGTGGAAAATGGTAGTGTGCTTTCTTCATTGTTTCTTTGTCATATGTATAGATGTGCAACATTCTTCTAAAAGCTTGTTGTTAATAAAACTTTTGATAGTTATGAAATGACAGGGTTTCCCAGATTGACCCGTTGAGCACTTACTGGTCAGGTTCTAATGACATTTCTGACTTAGAGACGGAGAGGAGAGAACGAAAGGGGTGGAAGGTGAAGATACATGATCTCTCTGGCTCAGCTGTAGCTGCTGCCTTCATAAAAACTCCCTTTGTTCCATCTTCAGGTTGTGATTGGGTTGCCAGATCCAACCCAGGAGCATGGTTGATTGTTCGTCCTGACGTTTGTCAATCTGAGAGCTGGCAGCCGTGGGGAAAGCTTGAAGCATGGCGTGAACGTGGCATTAGAGACACTATTTGCTGCAAATTCCATCTTCTATCCGAAGCTCAGGAAGGAGGCGAACTTCTTATGTCTGAAATTCATATCAATGCCGAAAAGGGTGGCGAGTTTTTCATAGACACTGAAAAACAATTGCGAACTGCAACCAGTGCAGCAAGTCCAATACCTAGTCCTCAAAGTAGTGGAGACTTTGGTGCACTGAGTCCACTCGTTGGAGGTTTCGTCATGAGTTGTAGAGTTCAAGGTGAAGGGAAGCGTAGTAAGCCGTTAGTACAGCTGGCAATGCGACACGTGACGTGTGTGGAGGATGCTGCCATCTTCATGGCTCTTGCAGCAGCCGTTGACCTCAGCATTGAGGCGTGTAAACCTTTTCGTCGGAAGATCAGAAGAGGTTTTCGGCATTCTATGTGAAGAACAAGGCAAATGTATTTATAGCAACTATCATAAATGTGAATGCTGTGCCTTTGCTTTTCATTGCTGCAATGTTAGAAAAATGTACAGTCTAAGTTGTTGCCACACATTGCCCTCTTGAGAATTCAACATATTAGCATTGTGATGTCTTGGGCTACATGACAATGGGGGGCATTTGTACAATTAATTATAGCCCACAAAATGATCTCAAGTTAATGATCTTTCCTAAAATTGACATCATTCAGAAAAAAAAAAAGCTTTTACTTTTGGTAGCTTGTTATTGTCAAATGTCAAATATCTTTGCTTCATCATTGATTTGGATTCATGATAGACATTGTTCAATGTATTGTCAATGGCTGTGTTTTACAATATGTACAGTTTTATGATTTTGAATTATCTAAGTAAACACATTGTCACTAGAGTCCATTGTGAACTTTAATGTTTTGGACACGTTTAATATTTCAATTCTTAGTATATTTATTCAATTTGATTTAATTAGTTTTATTTGAGATTTTAGTAGTTTTTTTTAATCTTTGTTGTGTGTTCCATGTTTCCTTTTGTATTTTCGAGTGTGTTATTAAAGATTTTGGATTAATTTAAGAAAGTTTTGTTAATGAAACTTAGAAAGGAAATCTGTTCATATTGACCCAAATATTGAAAATATTTTAAATGGATTTGAATTCTTAATAAAATTAAGATTCCTAATTAAGAATGAAAGGAACAAAGGTCAAAACATGGATTTAAGAGCAAGTATTCTTCATTTGATTTCTTCTTCTCCTTCCAGTTGAATTTCTCATGTTGTCTTTTGATTTCTTAAATTTTAAGGATTGTTCTACAGCCATGCGAGGCTAATTTTCTTAAGGGTTTTGTTAAGTTTAAACATTTATGAATAGAATTTTGTATGGAAAAAGGCTATGTTTATTGTCTTAAAGTTATAAAGAATAATATATATTTTTTAATAAAAAATTTATTATTATTAGTTGTTTATTATCAATCTTTTTCATGTTTGTAGGGTTAGACAAGTTGATCATAAATGAATGTTAGAACTTTTAATTATCTTCTTAGATAGTATTTATTTAATTTTTTTCAATTTTTTTTTCCTTAATGTAATTAATTAATGTGAGTAAAGTTTCTAATTATTTTTTTGGTGCAATTGAAGCTGTTTTTTAATTTTTATTTATTTTATTTGTTTTTCGTTAAGAAGAAACTACTTTTATTTTTTAGAATTTCTCCAAAATTGTATTTTGCTCAACATCCACGTGTTATTCAGGTGATCGATCATGTGTTGTTCAGATGAGGAATTAAATGTTCTAAGCCACTCCCATGTGTTTTTCATAAATGAATACAAATATTGTAAAAATAATGCAAAATTGTAGATTTTTCATCAATATAATTAACTGGTGTACATATAATTTAACTTTAATTATAGTATAACTAAATCTCAGTTTTAAATATAACGCTAGTGACACACTTTATAATACACTTTTTATTATTGGCTAAAATTTATTAAAAACTGAAAAAAATATGAGAGAAAAATATTAATTTAATAGTAAAAAAAAATCACAGAATTTTTGTAATTTTTAATAAATTTTAATTAATAATGAATAATGTATTATAAAAAAATACATTGCTAGCATTACTCATAATTACAGTCTTTTTATTTTATAGTTGAACATATTAGTTTCTGTGTATTGCTTTTAGAGTAAATTATAGTAAGTGTTTGTAATGATTAATTTTTTTTTATATATAAAAAAAGTTGACTTAAGTTTGAAGGGAAAAACGTTGAATTAAACAATAATTTATAAAATGTTTTGAATGCTTGTTATATGATCTAACTTATTCAGGTGGTGAGAGGAATTAAATGCTTTAAGCAACTAACTGCAAGTGTCTATTATCACTGTTATTTAAGTGAAATTTTTTTAAATACTCATTAACAATATGGTTACAATAGAAAAAAAAATGTATTTTATTTAGACAAAAATCACTTATATAAAAATGATAAAAATATTTAAAAGTGATTATACACAGAACTCAACTAACAACTACTAATAACAATAAGTTTTTTTTAATTGAAAAATAAAGCGGATGAGGATCTCTTGCCCATTCAAATTTATTCATATATATATATATATATATATATATATTATTAATAGATATTATTTTATAAAATTTTATATTATTATGTAAATTTAATGGTTGAGATAATCTACAGTGGGAAAGTGAATGCAGAGGATCTCTTTCCCAATAAAGCACTTATTATATTTGTATATCTTTAATGTAATAAATATTTGAATTTTTTGTAAAAAAAAATTACTTTTAGTTACTTTTTACCTTGAGAGTTAAAGTTAACACTTTTCCAATATTAAAACATCTAATAATTAAATCTAGGAATTTACTTTCTATAAACAGGCTACCCTTTGAGGCTAATGAATTATTGAAGAGCTTAACAATTTCCAATTAACATAATATCACAAAAGTATGATTAAGTTTAGTTTTAACATGTTTTTAACTAAAAAAAATTGAAGAAAATTATAATAAGGTAATTTACCTTCAGAAGTGAATATCAGCCCCCAATTAGTTGATTAAGTAAGACCCATGTTTGTTTAGTTTTTTCTTAATTCTTGCAAAATCTCTAGTCTATATACAATCAATACTTTGATTACTTTCCTAGTTCAGTACTCAACCCTGATGTCTTATGGAAACAATATCTTATTTTACGAGTTCACTAAAAGTAAATTTGTGGTGATTAACATTAACTCAAGTGATGATATGATTATTCTTGGCAAATTAAGTTAATGAAATGAGTAATGACTAATGATACTTTTATTGTGTAGACAATATATCTACTCATATTATATAAATGTTAAAATGTGTACTGTGATATTTACCCATTAGTAGTTTAGATAGTTTCTATTACCGATTAAGGACCTAATTGTTTAAGTAATTTAATGGAATTCATACAATAATTGAGCAAAAAAAAAGTAAAAAATAAAAAACTGTTTCAATGGCATTTTCTAAACAGTAAAAAAAGATAATTTTATGAAAACTTCGTTTGACATATTGTTATCTTAGTCCTCACAAAATTATTTTTATTTTAGTCTTTGCATTTTAAAAAATTATTAGTTTTACACTCTCAGTTGGGTCGAACAAGGGCTAACAATTACGTCTTCTACTTGCCAGTAACATTCTGAAAACACGTATTTCGTCAAAAGCATTAAAAAGTAGCAAAATTTCCGTTCTATTACCGAAAACAGACAGTGCTTATCTTCATAGTTCAAACACGTCTAATTTGCTTAAAGAGACGATAGCCATATTATTAAATGAAGATAAAGAATTCACAATCAAGTATACGAGGGATTAAACGTGCCAATCCCTAGGCTACTTCGGCTCTTAACAAAATAGGGATAAAACTAACCTTTAAAATTTTCAAACCAAAAGATAAAATGATTGGTCTTTTCTTGGCTGGATTGTCTAAGGTTATTTTTTGGGCGTAATTTTATGATGTCATTGATACTCCAATATCTAATTAATTGAAAATGATCAATCAAAATAATTACAAATTCCAATACTTAAAATTTTTCATTTCTAGGATCTATTTTTTCAATAGATGAAAAATAATTGTCACTCAGTAAACTTCAAAGTCATTTAATCAAATTTCAATTGATTACATTGGCTAAAGGAAAGATTTAATGATGCAAAGAAAATAAAAATAATTAAATTGTCTTGTATACAGCCATGTGAATCATCTGTTAGACTGCCATCCACACTATTGGACAGAAATGGACCAGCATCTACTTCAGCCATCCATAAGAATCTAGTCAATCTACAACATTGTTCACCCTGTAGCAGATCCAGAAGGTTATGCTCCCCACGTTTCTGCATAGAATTCTCCAAATTCAAGTTCTACAGCAAATATCCATTCCAAGGGTTTGGTTTTGTTGGGAGGCAATAGAGGTGCTGCTCTCCGTGCATGTGTATATATATATATATATATATATATATATACAATGCTCACTCCTTGCTCATTAACTATGAATGTTTCCTTTCCCACTTCCCTTCGCGTCTGTTGTCTCTGTCTCTACGTTCTCCAAGTTGCCTTGACTTGCTTCCTCTTGAACCATGCCTTTGAGACCCGTATCCACTAGACTGGGCATCAAAAGCAGATGCTAATTCTGGATCTCCAATGCTACTGGTATCCCCAGAGTCCTTGCTTCCATCAACATTTTCTTCATATGTGCTGCCACTGTCATCCTGTCTATCACGTGACTGTAAGATAGTAGGCAGCTGGCCTGAGAATGTCCGAGATCCAGAAAGAACTATAGTTGGTGAGGCTGCCATTGATGAACTAGTAGAAGGAATTTCAGGCTGTAAGCTTCCACCGCCAACTCTAGTACTCCCTTCATTACCAGATCTTCCATTTTCTCTTTCTCGAAATCTATCCCTAGGTCGACTACAAGACAAAAACCACATGAAGCAAAAACAAAACCCAGAGAAAAAAGCACAAAATACATCTGTCCTTTCCAGCAGAATAGAGAATAAAAATCATTCAAAACCAGAACGTTCATTGCAGGGAAAAAGTAGCGTGGAACATACAACACTATAACTGCTTACCTACTGTGAGAGGAAGAAGGGAAATCACGCCGAGATGGCCGAAGCCCTGATTCTGCTTGCTCTATTTCACGCTGAAGTTCTCTCTGCATATAAATGAAGAGGTATTATTATTTTAAAAGCCCTGAAGCAGAAAAACATACTAATATTTTTCCAATCCTCCTCAACTTAAAGATGCTGCACATTTTGGCTTATGCTAATTTTCTTTGATTGAGGGAGAAAGAAATTTTCTAAGGCAACATCCTGGAGCTGAAAAGAATGGAATTTGGTGACAAAAAAAACTGCAGGGATGCTACACCCTCTACAGGATACCAATAACGTGATCCTTAAGGATAGCACTGGACTTATTCCACCTGGAACTTATAAGGAATACTGTTCCTCAATGGGAGATTTAATAAATGTATCACACATCACAAATTGTTAAATATGGTTGCTATTTGACATCGCTCTCTTCATTAACTTGGACTCAAGAAATCCTTGCATGGTGATTTAAATGGGAGTTTATGTAGTGCAACAACCTAAAGATTTACTGCTCAGGAGGAGTATGTAATTGTGTGCAAACTGCAAACTATATAAATCTCTACATGGCTTAAAGTAGTCTACCCAAATCTTAGTTTTTCCTCCTCAGCATTATCATTCAAACCTGGCATGACTCAATGAAGTTGATCGTTCTATGTTGTAAAATATAATTAGGAGATTTGTTATGTAATTAAGGATAGATTTGGCTGATTTGATTTGTACAATTCTTATTTCCTTAATTAGGAGACTAGTAGTCTATATAAATGTATTTTGTACAGGCTCTCAGTTAATTAAGCAATTCTAATATTATTCACATAATATTCTGTTCCTTTTTTTTTTTCAAGTTGGTATCAGAGCTCCCGCTCCCGATCTAGGGAGCTCTGCTTCCGCATCTTCTAGGCAGCCTTCATTGTTGCAAATCTGCGCACGTTAGCACCGTCCATCACAGTCCGCTACTGACCACTGCGGACCCAACCAAAAACACACCAGGAGGGAGTGACTCTTCAAGGTTGGCCTACCCCCCGTCAATCGTTGGTTCTGTCTCTGGCACGTGTACGTCATGCGCCACCTTCCCAGCCGCCGTTTTTTACCGAACCACCACAGACTTGGTTGCAGACCATTCTTGATTCTGTTCCAAGGGTCGTTTCATCTTAATACAGCCTCTTTTAAGTACTGTTAGAAGATTCTACGTTAAGCGGTTACTGTTCAAACGCGGTACTATTCATCAAATTTTTGTTTCTGCATTTTTTCATTCTCCCAATATGTCTGAAGACAAGACAGCCCCTGTTTTGAATACCAACGATCTACAGGTTCTGCAAGACTCTTATCACCTTGATGGGCGAAACTATTTACAGTGGGCTCAGTTGGTTCGCACAACCCTCAAGGGACAGAAGAAGTTGAGTCACATTGAAGGAGACCATCCAGCCAAAATGGACCCAAAATATGAAGTTTAGAATGATGAAGACTCTCTAATCATGACTTGACTGTGGCATTCTATGACACCGGAGATCAGTCGGAATTGCATGTTTTTCTCCAATGCAAAGGAAATTTGGGAGAACCTTAGAAAGACGTATTCTATGAAGAAGGATACTGCAACATGTTATGAAATAGAGAGTAAGATCTTTAATACCAAACAAGGGAGTCTTTCAGTAACAGATTACTACAGAACATTGAATGGTTTGTGGATTGAGTTGGACCAGTATCAGAATCTGAAAATGGAGTGTACAGCTAATTCAAACACACTGACAGCATTCCTAGAAAAGGTGCTAATCTTTAAGTTCCTGCATGGACTAAACTTAGAGTTTGAACCAATTCAGGTTCAAATTTTGGACAAGAATGAACTTCCTTCTCTCTCAGAGGTGTTTCACATTGTACGAGGTGAAGAAACTTGGAGGTCAGTTATGCTGGAAGGGGGGCAGTTCTATTGATGGTTCAGCCTTGGCTACGAACAAGAGTTCTATGGATGGTTCAGCCTTAGTTAGTGGCAAGGGTCCTATAAAAGGCTCTTCATTTGGAAGGCCACCAATAAAAGCTAGTCGTGAAGATAGGTGTAGTTATTGTAGGAAGACGGGCCACACTAAGGAGACATGTTTTAAGTTCCATGGCAAGGAGAAGGTTCTTGAGCGAACTGGAGGGTTCAAAGGGCTTACACAACGATGTGCTAATCAGGTGGCATCTGACTATGAAACTGTCCCATCTGCCCAAATAGCAGAAAATGAGGTACTAGCTCTCAGCAAAGCAGAGTTGGAATGCCTAAGGACTCTTATGGACTCTCTTAATAAGACATCTAGTTCTTGTTCCTTAACCATGACTGGTAAGAGTTCTAGCTTCTTATCCTTTAAGGGTTCTGATACTGAGAATATCTGGATTATAGACTCTAGTTCTACTGATCATATGACACCTCATTCTCCTTATTTTTCATCCTATTCCATTTCATCTGGTAACCAACATATCACTATTGCTAATGGTTCTCATACCCTTGTTACTGGTTGTGGCAACATTCAACTTCAATCTTCCCTTTTTTTTAAAAATGTGCTTCATGTTCTACAACTATCTAACAGCCTCTTGTCTATTCATAAGATCACCCAAGACTTAAACTGTGCAGTTACTTTTTTCCACTCCCATTGTGTTTTTCAAGATCTTGCCACGGAAAGGACGATTGGAATTGCTAAAGAGCAGGGCGGGTTATATTACCTGCAGCATGAAGACAGTAAAGAGTGCACCAAACAACAGGCACTCACATTTAGCAATCAAATGAGTTCAGAATCTTAGTCTTCCTCCCAGATATGGCTTCAGCGCAGGCGTCTTGGGCATCCTCCTTTTAGTGTTCTTCAGTCATTATTTCCTTTTTTGTTTACAAAAGTGTCAGTTGAGTCCTTTCATTGTGATGTCTGTCAATTTGCTAAACATCATCGAACAATTTTTCTTCCCAGTAATAATAAAAGTTCAAAACCTTTTGATCTTGTTCATTCGGATGTGTGGGAGCCTGCATCTACTCCTAATATTTCTGATGCCAAGTGGTATGTTTCTTCTATTGATGACTGTACACAGGTTACCTGAATTTTCTTCATGAAAGATAAGTCTGAAGCTTTCCAGCTGTTTGTTAATTTTTATCAAATGGTTCAAATACAGTTTGGGAGTCCTATTAAAAGATTGCGTTCTGATAATGGGAGAGAGTATGTAAATCAAAATCTCTCCAATTTCCTTAAAGAAAAAGGAGTTATTCATGAGTTAACCTGTGTGGACACCCCCCAACAAAATAGGGTTGTAGAAAGAAAAAATCGTCATCTCCTTGAGGTTACTAAAGTATTAATCTTCCAAATGTCTGTCCCTAAGTCTTACTGGGGGGAAGCTGTTCTCACTGTCACATATTTAATCAATAGATTGCCCTCTCGTGTTCTTGATGGTGTTAGTCCTGTTAAAGTCATGACCGCATTCTATCCTTCTAACCCCATTATGACCAGCCTCCAAAATCGTGTCTTTGGTTGTTCAGTTTTTGTCCATGTTCATAGCACTCATCGGAGAAAGTTAGATCCTCGGGCTATCAAATGTGTCTTCATAGGTTATGCCTCAAACAAAAAGGGATACAAATGTTATCAACCCCAAAGTCGTCGTGTCTATGTCTCCAAGGATGTCACATTTCATGAAACAGAACCTTTCTTCACTAGTACTCAGCATCAAGGGGAGAGTAACCTAGAAGAAGCTGAGTTCCTTGAGTTGTCATCTATTCCTTAGTTGCAAAATTCCACTCTTCTGGAGGATGACAAAGATCCTGGACCAATGCAGAATAATGAAGTTAGACGTTTTGGGATTCAATATCAGCGAAGAGAAAAACCCGACTTGGTCGAACAGCAACTACAATTGTCCGAACCAGAGGTAAGAACTCATAATCTTGAGGACATCTTAAATATCTCTTGTGATCTTAACCCAGATAATTTACCAATTGCTTTAAGAAAAGGAAAAAGATCTTGTGCCAAATATCCTATATCCCAATTTGTGTCTACTAAAAATCTTTCTATGCAGCACCAAAGTTTTATTTCAGCTATTGATTCTATTATAATCCCTACATCAGTACAAGAAGCCTTAAAGGATAAGAACTGGGTTCAAGCCATGAATGATGAAATGGGTGCATTGGAAAGGAGTGAGACTTGGGAGATTGTAGAGAGACCAAAGGATAAGAAAGCAGTGGGTTGTCGGTGGATATATACTGTTAAGTATCACTCGGATGGCACACTAGACAGGTATAGAGTGAGGCTGGTTGCAAAAGGATACACCCAAACCTATGGGATTGATTATGACGAGACTTTTGCTCCAGTGGCAAAAATGAACACAGTCAGAATTATCCTCTCCTTGGCAGCATACTTTGGTTGGGAGATGCATCAGTTCGATGTTAAAAATGCCTTCCTACATGGAAGCTTAGATGAAGTATACATGGAGATTCCACCTGAATATGGTGTTGCTGGTGGAGGAAGTAAGGTTTACAAATTAAAGAAAGTCTTGTATGGCCACAAACAGTCACCTTGGGCCTGATTTGGGAGTTTCCCTCAGGCCATGGTATCTCTAGGGTACAAACAAAGCTAAAGTGATCATACTCTCTTCATAAAACACTCACAAGACGGCAAACTCACTCTGCTTTTAGTCTATGTGGATGATATGATTATTGCAGGAGACGATGAAATGGAAAAACAGAATTTGAGGGAGAAGTTGGCTGCTCAATTTGAGATGAAGGATCTCGGTAAGCTAAAATACTTCCTTGGGATAGAAGTTGGATACTCCAGACAGGGTATTTTTATTTCCCAAAGGAAATGCATTCTTGATCTTCTTAAAGAGACTGGTAAGTTGGGTTGTAAGATCATTGGAACACCCATAGAACAAAACCATAGAATTGGAAATGATGATGGAAGCCCAAAGGTGGATAAGACACAGTACCAGAGACTTGTTGGAAAGCTCATTTATCTATCCCACACCAGGCCAGACATAGCCCATGCAGTTAGTGTAATTAGTCAATTCATGCATGATCCAAGAGAAAGACACTTGTAGGCAGTAAATAAAATTATTCAGTACTTGAAGGCCTCTCCAGGGAAATGATTGCTATTTAAAAAGGAGGGAAACATATCCATGGAAGTGTATACCAATGCTGACTATGCAGGATCAGTTGTTGATAGGAGGTCCACTACAGGATATTGAATGTTCTTGGGTGAAAATTTGGTGACATGGAGGAGCAAGAAGCAAAATGTGGTTGCAAGATCAAGTGCAGAGGCAGAATTTGAAGCTATGGCACAAGGGGTCTGTGAACTGTTATGGATGAAGATAATACTTGCTGACCTCAAAATAAAGTATGAAGCTCCCATGAGACTGGTTTGTGATAATAAATCAGCCATCAACATTGCGCATAATCCAGTTCAACATGATCGGACAAAGTACATAGAGATAGACTGACATTTCACTAAGGAAAAATTGGACAGCAGTCTTATAGCCACTGAGTACATTCCTTCAAGACTGCAGTTGGCGGACATGTTCACCAAGGGACTTCCCACCGAACAGTTTAAAGATCTTACGTGCAAGCTGGGAATGACAGATATACATTCACCAGCTTGAGGGGGAGTGTTGTAAAAGATAATTAGGAGATTTGTTATAATTAGGAGATTTGTTCTGTAATTAAGGATAGATTTGGCTGATTTGATTTGTACAATTCTTATTTCCTTAATTAGGAGACTAGTAGTCTATATAAATGTATTTTGTACAGGCTCTCAATTAATTAAGCAATTCTAATATTATTCACATAATATTCTGTTCCCTTTTTTTTTTCAAGTTTCTATTTTCTAATAAGGGAAAAGAACATGTTGGAGAGAATGTGTTGCTAGAATTCCACTTGGGGAAAAAATTAGGGGCTGCATATTTGTTGTGAATAATTATGATTTGATTGATATGTTTCATGGTTTCCTATTTTCCTGAAATTAGAGGTTGTACTTGTACATCATGTTCAATATGTTCAATTATACTTGGGATTTCTTCAGGACTGTTCTGTGTTTTCACACAAATCTACAATCAATACATGTACCTTGTTTATCTGGAGGACATTTTTATCACTGATTTTGATCAACTCACCATTGAGCAATTGAAATAGCATACAAATGACTTAAAATTGCATCTTCTGTGGCAGGACTAAGCACATTGAGATTTTCTGTTTCTTTATTCAGATTTTAGTGTGTGATTACCTGTGTTTGCCTCTCCTTCTCCATATCAAGATTGTGACGCAGTTCCCTTGTTTTAGCACGCTCTATTTCCAGCAATCTTTGTCTCTCCAGCTCTTTTTCCATTTCGGCTGATCTCTCCCTATTGAATAATTGGAAAATGCTCAGCTTCCAGTACAAACAATCAAAACAACATAAGAACAAGCATCAAAATCCTCAATAATGAGCTAAAACCTATCAAGTTCTTGCAGAAGTTCTGCTTCCCGTAAAGCTTCTTCTTCCAAATATTTTTGACGGGCATGTCTCAAAAGTAGTTTCTTTTGCCTACGGGCTACAATATCTTCTTTAAGCTTGGACTTTTCTCTGACAAGTAACAACATAATAAGAAACATTTGTTATTCAACACAAATAAAAAACAGAAGTGACAGTAAACCCAGACCATGCTGGCAACTAAATAAATTATGCATCGAGAAGAAAGTAGCCAAACTATAGAAAAGGTTGCACAAAAAGAAGAGAAAAGGATGAGGCAAATAAGAGATATACTAATTTCATGGAGAAACAATAACCTTTAACATAGAGGCATGCTATCCCATGGGAGGTTTATAGAATGGTTCATACTTACAAACTTGCAACATCCTCTAAACCAACCAATGCATGAAGAACACACTCAAAGATATAGTCAAAGTGAGTAAGAAAATTTTATGCATTCTTTTCCAGGAATTGTCTATCAATTCTTGAAAAGAGAAAGATACAACCACTTACAGGGTACGTATGCACTCTCTGATTTGCTGAATCCTTGAGGCATCTTTTCTGTAGGCTGTAATTGTAAAGTTCAAATTTATAAAATACACAAATTTGAGGTGAGGTGACAGATTTTGAGCAGCAAAAACAGCGAAGAAGTTACTACTTGATAATAAAACAACTGTAAAAAAACTTGTGTTGGTTACAAGAATCAATATGTGCCATAGAGACGAAAAAGCACTTACAGTGTAGACTTGGAGTCTGATTCAAATCTACGGAATCATCCATTTGTCCTGGTAATGCTTGTTCCTTCTGTATAATGTCTAGCTCCAACTCAGCCTCCTCAAGCTCCTAGAAAATACTCAACTATATGTAACAAATCAGATAAGTTTCGGAATATGCATTGGGTTAATGACCACTCATACCATATCATCTTGGTCAATTTTCCTTGAGAATAAATCAAAGTACGAGTGAACTGCTGTTAAGTTACCAAGGACCTGTTGCAAATCAACTATGTTAAAAATCAAGATATAAATAGTTATAGAAAATTTGGCTATTAAAACCGAACAAAATGCATGCAAGGGGAAAATAGTGTAAATACGTTAAAAATTGGATAGATTTCATATAAATAGATTGCAACACTTATTTTCCCTCTTATTGAACTCAATCTTTCCATCCAAATGGCAGCATTTTCACAACATGCACATGAGACTCTAATATGAATCAGATACTTCACCAAAATATACACAATAGCAGTGCAGAGTTAATTGTGCTTCAAGTTTCTAAAACTTTCAAATAATTTTAGTTGAACTTTAACAAGCATAAGTTTGAAAATACGAATTGGAAAATCCATAACATAATCAATAAAAAGAAAAGAAATTTTGAATTATTCACTTGGAAACGACAATTTTACCCAGGACTCAAGATCACATGTCAACAAATTTACCAGAAGCTATACACTCTTCTATGATCTAAACTTGGTATCACACATTAACAAGACCCATAGGTGGTCTCACATAAGTTGCATGTGTAAAATCATCGTTTTTGATGCAAACCAGATTTGGTTTTTCCTGAAACTTGAAAATGATGACATGGTTATTTAAAGTATATTACCTGGAGAATAGATTCACGTGTATTAGCAAAATCTGGGTCGTACTGCTTTGAAGAATTTGAAGACAGTACTTCTTTCAGGGCCTTCCATATAAGCATAGTTTAGGAATTCATTATGCGAAAAGAAAAGGCATAAAACATAAAATTATGCTTTGAACAGGGGAAATATTTACTGTGCTTTGTCTAAATTAGCATGAATGACTACTGAATAGTCTCACACAAGATACCTCTTTGGCCTCATCTCCTTCATCTCTCAATCTACATAGGACTTGACAAGTTCTCTTTTCAAGATCTCCAAGCTTTCCATCTAGAAAAACAATAGAGAACAAAATATGAAGTTAAAAGATGTATAAAATAATCCAAAATTATAATGCTTATATCATACAAATACGGCAAGGATAAAGATTAGCACCATGTTTTATTGACCCTAAAGTTTCAACATTTTCCCATAAATTGTGAGGAATCATAGAAATATCTTCAGCTGGTGAGTACAAGCAGGCATAAGCAATAAGTGCTAATGAAAGTTGCAGGATGGCACCATCTTGTGATGTTTGCGCATTACGCAAACAACAAATATTATCAGCTGCCACAAGAAAAGATTGCAAGTGACGACGCTCAGCAAATGGAATGTAATTCGAAAGAAGTGCCATTGCATGAACCCTTATTTGTAATGATATATCAGATGATGCCAGCACAACTACTTCATCCCAAGTACTAGAAACCAGACGAGACAGAACATAATCAGGCACGGATAAAGCTAACTTATCTGGAATGTAGTCGATGCAAATTTTAGAATTCATCATTGCCCTTTCTCTATTCGCCCACTGGCCAAGAAGTATTCCCAAATGCTTAATTGCTATAATACGTTGCTCAGGTTCAGCATGGCCCAGCAGTGAACAAAATAGATCTATCAAAGGAACCTCACTTTCTCGACTGTTATAGATGCCTCTAGCAATTAAAGAAGACAACCACTTATCACTCCGCAAACGCCAAGAGATTTTAGGTGCACTGTAAGAAACATTCTTTATTGCAGAACATATCATGCCTGCCACACTATCCAGGCAAAAGCTATAGGGTACTCCAAGTAAACAATCAAGCATCAAGCAAGAAATTTCCCAGCAACTGCTTTCTTGGAGCTTAAAGATCATTTCACAAAGGCCTTGAAGACCAATTCTCCAATGAAGTGTATACATGTCAGATGATTTAGCCGGTGAAGAATTTTGATCATCATCTTCAGCTTTATGAAATTTTTGAGAAACTGATGTCAAACATTTTGAAAAGACAAAACATTCTGCCGATGCTATTGTCAATTTTCTGCTTATCTGATGGTGAAGATTCCAACAGCACTCAATAGCAGGAGTAAGCTCAGAAATGAGGCTCTCTATGTCCTTAGAAAAGCCTTCTATATCATCAGAAGGTAAATCACAATGATCAACATCAGCAGTAGAGTTGTTACTTTCTACATTGTGAGTGTCATTCTCACATGAAGTGTGACAGACATCACTAAGAAACCATGGATTTGGTTTTAAGTTATCTTCAGAAAGCCCATCACCATTTGCATGAGGAAAAGGGGGTAGCTGAAGAGGAATAACACCAAATCCTGTTAATGCATTCACTAATAGTAATTTGCAATTATCCATAACACATTGAAATGCACTGATATAATCAAAGAAAAAAGTCGTTGGCTCAAAAGCAGAAAAGTTTGCCAAACTCAATAAAGACTGCAAAAACTTCCTCCTATATTGAACAGATAAATAAGGAAAAATTGAAGCCAAAATAAAAATAGCCAGCGCTATATTATATCCTTTATCTTCAGAACTACATTCAATCTCATTCTTTTGTTTGAGTTTACTGAAAAGAATACTGAAGCATAATTCCTCAAAGTTAAGACAGGAATCACCATCCAATAACTTTTCATCATGAGAGATCTTGGACAAAGAATAAGAAATGATAGGCTTCAACAAACGCAAAACAGAATCAAGAAATGACACATCACAGTACCCAGAACTTGAGAGTGACACAAGAACTTGTACTAGTTTAGGTGTCTCAGGAACCATAGCGTCCATATGTTCAACTATGATAGCTTCAAGTATATAAAGGATTATTGCTCTGGCATTCTTTGCATTATAACCTTTTAAATTATGACTTCCAATTGAAGAAGCAAAAGAAAATGGCCATGTACACAACTCAGAAAACCAACACAAAACATCAGGCACCAGAGCAGAAGAAACAGATCTCAGCTGCAAACCAACAGCCTCCAAAATGGCTTCTCCAAAATATTTGAATTGCCTTTTCATATTAGGAAAGAACTTCCAGAGTTCAGGATATACTGCAAAGAAAGATCGTTCCTCATCACATTGGTTACCACGGTCAAGTTCTCTTTTAGCAGAAGCAGCATGTTCAATCTGTGAATCCTCAATTTTTATCTCGTCACACTTTTTGTCAACAATATTATCAACAACAGCAAGATCATCCGCAAAAATGGAAAGTAAATTTGTCAACTGAGACAGATCAGATGCAAGGAAATTTTGGTCCTTCATATACTGTTTTGCATTGCGAGATACTGCCATCCAACCAAGAAATCGAACCAAAGGGTATAAAGAACTAGAAAAATGAGAGATTCTCTGCATCCATGCTGAAGAAGGAATTAAATTTCCAGAGAGGTAATTATTTTGGACATTAGTTCTAAAATTTTCCGCTTCACCTCCACTGCTTGCAGCAGTTAGCAATCTTTGTAGCAATAACCAGCGTCGCTCTACCCCATGTGTTCTTTCTTGGGTCAAATGCAAACTACCATCCTTCAGCTGCTGGTGAAAAGATGCCAGCGACCTGTTCAAGTCTTCAGCATATTTTAAAATGATATCAATCACATGTTCTGGAGGACAATATAATTTGGTGCCTGTATGTAAAAAGTATACAAGACTTTGCAGGAGTATTTCATGCATTGAAATTTGGTCTCTCTGCAAACGTTGGATCAAAAAGTTACAGAGCAGAGCTTGGTTTTGTCGAACCAAGGTTAAAGCATCTGCATGTTGTACATCAAGGGGAGACAGCTTTATGACCGGTTCATCAAAACCTTCAACAGAATAAAAATTGTCTTCCCCATTAGATACTCTTAAATGAAAATTCCTATCCAATTCTGCAGCCTCAAGCAATATGTGAAAAACAAGTTTATCTCTTTTTCTTTCTATATGTGCAATTGTTTCTAAATGAGGTTTATTCTTTTTGTAAGCCCCTTTTAACTCCACATTATCACAAGACTGCACAATTTTACATTCACTAACATTCAAAAGATCCGTAAGTTTTGAAGAGGCTCCAACAGACAACATAAAATAAGGATTTACATGGCATTCTGCTGCTAACAGCAGAGCATCAATTGCAGCATCATGGCTTTCAACAGTGACATCATTCTGAGAATGCAAATCTAAAGCCAAGCGTCTGAACTCAGAAGCACGAAGCTCACAATCATGGTAGTTTAGAAGTTGAAAATAATCTGCCTGCAGGTTGAAGTATTCAACACCAAGGCCAGCATCAAAGATATTAGTAGGAAAATGATGGGTTGAGTGCTTCTCAGTCACAAGCTTGGATTCCAAGCTCATATCCCCAGTGTTAGAAACAGCACCATTTTGATTAGGAACATTAGAGAAGTTTGTCAATGTCATACTCTGCAGCTCTGGTGGGGCAAAAAGTAGACTACGATCTTCAACAGAATCGAATTTTCCTGCTGTTTCTGAAACATCTGTTTTTCCATCTGCCTCATCTTGATTATTTGATTTGGAAAAAACACCACCACCATTGATACCAGAGGAAAGAGGTGAAATAGACGCACTTTCTTGATCGGTTGGTCTTAAAACAGACTTGCAAAGGTCAACATCAGGTGGCAATAACATGTGTGGTTCCAATATTGAGAGAAGCACACTGCAGGAAAAGGTAAATACATTAAACAAGAAAAGAAATCCGATTAGTTTCTAACAAACTTTGTTATATTAAACAACAAATCTCCATGGAATGGATAAAAAACCTGTAATGTTAGTTTTAAGTCATCATTAACATCAATTATAATAATCAGAGATCCAAATGCCTTTTATTTTGGCATTGAAGGTTCTAATTAACTTAAGATTAGTTTTCTATCTAGTTCACACACACACGAATGAACTCCAAAGCAATCCTGAAAAGAAAATAATTTAGCTAAGACACAACATAGTGACACATTACCTGGGAGCCACAGATCCATGCCTCCATTCTGATTCCAAAGAAGGCAGCACAGCCGGTTTACGTACAGCAGTACGGATGATATTTAGAGCAGTACTGCAATTATGTTCCTGCTTTTCTGGAAATGAAGAAGATAAATCTCCGAAAGCTATTTTGCTTTTTGATACAGCAATGGCAGGATCAAGAAAAGGTTCCAGCATCTCCACAAGAAAGAGGATTTTGTGTTTAACTTCCTGGAGAAGGCATATCAACAATATTAATATTATTTGACTCTTCCATTTTGTTTATTACAGAAAATGAAAAGCACCATCTCAAGAGATTTAAGAGCTCAATCATTTCATCTCCTCCAAATTGATAGGGATAGAACATAGAAATAATGAAATAAAAATAAAAAATAAAAAACCCAATTGGGTATAGGGATTGTTTGAAATATATAATTATAATAATACTGTAAATATGGTAGATTGTATTCTTGTAATTACGTTAATTTGGGTAACAGCATATTCTAATTATTTGTAATTATTCTTATATTTATGACATCTAATATAAATATTTGCTCCACTGTACTCTCTCTCTCTCTCTCGGCATGTTAACTAGAGCCTAATGAGATGCAACCCTAATTCGTTAATTCCCAATTGGCCCACTGCCCATTGCTGTAAAACTTTTTGCTGAAAACCATGTTTCATTTCTCGTTCCAGTCTCTCACTATTCTTGGCCATGTTTCTTATTAAGGCCACTGTTTTCCTCTTTTCTAGGGAGTTGTCATATTCAATCCATAATTGTCAATAGTGCGTGATAGCGGTGGTGCATGGCGGAGCAGCCTTCGGCCACTCCAGATCTGGCATAGCGGAGCATTTTTTCTGTCACAGCCATCGCAGCCCAAAACACAGCCTTTTGCAGCACTATTGCGCCACCACAGCAAAAGATATTAACTTTCCTTTTCTACCCTCAAAACAAAGGAATTTTAGGGTTTTTTTAAGGGTAAAGAAGACTTTTAATCATTTAAAAATAAGCTGATTTTTCCTTTTCGCTCTTATGATGACACAATCTTTAGGTTTTTAATGGTAAAATAGTTTTCTCAGTTTTCAGACCTAACCTTACTTTTCCCTGCGTTCTTCCATTCTCGCTTCAACACCCATTCCTCTCATCTCGTTGTTCTGCTTTGCAACAATCTCCAATCCAGCAGAGTCACTAATCTTGGATGACTTCTCTGGCAAAATCTACTTCCTTTCTTCTCTCTATTCTATGATTCTACAGTTCTGCCTCTAATATATTCTCCTGAAAAATCCACTTTTTTGTTCTCTTTTAAGTCTTTTGTTGATAATTATTCATATGCTATTTATGCATATCTTTTTTGGCATTATATACATAATTATCTGCATATGTATTTATTTTATATTCATATAAAGAACTTTAAAATAGTGGTAATCCCATTACCCACTATAGCTGTTTGAGGATCTTTCACTACGTGCCGCTATCCGAGATTAACAACTATGATTCAATCCCAGCCAACGACTTTTCCAGCGACGTTTCCAACCTCCAGCCTAAGGATCACAAGGACCACCTCCAAACCAGCTTAACCACAGTTCTGACCCAATCCAGCACTTGACATGATCTTAGGCGCCAAATCATTCGCCCACAGTACTGTTAACTGTCATCACTATTTCCAGCATGTTCTAGCAAGTTTCTAGCTGATCTCAGTGGTGCCAACCTCCCCCAGTCTATCTTTTTCCAAAACAGTCCTTGGTTCATCAGTTTCAGACAATGTTTCACGTGTCTATGCTTTTTTGGCACTATCTGATGCTGTTTATTTCTCCTGCTGGCTGATTCATACATGATTCTACCTCTAATGGCCTTCCTAAAGTTTAGGCTACAATTTTCACCAACTATGACCGAACTCTGTAATCCTTAAAAAAAAAGTGCTTCTGTAACCTTAAAAATAAGGGCATCGTTGGGTTATCATAAGCTTTCTCTGCGGCGGACAAATCGCATGCAAAATGGCTCAATTTCCAGCACTATAGTGCGCATGACAGGCACGACATTAAAATGCTCCACAATGAGCTTCAAATAGCAGCCGACCACTGCAATGTGAAGTCACTATAGCAGTTGTGCTAGTGCACTATTAACAACTATGCTTTTCACCCATTGTGTTTAAGCATTTGGAATAGTTAATTGGTTTATGATTAAAAAACAATTCCTGGGCTTCCACATAATAGTCAAAATAGTACATTTATATGGCACTAAAACTTCCAGTCTCTTAGCACACAATGTTGCAAGAAAGAAGATGAAATTAAGGGAAAAGACAATAATCCTTACTATCATTTTTCGAGTAAGTGAAGTACCTTATATTTTCCTAGTATGTCATCCATATGCCCTGATAGAGCTAGCACAATAAACTTCAAGGCAGCACGTGCACGAACAGGTGAATTGTGAGCATCCTGACAGATGTGACAGTGTCTTAACTTGAAATCATAACATGAAGCTTAGGACAACAATATGCAACCAAAGAATATTGGAAATATTGAACCAACTTTCTGGCTTTGCCACCTAAATCATTCAACAAATGTACAGTGGACAAGGTCATGTGGTAATAGCCACCACTTGAAGTATGAATGTACAATGCAAGAGAAGTACACACAAGGATTGACGTCCATGAGTTACAGATTGTCAGAAAACATTGTGTTCCGATAAGCTGGGCAGAAATAATGATCAGTGTTTGTGGAAAACATAAAAGTAAGAAAGAATGACAAACATACTTGGATTATGCCCAAAAGATCCTCCAAAAGCTCCAGAGCAAGATCAACCTGTGCAAAAAGAGGTCCATAGATGAGGAATCAAATAATATCTGAATAACAGTTAACGACTTGACAAGTCCATTCATGTCAATCTGCCTTTTACATCAATTTGTATATAAAAGAATTTTAAGTAACTGCATTATTACCCCCTTGTTGATGCAAAATTTATATTAACATTAGTTAGTGTTTAGAGAAACAAAAATAAGAAGACAAGCAAAACTACTTTATTAATGGTAACTTTGCACTTCAAATAATTTTTAATAAAAGAAGAAATCCATTAACACAGCATAAAGTGACAAATGACTTTGGAGAATACAAGATCCTCAATGATAAGAGGGGAAACAAACAACAAAGAAAAAATTAAAATTTCCGAGGGACTAACTCCTTCAGGCTCCAGCATACACCCTCCATAGACAATTCATTTTAAACAGAAGTCAAACACCTAATATTAGCCAAAAGCATCTGCTAAGCAGAAAAAAAACAGAACCACCTTGACAATATAAGCAGTCAAATCCTACAGTCCTACCAAAACCATACAGTAACTCATAATTTAGATCAAGCATTGCTATAAAAAAATCAAACTTCCAACTTCTCACAATACCAAAATAGCTGAACAATTAACTTCATAAAGAAAAATTAGCAGCAAAATGTAAGAGCAGATAAGAAACTGATTGTAAGTAAGAACCAAGGCATGAAATTTAAACATTATGAGACCAAACATCAAAACCAGATTTTAATATCATAACAATGATGGTGATGAAGATAAACATACAATAATGGACACAAATAATTAATAAGGACTAAAATCCATCTGTGAAAATATTTCAAAAAACAAGGAATCAGATTCTAGCATACCTTTGCAATAATTTGAGTCATCCACGGTGCTAGCACCCCAGAACACAGATCAATAAGTACACATGCAGCCCTAGCCTATACAAAAGTTATGATCAAATCAGCTGCTGACCCAGAAGAGACTAAATTATTTCATGTAGAACCTGAAATTCAGCAAAGTAGTATCTACATTTTTATTTTGTTGATATTACAACAGATGTGCATTACATCCATCTATTTTATATTTACACTAGCAATCTTTATTAATTCATTGCAGAAAATTGTTAAAGCTCACAACTTGTTCATAAATAAAACCTCAAATTTATCATTCCCAAAACTGAAACTTAAAGCAACAGAAATATTATCAAATTTTTAAATTATTCACTCCCATTCACATTATTATGATTTATGACTTGAGAAGCTAGCAAAGATCAATTGTGCATAGTATGCTGTGATCATGTTCAGACATGTATCAATCTTCATGGGCACTTCCGTACCTTCAAATCCCCTATCATCCATCCCAAAAGAATCAACATATATTCATTTATCTCTAGTTCAAAAAAATCATAGATCAATTGAGTAGAAGAATACAGATGCATCAGTCATCCAGTCCTGCCACCAATTGGTATAATATGGTTATAAAGATATCATCTATCTATATGTGAAAGGTGTTGGGAGACATAATTTTGTAGTAACATGTTGGATACTGCATTGGTGACCAATGAAGTGAAGCAAAAGAAGACAAAGTCTAGTGTTTAAATTCGATTTTGAGAAAAAGGCCTGTTTGATTTAAGCACTGGTTTTGTTTTTCATTTTCCGGTTCTTAGTGATAAATAATAAGTAGTGTCAAATACATGTAATATAGCAATTGGGAGAGTTATCTTTGTAATTATGATAATTGGGTAACAATATATTATGTAACTATTCTTGTATTTATGATTATTAAAATAAATATATATTCCGTTGTGTAGTTAAAACACAAATTCATCATATGTCTCTTGTTACTTTTCTCTTAACAATTGCAATAATGTGGCATCATTTTCACTTACACTATGTTTGAATTGAAGGAAAGAAGGGAGGAGGAGATGCTACATTTCTACTGTTTGGATGGGTGGAAATAGGGCAACGGGTCCCACAACACAAAAATCCCTCCCAAAAAGATGTGAAATTAGGGTGTACACTTCAAAATAGAGGATCTTAGGACCTTGTTCCTCTTCTTTTAAGGAAGTCTATTATTTGGTGCAGATCGATTTATACTGTCAAGGCTGACCCTAATGGCCACGTTGATCGTCTTAATGCTTGTATGGTGGCCAAAGGATATATACTTAGATCTTTGGTTTGGATTATGATGACACCTTTCCAGTAAGCGAAATGGCCACTATTCATAAGGTGATCAAAGGATATACTCAGTTCTTTGATTTTGATTAGGGTAACACCATTCCAATGGCTAAAATGGCCTTTGTTCATTTATTCCTATCTATGGCCAGACATTGTTGAACAAGGGTATTCATCAACTGATCTAATCCAATGCAAACCACAAATCTGAAACAAAAAATCAAAAATCACAAAAATTGAAATTTTTTTATTGGATTGGATTTGATTTTGAATCCTATTTTGAAAACCAATCCAAACTATATATATATATATATATATATAAACATTTCATTTATACTGTTAAGATTATATATATTAATAGAATGATAACACTAACTATTTTTTATGATTTTATTTTTACATATATATCATTATTTTTTTTAGAGATACATTTTATTATTTGCATGATTATATAAGTATATGTTTTTTAGAATAACTTAACTTACTCTTGTATATTCTAATTTTTTATAAATATTCTATATTTTACATAAATAATTAACTTTATTTAAAAATAGTGTAGAAGAAATGATAAAACAATTTATTTATTAATTTTTAACAAATAAAAAATAACGTTACAAAACCCAAATTATCCAATCCAAATTGCTTTTGATTAGCTCAGATTGAATTTAATTTTTTTTCAAATCAATCCAAATTCAACCGCACTATAATTTTATGATTGGATCAAATGACTTTTTGTCCAAAAACCAATCAAATCCAATTTGCAAACACCCCTCCCTACTCAGGGGGGTCTTCAAGAGTAGTAGTTGTTTCCAAAAATCCTTCTATGACCTCAATTTCCTAGGGCATAAGTAATGTAATCCAAGAATTTGGAATTACTAAGAGTGAATCTGATCACTCAGTTTCGTATCACCACTTCAACTTAGAACCTGATTACTCTTAAATTTGTGATTATCAATGTAAATATATGTTTCATTATGTAATTGAAACACAGAGATTCATCCTATGCCTCTCATTACTTTTTCTTTTCACAATTACTATAGTGTGACAGTTTTCACTCACTATTTGACTTTCAAATTCAGAAAGGTGTAAAACACTTGTTGAAAAATTAAACTATCTGACGGTTTCTTGTCCAAACATCTCCTTTGCAATTAGTGTGGTGAGTGAGTTCCTCAATTCTCCTAGTGCCAGACATAGGGATGCAATAATTCATATCCTGAAATATATTAAAAGAACTCTAGGAAAATGTCTCTTATATGAAGACAAGGAACATACTCAGATTATGGGGTCATGCAGATTAGGCAAGATCACCTAGTGATAAGAAGTCTACATTTGGTTATTGCATCCTTATTGGTAGTAATTAGACTTTCTAAAAAAGCAAGAAGCAAAGTGTGGTTGTGAGTATAGTGCAGAAACAGAGTATCGAGTCATGCTTTAGCCACTTGTAAACTTATTTGGCTTAAACAATTGTTCAAAGAATTGAGATTTGGAAAGGTTACATAAATGATATTTATTTGTGATAATTAGGCAACCTTACATATTGCCTCAAATTAAATTTTTTATGAAAAGACTAAACACATTGAGATGGATTGTCATTTCATTAAAAAGGATCTTATCTAGAGACATTACCAATGATCAACTAGCTGATGTCTACACCAAGTCATTAAGAGGTTCTCAAATCAGTTATAAATGTGACAAGATTGGTGCATATAATTTATATGTTTTAATTTGAGAGTGTTGGAAATATGTGATTATAATATTATAAATAGGGTATCTTTGTATTTAGGTAATTGTATATCATGTATTAATAATTCTTATTATAAATACAGGCTCTACTGTATAGTTTAGACACACGGATTCATCCTGTCTCTTATTCTTCTTCTTTCTCCACAATTGTGTTTGGATTGAAGGAAATAAAGGAGGAGGAGATACTATATTTCTACTATTGGTGCATTTGGTTGGAGCATAATGCTCATATCTTAAAAGCATTTCATTAAATTAGAAGCTGATTTAATATAAGATTAGGTCAGCCTCAATGTGTTGTAGAGCAAATAGTCTATTTATGGTATTTTCTTAACACAGGTAGTGCAGATTTGCTATACCATAATTTCTCCTTTTCTTGTCTGTATTTTCTTTTCCTTTTGTGGTAATTTTCTTATCTTCATTTAATGATTTGTTTCTTTTCTCAGTAGAAACTGAATCCAACATATAATAAATTGCTTCTACATAAGAAGATCATAGAATAAACGGAAGCAAATAGTTGATACAAGACACAAAACAACTGTATAGCTGCAAATCAAGCTGAAGATCACAAAATATACATGATAAAAAATTAATAACAAGATTCTAGTTAAAATTAATAGTTGGTTGACTGACATGAGATGGTGAGTATGAAGACAGATAACCAGCACAAGCATGGACAAGAGAACGATAAGAGGCTGATGTTGTTGTAGCCACAATCTGCCCACATAATACACATAAGCAAAAGAACATAATAAATATATCTAGCTAGTTGGATCTATAAAAGCTTTCGAAATATAACCTGAGATAAGGCCTGCTGTACAATAGGTTGCTTCCACTGAGAAAATGTGTCATCAACAGCATCAAAAGAATTGGTCATCCATGGACGTAGAGCTACAAAAATTCCAACAAAGCAAAAAACATGAAGAGGTAGCTATGAAAACTGCTTTATCACATTGAAGCCTAGAAGTATCTCTATTAGTATGGTTAGCTATTTTCTTGATCCCATTCAAAAGGGTTGGGGTTATTGTTTTCTTCTTTTCCTTTGTTGCCTGTTTCTATTTTAGGAGGATTCCTGATCTTCATATGTTATATTACTGTCTTCATTCTTTCATCAAAACATAAGTAACATCAAGGGTTTTCCAACGTTGGTTTTATTCTTCCTGTTAATGGAAGATTGATATATTTCTTATCTTTCATTTAATACTAATCATTTAAAGACAACATATATGTGTAGCCCTTGCCTTTTCACAATTTGGTGCTCTATTTTAAATTCACATCAGTAACGAAACACTTAAAAATATCTATTTGTCCACCTCCTTCACCATGCTTCCCACCCCCCATAAAAGAAAAAGTTTCATGTCTTTTCCTTTCTCTCTTCCATTTTCCAGATCACCTTAACTGTACTAAGATGATAACCCTATAGAAGTAAAACACGGCATTTTATACTTCCTAAATTGCAAAAACTATTAGGCTTAATTGTACTTATAGTCTCCGTACTTTAATTTATGTGCAACTTTAGTTCCCTAATTCTAATTGTTTGCATTTAGTCATAGTTTTTCAATTGTTAAAATTAAGTCTCTCACCCAACATTTCATCCAATAATTAACATAAATGTAATTGAGGTGTAATGTGATATTGATTTCTATAGATTGGCAAAGGAAAAAAAAAACTGCAAAAACATTTAAATAATAGAAGAAAAAGAAACACACGAAAAGGCTTTTTTTTTTATTTAAATATTTTATACATTTTCCCTTTCCAATTTATACAACTTAATGTCACATCATACATTCTGTTACAAGGACTAAATAGGAGCCAAAATATATGGACTAAAAGGGAAATTAAATCAAACTAATATTTGCTTCCTTCAAATAAGGGGCAAAACAATAAAAAAGGTCAGCACAAGATTTCCATTTAAAAATGTTTCAGTATTTCAAAATGATTCCAGAATGCTGTCAACCTGTTACTAATAAACCCAAGGGCAACTGATTAGTAACACTCAACCTGGCAGCAGAGCTTGTACAAGTGGCAGTGCAGCCCAAAAGTCTGAAGATCTCTCGGCCAACTTGCTGCAAAGAACAGGCTGTAAACTGCAGTGTGTTAAACAATGTACATAAAATACTGCAAATTTTGACAATATAATTGCCACCAAGGAATTATTATATCATTTTACTAAAAGAAACCTGTGATGCACAAGAATAAAGAACATGTAAGATCCCTTCTTCCACTGCCCCCAAATCTAATATATTTAGATAGCTGCAATCCCAGTGCTCATCTGGCATCCGGAACTCCTCACCAAACAACTTTGAATAATCAACTAAAGTCAAAGGACTAGACAGTTCCAAATTTGATTTATCTTCCAAATGAGATGTTACTTCATTTTGAGGGTTTGAAACATCAGGCTCAGGATCAGGATTTATGAGCTTCTGCATAATTCTAGATGCCTGAAATAAAGGTAAAAAGAAAGATAAGTACCATCCTACAAATAGATATCTCTCCGTTCAGTCTAAAGTAAAAAGTTAAACAACTAAACAGGAGAAAGATAAGTACCATCCTACAAACAGAGCCCAGATCAGAATCTTTATAAGCCTTTCTCAAAAGCACAAAAATTGCATCTGGCCTAAAAACTATGGCACGGTATGCAGAGAAAATGAACGGTGATGCACTTCGTGATCTCCTTGGCTGCATGAAAAAAGGAAAAATAAATATTTGTGGAGTGAGGGGTCATGCATGTGGAATGGTCATCCCTAAATAATAAATACAGGAAAAGAAATATAAAGCAAATAGAAATAACAAAGAATATGAATGGAATTCAGAAGTCAAAATGAAGTTAAAAAATGCAAATTGTCTTTCCAGTATCAACTGAAAAAATATCACCCTTAACAATACATCCTCCCTCCTAAAACATACTGTAAGATATCACTTAACATCACATTTAACAAGATTAAGTGCTGGAGTGTTGACTTAATTTAATTGCATGATTTTGATATGTGAGCACCGGAATGCTAGGAACCTGGTGGTACAGCACTGGTGGTTAATTTTCAGATTCCAGTTCCTGATATAAACAGTTCATGAAGGAACTTTTGGACCATTGGAAACCTTAAAGGACATGGATTCTAGAGTTAATAGGAGCTAAGAAGACCTTTACTTTGGAAGAAAGAAAGAGTGCATATTCTAAATTCTCATCGATGCATGAAGTTGTTCACTTCATCTTCCTTTTTTTGTTTTAATAGTAGATATCAATCTCAGAGAGATGCATGTAGCAACCAACTCCAAAAATGAGATGGCAGGATAACATAGTAGGATGGCCACTATTCAGATTTTTAATAAATAAATTAAATAATTTATACTATATGTATACAAATACTCAAAAATAAAAAAATACTCAAATTCAGATTTTTTGTTTTGACTCTTTTTTGTTCTTCTAATGAGTGATTAATCCTATATTTTGGCCTCAATTGCAGCAAACTATAGATTGATTTTTGGATGGTTCTCTCTATTGGAAAATTAGAGTATGATATGCTACAGGACTGAATCAGTTTGATTGATATGGATCTGGGGAAGGATTTGCATTAGCCTAATCGTTGTTAAGTAATTTCATAGATAGAATTACCTTCTCCTGTCAATAGCTCAATCATGTTATTGATGGGTTATGAGTAATAGAAGAGCATTAATACATCAATGAATTGAACATTAATGACCTTGGCAAATAGAATCTTCAATAGAAGAATAAGAAATTGATTAAGTTCAGGTTAAGTTAATGTAAGAAGTGCGAGTGAAACCAATTCCTCTAATGTCAAACCCATTGAATTCTCTTTGCTTAATTTCCTTGTTTTCATTGTTTAGCTTTTCCTTTTCCATTCTTATCAAAACACCCTTCAGTTCATAAGCCATCCATCTACTCTAGAGATAGCAATATAGTACTTAACATAATTCACTCTCCTCACTAGGGCTTGCACTTAGGAGTAATCTTTTGTATGTCACTCATAAGTACATCTAAGATTAGGGTAAACAAGTAAGAGTTCAAAATATAGCCTTAATGTAAGTCCATCCACAAAGGAAAATCTTTAGATAAGCCTCCAGAAATTCACACATGTAATTATCCCCTCATACATGTCTTATAACTCAAATATATGTTACACAAACTCATTTCTTTTCTAAAGTCTTTCATAATACTTTTCTTATTACACAACATAGTTGTCAATAGCACGCGATAGTGGGGGTGCATGGCGAAGCAGCCTTCAGCTGCTACAGATCTGGCATAGTGGAGCGTTTTTACTATTGTGGCCATCACAACTGTTTTTGCAGCCCAAAATGCGGCCATTAGTGGCGCAATTAAAAGGAAAGATATTAACTTTCCTTTTCTACCCTCAAAATGAAGGAATTTTAGGGTTCTTTTAAGGGTAAAAAAGACTTTTAATTTTAGGTTTTTTAAAGGGCGAAATCATCTTCTCAGTTTTCAGACCTAACCTCACTTTTCCTGCAATTTTTTATTCCTTTCTCTCTTCGACACCCCTTCCTCTCATCTCTATTGCTGTTTTGCTTTGCAACTAGAGACACATGACGAAACCCCAGCTTTTCTACACTGTTTTTCTTCTCCCCTTCTCTGTTCGACACTCTCTCCTCCCATCTCTGTCTCTGTTTTGCTTTGCAACAATCTCCAGTCTGGCAAAGTCACTCATCTTGGATTACTTCTCTGGTAAAAGCCACTTCCTTTCTTCTCTCTATTCTATGATTCTACAGTCGTGCGCCTGCCTCTATTATGCCATTTATGCATATTTGTTTAGCATTATGTACATAATTATCTTCATATGTATATACTTTATATCCATATAAAAAACTTTAAAAGAGCAGTAATCCTGCTATGTGTTATCCCACGATAGCGTTTTGAGGGTCGTCTGCTACATGCCACTATCCAAGATTAACAGCTATTGTACACGATTATATGTTTTTTTCAGGTCAATAAAAACCATAGCTAAGTCATTTTTTATAGCAATACTTTTCCATCAAATTTCGAAAGAGATATATAGCTTTTGTTGTAGTCTTTCTTAACATAAAACTAAATTGATCTTCTGCAATCTCAATTTCTCATAGTCTATGTTCAATCACCTTTTCCCTCAACTTCACATTGTAATTTGATAAGTTTAATTTCTCTACAGTTTGCACAATTTTACATATTACTCTAGCTCTTTTATATAGACACCAAAGTTAAATTCTTCCATTCATTTGTGCCACAAACTTTGAAATATTTTTGGAGAAAACACAAATTGTCTGGAGAGCTTGGAACAACTTCTCATACATGTCATTATAAGTTCTAGAAAGGTCTGTCACAACATTCAATGTATACAAGTTAGCATCTATGGCTGAAGAGAAATGTCAGAATATGGCATTCATAAAACATAGCTTCTTTGAGGTGATTAGCTAGTGGCTCTTTGAAATTGGCTGCTTCGTTAGATATATTGAGAGGATCGTAAGCTTCACTCGCACTCAATGGTTTTCTATTATTTTCAGTTTTATTAGTAGGTAGCTCCTTCAGAAGAATATTGCATCCTCTGCTCCTATACATTATTTCACCTCTCCAATTAAATTACTTTTTCTTGTCAATATTTAAAAAATGGACCTGTACAAGTCATAGAAAGCAAGTATGGAACCATACAAACTTATCTTATGAAAATCAAAGATTAAAAACCATGTAGTAGCACAACTAATCATCACACTATCAGTAAGGCGAGATAACAAGATATTAGAGCAATAAATGGTTGTAGAAGGTACCTCAAAGTTAGAGGAAACAGTTAGAGCCGGTGACAATTGACTACTTTTGGAGACATCTAGGTCAGTGATGTTACCCAGAGGCTTTGAAGTTGTCCTGTAATTACACATTATTTGTATTATAGCAATTATGAATAACAAAAAAGACTGCATACACAGATAAATAAGATATGTACTTCAAAAGCTTCAGCTGACAAATACCTATTGGGTTTAGTAATTAAATTCACACCAATTTTCACCCAAGAACAACATTAATTATTTTCCAAAACGAAAAAACAACCAATCCATATCCTATCATGTAGAGTCAGCTACATGAATCAATTAACAGAGTTGAATTCAATCAAAAACCATATTATCAATGAAACCATTTCAACTACGGCCTTTTTCAAAGGTTTCCCCAAAAATATGTGGTAGCTATCACTTGACCAATTTCAATTAAAGTAGTGGATTATCGTCCTCTTGATATACTTGTCCCACTAGAGCCTTCATGAATCTTCTCATGTGACCAAACCACTCTATAACAAGTCTTTACCTTCCCCTCAATCAGCTCTATCAACTTCCTTCTAAACACATTCATTCTTAAATCCTAATCTAATTTTTCTTATGTTCCTTGTCCACCTTAGTAAGTTTGCATCCCTGTTACATTATTTTTAGTTCTTTTGGCACTTCGCAGTCCAAAATCAAATATAGTAGTTTTCAAACTGAAAACTAATTAACTTTACAATGTATTACGATAAGCAGAATACAACAAAAGCTTATCCATATCTATGATATGAGGGAATGACATTTGCAATCTATAATAATATCACAAATTGAAATTGTCGGAATTAACCACTTCTTATAACTGTTAATATTCAAATATGTAGCAACAGAAAACTGAAAAGTCACAAACCCATATCAGAGGAAAATCATGCATATAACATGCAACATCATAGACCAAACATTGTAACATCCCACTTTCCTGTCCTGATCACCCTTGCATCCTGATTTTCTTTTTGAGCATGATATAGATACCTTTGAATTGAAAAATTGTAATCTCTTGTTATCTTCATTGACATTTTCTAAATTTCATCCACATTGGCTACCAGAGCTTGGTTTTTCAATATTTATTCCTATTAGTCTTTCTCACAATTTCTTGTCAAGTCCACAATTCAAGCAATGTCCCTTCCTTTACCCTATGGAAAAAAATTCTCATTCAAATTCCAAAACTCTTGTTTCAAAAATTTTCTCAAATAGGATCAACACTAACAATCTGCAATAAGTTTAAAGAAGACATAAAACTGTATGCGTGCTCCTTGTTGTGATCTATGAAGCACAAAGATTCCTCCTGCTTAAGGTGTGGGAGGGTTAGACATGTTTTTGACAGTGACACCTACCCAGCACTCAGATGACATATCCAACACTCCTTACTAGGTGCTTGATTAAAAAATTATAGGTTCAATTACAGTTTCAGTCCCCTGTACTTTAGCTTATGTATATTTCTGCTCCCCCAAATTTTAATTTCTTGCATTTAGTCTGCATAGCTTCCCAATATTTCCAATCCTTCACCCCAAAACATCATCCCATAATTAATAAAAATGTAACAAAGGCAAAATATATCATTGATTTGTATAGAATTAGTATCACAAAGAAAAATAAAAAAATATTTAAATGAAAAAAAATGGATTTCCTTACATTTTATCCATATTGTTGATTTTATTTAAATACTTTATGCATTTTTCTTTTGCTAATTTGTATAAATTAATGATACATCACACTTCTATTGCATTTCTGTTAATTATTGGATGGAATTTTAAGACAAGAGACTTAATTTGAACAATAAGGAAAACTAAAGGACTAAATCTCAACAATTCAAGGCCATATAAATGGTTGATAAGTTCATAAGCTTAATGCCTTCTCTATGATTTAGGATTATAAAAAAGGAATCCCAAAAGCATAGAGAAGGCATTCATAGAGAAATGGAAAAACATGTAGACATCATTAGTTTAGAATAGCAAAACTAGATCAAGAAGTATTAACAAAGAACCTAAATCAAATACAATTTCTATTTGGTAATCAAATAATGGGCCAGTGAACAAAATATAAAATGCAAACCAACCTTTCATTCACCACATGAAGAATAGGATAAAGAGGACCAGCAAGCATGGCAAGAAATCGAAGGTTAGATTCAGGAGTATCTGGAAAGCTTGCAAAGTCTGTCTGCAGTTTTACATACAATTCTGAATGGCCTAACAAAGCATGGAAAAAGAGGGGAAAAAAAGACAGGAGGAATTATGAATAAAGTCATGAAAGTAAAATTCTAGTTTACCTCTAGTTGTGGAAGAAATACAAGTAACCGGCTTGTCATGTCTTGCAGCAACTACAAACTATGAAACATCAGAAAGAAAACACAATGATAATAAAATAAATAAATTACAGAATAAGAACATTGATGGCAGCACATATTCAATCCACCTGGAGATGCATATCATGAGGATCCTGTTTGTGAGTTAGAATATGAGGTAGCAAATAATTAACAACCGGTTGAAACTCAGGTTCAAGACCAGCCACAGAAACTCCTATTAGCTGCAAGAGACAGATGGTAAAAACAAGCTCAGTAATGACAAGTGGCAGCCAAATGAGACTTTCTTTTCATAAAAGGTGTATTGAAAACAAAAACACAGAAGAGTACAAAAAGATGGAGGATAAGGGATCCTCAGAGTTGATTAAAAAATCAACATGGACAAAGAAACTGAAGTCCTAAATAACTAATCATGTAGAGGAGATGTTCAATCTCTTAGCATATTCAAACCCTTAAATAAACCATTCTTCATAAAAGCACAGTGAATAACATGAACTTCATCTCAAATGCTTCATGAATCGGGATTTAACTCAGAAGATCAGAACAACAGAGAATCAATTTAAGTACTTTGAGGCAGCAGAAGTCCAAAACTTTGTCAAGATGTGTTTTATGGAAGGCTTTTGGTATTACAATGTTTCTATTAGAAAATTGGGTCTAAGAAAGGTTACCCAAGCTTTATAAGGAACATTATGGCTCTATTACTAGCTGATGTTAGACATCTTAACATATCTCCCTCACGCTCAATACTAGACATCTAGTGCGTGAAGTTCGCAAGATCGGACATCTACGGTCCTGCGGGTGACCCAACAGGATTGAACATCTTTGGGGGCCCAACATTAAAATTGAATAGGCTTTGATGCCATATTAGGAAACTGGTCATAACTTACCGTCAAATGAGTATTTTGCCTCTATTCCTTGCCAATTTGGGAAATCTTAATGGAATTTTAGGTGGGTGTCAACAGAAAAATCTTTGGAGGGATATGAAGTACAACTTTGCATAGATTTGCTTTTCAAATATGTTTTATTTTCAGTTTATAATCTTGAAATGTTGGTTTCATAATTCATTTATATTTTGCTCCCTCTCCACAACTTGTCTCCTTGTTATTTAACGAAATTAATTTTTTACATTATAACTAATAGCAATGTCACAAAGAGAAACTATTCAGGTGCAAAGAAAATAAAACATTGCATACCACTTGAAAGAATAAACAATCCCCCCCCCCCAACAAAAGAATAAGCATATTTAGTCTATTTGGTGAATCTTTTACATGACTGCCAAATGTGGAGCAGGCATGCAAAAGGATTGAGAAGCTTTGCTGAATTGATGTTTTCTTTTCTTAGTTTGTCTTTGCCCTTTATGCTAAAGAGAATCCCTTATCCTCCAAATTTTCTGTGATTTTCTTCTCTTCATCTTAATGACCCCATGGAATGACTGTACCCATAAAATGGCGTGAGGCAAAACAGCAGAGACTAAGAACATAACATTATTCCAAAGAAAATTTAAGAATAAGGACACACCCTTAAAGATGCATGTGATCCCCTCCAACACACAGCCGCACAATTTCGGCCTTCTTACTCTTTCCAAACCTTTGAACCAAATCATCAGAAACTGCTCTAAAAAACTCATACACACCCAGTGCTCAACAGAAGCCCCAAAAAGGTTGCTCATTGAAATGCAGGAGCCAGGAAAAGGTCCTTCGCCATTTTCGAAAATCTAAAGTTAATTGAATGTGTAACACATTGATAGAGTACCAAATATGAGTAATGGGGATCATGAAGCAGTACAAGACAGTGTGCTGGGGGCGAGAGTTAGTTACATGTTGCTGAGCTGGCCAATTAGTTATGCCATACAGTATGCTTATAGGAGGAGGGTGAGAGAGGAGAGAGTGGGGGAATTACTTTTTGATTGTTTTTGGATAGAGAATACTAATTCTCTGAGGAGCCTTGGCTCTAGTTTTTCCTTTGCAAGAGCTCAAGCTCACCATCTTCGGTTTCATCAACAATGTTGTATCTTTTTATATCATTCTGTTCCTATCACACATGCTAAGTAAAAAAGTGTCACAATGTCAAATGTACACAAAACAGTATTATATCATTTGTGATAAAACCAATAAGATTTGTTATCCAGACAAAGCACTTGACCATAGAGAGTGCTTTGATATTACAGAAAGATTTGTCAAGAACGAATCTTTCACAGCTAGTAGATTAGGTGAAAAAGACTAAGAGAGATTTACATTATAGAGCCAGAAGAATCAATTCCATACTTTCTGCCAGGACTAGCAAATAAGCAAGTAGGCCCAAGACAAACATGAAGGAATGTAAATCATTTGCATCATAAAAGTTTCTGCTGAATTTAAATTCCAATTTAATTGCGGGTCCTTAGTAGAAAAGGCATGATCAATAACGGTACAAGATAGAAAGATGTAGAATAAAGGAAAGGCCTCAAGGGTAGACTGCAGAGTCAGTCAATCCCTCCCAAGTGTACTCCCCAAGCTTGCTACAACTCCATCACCATTCACCAGCACTAAGACTAAGAGTGACCAAAATGGACCATCATAAAGCAACAACAAGTGCAATAATGAATTTCTTTCTAATGGAAGACACTATAGCCATTGATTTAAATAACAAATTACTTAGACACAATCCCTCTGAATCAAAAGCTCAAAGGCTTTAGTCAAAGAATAGAGTTAATAAAGTATATGGCAGTGCAGTTTGAATCCTGCGTGACTGGAGTGGAATGTTCAGACAGTCAGATTTTAAATGAAAAAATTGGTCCATGGAGCTTCTTGAGGACAGAGTTGTGTTTTCAGTCCTCTATTATTTTATGTCCATCAGGTAGATATGCAAATATTAGTTTAGTAACTTTCTCCATGCATGATGTATTAAGTTTCCTTCTTTATGTAATCTTCCTCAATCTGCTAGCACTTAAATGAGTTTCTTCTTTATTCCCAAAAAAGGGACAACACACCAGAAAAACAATGTAGATTATACATCCCTTTTCAAAACAACACAAAATAAAATTTCTATATCTTGTAAGAATATCATGACTTCACTCCAACAAAATACACAAAAATTAAGAAACATAAGAGTATGCATCAAAAGATTTGGACATCTAACACACAGTCTCTTATTGGGAAGTTTAAAGCTACTATAACAAAAAAGCATCCTACCATCTAATTGACTAAACAGCCTAAAGTAAATGAAGACAAAAATATCCAATTCAATAGGATTTAACTCTAGATTCTAGAATAATAACAAATGATAAAGGAAGAAAATGGCATTGCTATTATAGTATACCTGAACAAAGAAAATAGCAATGGGATTTCCACGCAAACAAGATATCCTCACATATCGACATGGTGTGTAATTTGTAGGGTAGATCATGTCACGTCTAGGTGCTTCACAACGGGGACGAACTTTTTGAAATGTCTCTGGCTGGGAAGCAAATAAGAATCAGTAAAGAACTAACCATGGGGTTATTCATGACAGAAAAAATGTAATTAAAAACATAAATAAGCCATATGTAATTACAGAGGAATAATTATAATCAGTATAGTATCATAGTCAAAACAAGGAATTGAAGGACCGATATTAATATTTATAGCATATATTTATCAAAAAGCTGGAGAAATGACTGAACATTCTCTTGAAAATAAAAAGCCAACCACATCAAGTGAAGCCATCTTTCCTTCATCTGCCTAAAAAAATGTTAGACCATATGCTCATCACATTATTGTTCTCAATCAATTAATTTATCAATTTCATAATTCATTTAATCAGCACAAAACCTTGTCAAGAAAGAATTCAACAAGCATGCATCCTGTTGACAATATCCATAGTCTGTAAAACTACAGGTAGACTATACCCACACTACTCTTCAGAAACCCCTAATAAAGGACAATCAACAATGATCAGACTTCTTAAGGGTTCATAAAATTGAGCATACCAAATATTCAACCAAAAGAAACCAATAAAAGAATATTATATAAATAATTATTTATTTTGTTCTCATAATGCCAACAGTCCAAACAAGTTGATACAGTAAAGTCTTAACTCGATAGAATTTGTAATAGGAGGTATCTATGCTTTATTGTACCAATTTTGTGAAATACCTTGAGCATTCAAAAAATTATGTATCATCATTTGTTCAACAACAATCAAACCTAAGAGAATGCTGCCAACTATGCATGCATCCCATATACTCCACCTTTGTAAAGCATTGACAAGCCACCTTCATAAAATTAATAAAATACATATGACAAAAAGAGTATGAAGAACTGCCAACAATCATTGTCTGACAACTTTCAGCCACTAACCTTGTAACGTAAGCCAACTGCAATTTCCCATTCAAGTACAGACTTATTATAAATTCGTATATGCGACAACAGGCAAGGCTCCTGCAGCAAAGGAAACAACATAACCACTATTTAATTATGCAAGGACATGTAAAACAACTTATTCATCTTGAAGAAGCCCTAGAGTTGAAATTATAACCGAATGAAACAATTATCACAGACATATAGCATTACAAAAACAAGAAAGAAGATGAAAATTATTAAAGAAAAAAGAAAAAAATGTTTAGCAGCATTGGAGAGAAAGACAAACTTGGAGTTCGAGAAGAATCCATTCTTTGGTGTTGGTGGCGGCGGACCAATGGGTGCGGAGGTCGGTGTCGAGAACGTGAAGGGCTTTCTGGGAGGGAGATTCCCTGGACATGGCTTTGACCTTATAAGGAAGAGGCTTCACGCGAGGTTCCAACTCCACCTCCATTTCCAATTCGATTCTTCACTACCTTCGCTTCGAATGCTTACGGTTTATGCATTACCACTTCCTAGAGTTGCCCCTTTCTTCCTCTCACTCTCTCGCCCCCAAACCAAGCCTTTAATATTCATAATTTGCTAGCAACCCAAGATTTATTTTTATTTATTTAGTCAAAAAAACTAATATCTGAAATTGTGGTAAAAATGTGGATTATTAAATTAAACCCTCTGAGATCGTCAAATCAATTATTTTAATTTTTAAAATTATGTAACAAATTAATTTTTTCTTAAAATTATACATATAACTTAGTCCCTCAAATTATAAAAAATCAATCATTTTAATCATTAAAATTATAGACACCATTAAATTTAGTCCTTTAAATTATGAAATAAAAAATTTAACCTCTCAAAACTTATTATTTTTAGCTTCTGAAATTATAAGTACCTAACAATAGTCTTTAAAATTATAACACAAAATTTGCAGTTCTTAAAATATATATATATATATATATATATATATATATATATATATTAGGAAAATGATTCGTGCAATGCACGAATAAATTACTATGTTATATTATAATATTATAATTAATAATTATATAAAATATTTATGATAATATTTAAATTATTTTAAATTTTAAAATTAATTAATATATATTAATATTATTATTAATAAAATGATTTAATATGTTATATAAAGATTTATAATATACTTTTAAATATTTATAAATTAAATTTAAAAGTAAAAGGTTTAAACTCAAATATAATTTAAATTTATAAATTATAAATTTAATTTTATAAAGTTTAAAAATACTCTTATAATTAATTTATAATAATTTAACAAGTATATATACATACCAAAATATAAAGATTTTAAATAAAATAAATAAATTTTCATATATTTAAAATAATTTTAGGCAAAAATTATTAAATGAATAAAATTATATATCTTATTTTATCTTATAAAATTATATAGCACACAATTTAAGGATAAAAATAAATAATTTTTTTATTAAATAAACTTATTTTATGTTTCTGAAACTATTGTTATTTATCAAGTATTATAATTTAATCTCTTATTATTAAATCGTATATTTATTAATAAAATATATATATAATTTAGTTTTAAAATAATTATAATTTAAATATTAAATTAATTATTTTTAATATAACAGAAAGATAAAAAATATTAAATGAAAATTTTGATTATTTTTAAAATAAATTATCTATAAAAAATAAATATAACAGTTAAAAATAATTTATATACGACTTTAAATATTATAAATATTATTATAAAAAATTTAATTATAGATTACTAAATATATTTATATATCACAGAAATTTATTTATATTGTAATTAGTATATATTAATATTATAAAATTATAATAATAAAATTATATTATATTAAATAATATTAAATATAAATAGATTGAAAAATAAGATAAATAAATTTTTATATGCAAATTTTATATACTTTATATATTTTAAAATTTCAATTAAGATTTATAGGTGACCCGTGCAATGCACGGATAAATTATTATATTATAGTATAATATTATAATTAATATTTATAAAATAAAAAATAATTCTATAAAATATTTATGATAATATTTAATTTATTTTAAAATTAAAAATTAATTAGTATATATTAATATTATTATTAATAAAATGATTTAATATATTATATAAAAATTTATAATATACTTTTAAATATTTTTAAATTAATTTTAAAAGTGAAAGGATTAAACTCAAATAAAATTTGAATTTATAAGATCATAAATTTAATTCTATAAAGTTTAAAAATACTTTTAAATTATTTTAAATTTTAAAATTAATTAGTATATAATAATATTATTACTAATAAAATGATTTAATATGTTATATAAAAATTTATAATATACTTTTAAATATTTATAAATTAACTTTAAAAGTAAAAGGTTTAAACTTAAATATAATTTGAATTTATAAATAATAAATTTAATTCTATAAAGTTTAAAAATACTCTTATAATTAATTTATAATAATTTAACATGTACATATACATACCACAACATAAGAATTCTTAATAAAAAAGTAAATTTTAATATATTTAAAATATTTTAAGGCAAAAATTATTAAAGGAATAAAATTATATATCTTATTTTATCTTATAAAATTATATAGCACATAATTTAAAGATAAAAAAAAATAATTTTTTTATTAATTAAACTTATTTTTTGTTTCTAAAACTATTGTTATGTATTAAGTATTATAATTTAATTTTTTATTATTGAATCATATATTTATTAATTAAATATATATATATAATTTAGTTTTAAAATAATTATAATTTAAATATTAAATTAATTATTTTTAATATAACAGAAAGATAAAAAATATTAAATAAAAATTTTGATTATTTTTAAAATAAATTATCTATAAAAAATAAATATAACAGTTAAAAATAATTTATATGTAACTTTAAATATTATAAATATTATTATAAAAAATTTAATTATAGATTAGTAAATATATTTATATGTCACAGAAATTTGTTTATATTGTAATTAGTATATATTAATATTATAAAATTATAATAATAAAATTATATTATATTGAATAATATCAAATATAAATAGATTAAAAAATAAGATAAATAAATTTTTATATGCAAATTTTATATACTTTATATATTTTAAAATTTTGAATTAAGATTTAAATAAAAAATAAAAGAGAAGAATAATTTTATTAAAATTCAAGTAAATCATTTATATTAAAATTCAAAATTGTATTTAACTGCTAATTATATGCATTTTACTTCATTATTTCAATACAAAATATACTCAATTATTTAACTGCTAATTGAGTTTGGAGAAAATCATCTTCCATTGAAACAAAAGAGTACCTATCAGACTTAATACTTGACTTATACCTGCATCATTCATATTCATCCTATACCACAAATTGGATAGCTTATAAGTTAACAAAAACAGGAAGCATCATGCAAAACATAATGATGTCTCTATAAATAAAAAATAATTAAAATACTTATTTATTCTTGTAATCAATAGCCCCTTTTATGTTAAGATTAATATACATCTTTGTCTTATTATAAGCATTTGATATGCTTAAAGTTCTTGAAACAACTATGAAATATAATTTGTTGATAATAATAACTATCACACAATTAAAAAGAGTTCAATATAGATAAAGAATCATACCACCAAATGTTTTCACTTTACATAATTGAATAATCATAATAGGTAAAACATTAAAATTTTCATTCTTTAAAAAACAACCATTTGATCATCAAACTCCTCCCATAAAGTGCAAACAATTCTCTTATTCTTACGAAACAAATTCAATATAATATAATATTAATTAGTATAAAGTAATGAAAGAGAAAAAAATATTAAACAAATATTTTAGTCAATAAAATATGTTATAAAATAATATTCACTCAAAGTCATTGAGAATCAAATCAATATATTTGATTTTCTATTCATTTTTTTCTACGTCTTTTTTTACTTATTTTTTTAATTTTATAATAAACTTAATTTAAAGTTCAAGAGTTTTATGTAATTTTATCAGTTATTAATTTTTAATAATAAAATTTAAAATAAACATTAATATTAAGGTTCAAATCTGTCACAAATGATACACCTTTTGAATATATAAAGACTATTAATTAAAAATAAATACATTTAACTGATTTGAATTAAAACATTCAAGACGACTTTAAAGATAAAGATATATAAAAACTGCTAATTAAAAATGAATAAATTTAATTGATTTGAATTAAAGCATTTAAGATAGCCTTAAATAGTAATTATTAATTATTATATAAAGATTATTGTATTAAAAGTGAAGGTAAATTTCCCTCCAAAACTCATCTACTTATATATATATAAAGATAAAGATATATATAGTCCCTTTGATTAATTAATTCAATTAAATGCAATAAATTAATTATCCATCTATCGCTTACATGACTGCCTATATTATTAAGTAATACAATTTTATTTTATAGCGAAAAATTATAGAAATAAAATAAAACAAAGAATGATGTATTTTTAGCTTTAAGTTTTTCTTTCACTGTGTGGTTTAAATAATTATTTTTTATAATTTTAAGTATTAAATTATATATTAATTATAATTTTAGAGATAAATAATTTCTTACAATTTTGTGGACTTAAATTGATAAATATCTCTGCTTTAAAGATTAAAATAATTGATTTTATAATTTTAGAAACTAATTTGACATATGTTTATAATTTCAATGATTAAAATAGTGTGTTATTTCATTTCCATTTTATTTCATATATTCAGGAGAAATTTTGTACTTTTCAAGGTGATGTATTAGCAATGCTTTAAGAATTCATCTAGTCATTAAACTAATAAAATTTAATATTTGATGGTTCAAACATGGTTGATGATAATTAAATATAAATTTAAAAAATAAATATTCATTTTAATCTTTTAAATTATGCCATTTAAATTAATTATGTAAAATTAAAATTTTAAACTTTAGTTTTTAAGATTAATAATTGTCAGTTAATTTAGTTTTTATTATTAAAAAAATGTTAAATTATATAATAAATGATAAGTTATTATACTAAGTAACATGTGGAAAGATACAAAATAATATTATAGTTTTTTGTTATTGATTTTTGAGATTCCGTCCATTTCTCTTTTTCATTCTTTAGTTTCATTTTTTTTATAATGTCTTCTTCTCAATAAGGAAAGAAGAATGTAAATAATATTTTAGTTAAATGATAATATCATTGATCACATCGGAGTAATTCATTGTAATTGGAGATGAAAGAGATGACAAAATAAATATCGATATAACAAAACAACTTATAGTAAGGTTTGAAGATTAGAAAGAAAGAGAGTCAACAATGTTTTAAACAAATGACAATAAAATCAACAATAAAGGGGGTTAAAGATGGAAGAGATGACGAAGAAAATATTAATTATGTCCTTTCATATGTTATTTAATATAATAAATTATCATTTTATTATTTAATTGTAACGTGTTTTAATGATAAGTACTAAAATGATTGACAATTATTAATTTTAAAGATTAAAGTTTTAAATTTAGTTCACTAACTGTAATACATTACATATTTTAGGAACTAAAGTAAGAATTCGTTATAATTTTTAATACTATATAATGTATTAAATAATTGATTAACATAAAATATTAAGAAACTAAGATAAATTAAATTTTAAATTGATATAAAATGATTATATTTTATATTTTGTGCAAGAAAAAATTAATGATAAAAAGATAAATGATGACTAACTTTATGTCTTTATAATTTGTCATTAAATGTTAATTTAGATTTAAAGAATATTTTTTAAATAAAAATTGGCTAATTCAAACCAATTTTTACCTCCAGTTTTGGATTAGTTGGATTAATTTTTGAATAGTTTTTATTGATTCTAAAATCAGTCGATTTTATGGATTATTTCTAGTTCAACTAATCAAACAACTGTATTAGTATTACTTTTTTCAAATTTTTGCCCAAAATAACTTATTCATTGGACACACACTGTTCACATGTTGCACATCTCTGTTTTTCTTTTCCATTAGAGTTTTTAATTGTAATATTCTACAATTTATAGAGAACTATGATATTTACTATATGCTAATGTAACTTTGGGCTTAGTTACTTCTCCAGAATAGTAGTTCCTCTATGTTGTGGAAGACTAACATTGGTTGAAGTTGAGTTAGACAATCTATTTCAAATGTTGCAACCCATGCATGAGAGAAATTGGCATTTGTGTTTTTGTTTTTCCCTTGAGTCACCAAGTTTCAAGGACCTTTGGAGGACTTGCTTTTCTGGAGATCAAAACTATGAGAGGAAGAGGAAACAAAGCTTTGTTGAAAAAGACTCTTATTCTATGGAGTTTAAACTTATCTTCAAACCACTAAAACTCTTTCCAAAAGATTGGTTAGGTGGAGTGGAAAATTTTAGGTAAAGTCTATACTTTGTATAAGTTCTATAGTTATGTGTTAAATCTAAACAGTTCTGTTGCAATGATTCATAGTGTTCTTTATGGTTTATCATAGTTTTGTAGTGATTAGAGTTTCATATAATATGAGTTGATAATATACACTAGTTTATTTAAAAAAAAAAAAAAACAATTGTATGTTTGAATGAAAAGTGAAATAGAAGAAAAAGAAATAGTATGAAAAATAGAGTAAAAATATATTAGAAAAATATGTTGTTTAGATAGCTTAAAATAAGGAAAAAAAAGAAGAAATTTCCTTGTTTGAATGAAAAGAAAAAATAGAAGAAAATAATTAAATTATATTACAAGTAATCATAGAAAAATAAAATTAATCCAAACATATTTAAATTCTTTATTATAATATTTTCCTTAATAAAAAAAATATATTTTTATATTCTATAAATATTATTTAATAATTTTAAATAATAAATTAAAAAAGGCATGTCCCCTCACCCCCCCCCCCCAATTTTCTCTCCCCCCTACAAACGTCAACATATCAGGCTCAAATCTTATGTTCTATTTCCCAATTTTGGAACTGCCATTGCAAATTTATTTCCACTTTTTTATTATTTTATCATAACTCAAAACTACGTCATGATAATGTATGCATAATAAATTATCCGAATATTACTTAGCATAAAAAGCCTAGCAAAGATATATAATAAATTTAGTAAAATATTTTTTTTTCCAAAAGTAAGTAATACTATTGAACTTTATAAATTTTTAGTAGTCTCTTTTGTAATTTCAATTTTAAGTGCTCAAAATGAAAATTTTTAGCATTGAAGCCGAGTTAACGGTGTTTCTCTCATATATACTATGTAAAATTAATTAGAAGAATGTTGAAAAGCATGTATTCACATATAAAAAAATTACTTATAAATTTAAATATATTTTCGTCCTTATAATTTGTGTTGATTTTGATTTTGATCCTTACCTTTTAAAAGTTTTGTGTTTAATTCTTAGTTTTAAAAATTTTGGTTTTAATTTCTGTTAATAATAACACATCAAGATAAATGTTAGTATCACATTTTTAATATATTTTTTTAATATATTTTTAATTATTGGTTAAAATTTATTAAAAACTACAAAAACAGAGAAATTTAGTAAATTAAAAGTAAGAAAGAATGAAACCCTAAACCCTAAAAGTAAATTAAAAAATGTGTTACTAATGCTTCTTAGTATATCAAATAATATGTTTTGAAAAGTTCAATTGTATATATTAATATCTAGTACATTGGAGGAAACAAACCCTAAATAAAATAAAACTACTGTGATCAAAACTAAAACAAATTTAAATAATAAGACCAAAACTCAAACTTAAAAAACTATAAGGAGCAAAAACCAAAATTTTAAAATATAGAGACCAAAATCAAAATCAAAGTAAATTATATAGGCCAAAAATATATTTATATGTTGCTTTACATTTAAGTGTGATCAAACATTCTACTGGTATTCTAGTCTCCCAATAAAGTGTGGTAAGTCATTAACTTTTAATCAATATTCTGCTAGCAGAGTTAGACAACCAAAGCCTAAACAACATCAATTTTCAACTTCCTTTCGTAATTGATCCTTTCTAAATCCAGATCAGAAAATTTTCTATCTCATACAACTATGTTCAAAGATTTTGTGAAATCTTGCTTTTTGGTATTCAATACTGGTCCCATCACATTTAAGAGAGTGGTAAAATGTTCTTCACAGAATAGTTCTTATTCTTGAGCTATGAGGTTTCAGTTCTGTTTCTCTTATTATTTTTTTCAAAATTGTCGTAGGCTTGCTTAGTCCTCATGAAAAGCAAGAAGCTTGAAACCAATCCCACCATTGAAATGCAACCCCACCATATAAAAGTTTGTAGGTAGCACTTTCTCCCCATGCACATGGACATTTCTCGCAGCCACATTGCATTTTCATGCCTTGAGTTCATTGCATTGGAGTCATAAATCAAGGCTGCAAGAAGACCATAGAGAAATGAGCCTAAAGGAATGTTAGTTATGAGGATATTATGGTTCATCCCGACACTATTTGGTCCAAATAACTCTGATGTAATTGACACTGCTGCAGAAAACACAAAGCCTGAACTCAGCCCTATCAAGCTTGTGCCTATGTGCAATGCTGGTTCACTGCCAGAAATGGCCAGCAAAATGAATGCAATTGGTGTTGGCACCAGGGCTGCTGCAAACCATCCAGTTCTTGCAAAGTGTATTGTCCTGCAATGTCATATAAAACTGGTGGATTAGTGATTGAGTAAATGGGAAACAAAAATGTTCACTATTCAGTTTTTGGATAGAATGTTTGACAAATTAAATTGTTTGCTTATTGACTCTTGAGTGGATGAGTGGCCGCAACCACATTATCTTCAGCATATCAGAAACATGCTAGGCCTAACTCACTTCCAAAAACTGGCTTAAGAAAAGAGGATTAATCATTTACTTGAGCCTTAAAAGAGTCTTCTGACCATATGCCTAGTTGATGTGTGACATTTAACACCTCTTCATGTTGTCTAACATTAACACTAAATAGCCTTTGATACATAATGGGCCTAACTCACTTCCAAAATCTAGCTCAAAAGAGGAGGATTATCCAAGACTTATAAGTAGCATTCTAGTTATATTCTTAACCAATGGGAGATATCCTAACAATATCTAATAATTACCCTTTCATCTAGTTGAATTCTATAAAAATTTTGAGCAAATTTTTTGTAGCCGTGTAGCATTATTTACAACCTTCAAAGACCTTTAAAACATACCCGTGCAAGAAGTCAGGCGCAGCTGCAAGAAGGCGACCGAAGAAGGAACATGTGGAATAGAGTGTGACAAGAAAGCTAGTCTGAGAATAGTGTCCAAGTGATTGAGAAATTTGGCCCAAGTTGTTGCTGTAAACCAATCCAATTGTTCCTCCACAGAAATATGCTATGTAGTATAGCCAGAAGTCCCATCTATGCAATAGCAACTTGGTTGGATGCTCTTCCCCAAGCATTGTAAGCTGCTCTTTCTCCAACACATTCACAAAACAACATTTCTTATCTCTTAAGCTTTGTGCGCTCCCATTCCTTGCACTGTACTCATCATCAATGAGTACTTTTTCAAGCTCATGATCATCAGAGTCAACAAAAGTGAACCTTGAATTGTATAGAGAAAAGCTTGTGGGGACAGTAAAACAAGACCATTCTCTAGAATATACAATGCTAGGCAAAAATAAGAGCAGTAGTAGGAGAAAAATGGCACCTACAAGGATAACGCGAGCAATGACTGGTGTTGAAGAAAGGGAGTATAAGAAGAGGAGGTAGAGGCCTGTGACAAGGGCAAGGATGTTAAGGCAAAGAAAAACCAAGGAATCGCGATGAATGGTGTCAACAGAATGTGGCTGAGGTTGTGGTTGGTGAAGAATTGGGATGAGTACTAGTCCAGAAATGAGTATAGGAACAATGGCATTGAGTAATAGATAGAGGGTGTCATCATTTGAGTTTATTGCATTGGCAATGAGAGTGTACAAAGCTGCACTTACACCATTGAAACTAATGCTCAAGGATAATGCAAGTGAACGGTTTGCTGGAAAATGCTTGATGCACAAGACATAGCAAATGGTGTTGAACCAGCAGATGCTACAGCCAGCAATCAGGCATAGAAAAAAGACCTGTTCAATGTTCACCAATGTTGCTTTGTTAGTAAAAGTCAATTTGGAATAGTTTACAGAAGTACAAAACTTAAGTACAGTTTTTTAGGTACTTCTGGTGTTGTTTATCAGTCAAATTAAAGTTTCATTTCAGTAAACCACAGCATTAAATGTGGCCTTCTAATAGTGGTGAAACTTCAATTTTGACCAAAAGCACCCAAAGAACTGAACCTAAGTTTTGTCCTTTACAGACATATATTTATAAATAGGTTTGTGATATTTACAAGATAGTGAAACTAGTAACTTCAGTGGCGTTATGTCTGAATCACATTTGAGAAGCTAAGAATGATTTTACTGTAACTACATATAATTATTAATTTGAAAAATGAGAGTGAAATCTCTCTCCTGTTACTCTTTTAGAGTATTTGTTTTGCATCTCTTCCTCTTGGCTACATAAGAACAATAGTAGAATGAATGTGTTAGTGCGTGTATTTCTTCTCTTATAGTTTGTGCCTATTGTGTAATACAGAATCTATGATATGAATCAAAACAAGCATATATGTTTGTTTTAATTAATAAATATCTTATGAAGAGTCCTGAAACCTATACTACAGATATGCAGAAGGGACTATAATGCCTGGAATTACACGAAAATCATCATTAACATTGTTGTTAATATAGGTATCAGTTGATTTATTTTGCCTCATTAATTTTGACAAAGTCATTTTCTGTTCCTTAGGCTATGTTTGGATTTCTGGAAAATGATGGAATGCAAAAAAATGGAATGGAATGACATTAATTATCATTGCTTAATATAGAGTGAAGTGGAATGAAGCTGCATGAAATTTGTTTCATCTTATTCCATCGTGTAACTATTTTTCTTCTCCCAATTAGTCTCCTTACAATTCCATTGACTTCCTAAATAAAGGAAGATAATTTTTCTTCCATCTCATCATTAAATACCCAAATAACTGATATGATATTTTTCTTATTCTATGTCATTTCATTTCATCCTACTCAGTTTCATGTTACCCACTTTTCACTATATATCCGAACAAAATCTAAGCTAACCATGATATATTATGATGTGAGAAACCATGATAGACAATATTTTTCTTATAACTGTATGAAACTTTAGTTGGAATGCAAAGCCAAATTAAATTGAAAATTCAGCATATCTCCCCTTCAAATAATAAAAATTGCTATTTTTTCTGTCAATTCTTGTCTTTCCTTGTTTCTCCTGTATCTTCTGAAATACTAATTATTGTACTTAAGGAGGATGATCTATCTTATTTTGCAAAGACAGAAGAGGAAGGGAAATAAAATTTGAAACAGAATCACAGTAATTAAGGATAGTCATAGTATATTAAAATAAAACTTAATTGTATCAAGAAAAGGAAAGATTGCAATAGATCATATAGAAACAGGTGCAATGTGTCTAATTTTATAAATTAGGATTAAAAATGCAATAGAAATAATAAATTAGGAGGAAATGCATTTGACAATGTTTTTTTTTTTTCATTGGATAATCTTTATTATGATATTGACTTAACCTATGCCAAAATTTTCTCACTTAACCACCAATCCTCCCTTGATGGGAAAGGTAGGTGAACTAACAGGAAGGTGAAGAACTTCAAAAGAATGCTTTGAAGAACAGATACCCATTGCATAAATGGTTTGTGTTAGTTGGCTTTAATCTATAAGGTAATTTAAATCAGACAAACTTGGGAAATTGCCAAAAGTTGGTCATCGAATAATTCTAACTAATTCCCACCAAACAGTCCTTGTTAGATGAGAAAAAAGGGCAATTTTGATAAACAACTTAATTTAAGCATAGTGTTTTACTATTTTAATTAAGGCTTAAATATCTTTTAAAACTTAAGGATAAATAAAAAATTTCTTGATTATCTTTATATTGATATGATTCCATTTAAAAATATTCCTTATAAAACATCTTTTACTCTTAAGTTCCTTATGTCTAAATTTTATGACATAATCTAATTTCATACGTTTTATCTTGATCTTGGATCGCTATCAAAATTACTTGATTAGTTCAAACAATACATTAATGACGAATTTGTGTCTAATTACTAGAAGTAAGAAGAGAAAAGAAAGAGTTACGTGACAATATAGCTGGTTTCTAATAAATATTAATATATTATGCAACCAGCACTAGCAATTAATGACAAATGGAACCATCCAAATAAATAAATAAGGAATGGAACCATCATGCAATTAAAACAAAATTCTTATGTAAGTTTAATTAAGCAATCGATTTATTAAGGGAGTGCTTGAAGTTAAGTTTTAGAGGGGAAGAGAGAAGAGATTATTTTTTTTTATTTTAATTAATATTCTCTAATTTTATAAATTTTTGAAATAAATATTATAAAAATGATGTACTAATAGATAAATGTAATGTATTATTCTTTTATTAAATTTTATAAATGCTATATATCTTTTTTAATCTGCAAATAAAATAGTTGTCTTTCTTCTCTTTTTTTCTTCAAAATTCAATTTGCAAACGTACTCTAGAAAGTTTGATAATCTTACATTTGAATGTTAATTTTCTACCCCATAATTTATTTTCAATTTAACAGTTGAGAAATATTATTTAAATACTATTCTAATATTAAATTGAGAATGCAATTTGTCGTTAAAAATGTGCAGATTGACTGATGTTTAGAAGCATAAGATCTAATAATTTAACACAGTTTGGAACATAGTAAATAGAAAATTAATTTCCAAGGGAAAAAAAATTATATATTAAATTAGTCCTTAAAATTATACGTATAAGTGAGTTTTAATATCTAAATATTTAAAAATACTAATTTAATTTTAAAAAATTTAAATATAAATCATTTCAAGTTTTATTATTAAATTTCAAAAACTATAAAAACAACAACAACAATAATAGTTTTATTGAAATCAACTCATAAGACTAAGTTTAAACAATTAAAATTGGTAATTTTTATATTAAAAAAAAGTATATATTATTTTAAATATAAAAGTATGATGATGAAAGTGGTGGGTGCACTAATTTCACTTTTGGCCTTTCACTTTCAAGTTGCTTGACACTGTGTCAAAGATGTATGAGTGTGATGTATCCATGGCTGTGTCTTCACTTACCATTTATTTACCCAATCTCTGTTTTTCGTAGCCAATGGTTAATTATTAAAAACTATATTTATTTAATAACCCACATGAGGTGTTTAGTTGAACACAAGGGATAAATTTTATAATACTTGAAATTATTAGACCCTTTTTTATTTTAACTAGGCGTCAAATTATAGAGATCCTAATTCAAATATTAAAAAAGACAATGATCTTGACATATAAGGTTAGAATTGTTGTCTTGTGGCTCTTAGAGGTTCATACACTTTCTTTCATACACTACAGTTGGTTTTATATTTTTCCCCAGAAAGCTAGGAAAGTGATTCTCACAAGATTTTCTCTTTCTTTGTTTTTAATATATAAATAATTGATAACATGCTTAGTCATAAATCATTTTTGACAAATAATCACTTATATATTTTTTCGTAAAATTAATGAAAAAAAAAACAGTTGTTTTTTTTTTAAATAAAATTGAATTAAACGCAGTTATTAATTCTTTTGCCGTTTAAATGCAAAGAGTTCAACATAGGAATTGGGTGTGTTTGCAAATATAGTTGTGGTTCACACAAAGCTCTTCCATTAACTTAAATCCTATAGAAAACATTGTTTATTTGCTTTTCCTTGTTTATTGTAAAGTTCATTGAATTTCTAGGAAATCTCAAACCACCAAAAGAAAATGTATGAAAAATTCAAAGAAGTGGAAGAGTGAAGAAAAACTGACCACAACATAAGGCAAGGTGATGAGTCTATGAATGACAAGCCATTGGAAGCCATAGCCAACAAGTCCCAAGAAAGCAGCAATGAACATGACAACCCACAAAGGGAAATACATGAGTGAGAGCCCAGAACACCACCCAAATGCCTTACCCATATCTGATGCCACTGATAGATAATTCAGCTGAAGTTGAGTTATGTCAAGAACAGATTTTAGCTCAGATGAGTAGGATGAGAAGTCAAAGTTTGTGCCTGTGAATGCTTGTATCCATATTGATGCTAGCAATATTACCCACTTTCTTGATTCCCCAACCATTGATCAATTTGCTTCCTCTTCTTCCTTTGCACTTTCTTGATGAGAAGCTTTTTCTTGTTTTCTCCTGTTTGGGATGAATTTGGTGATGGCTTGCATAAAGGGAATTAATGGTTGTTGTTTGTTTCCTATTTCTTGTATTCTTTTTATTAGTCCAAAGTTGGTAGAGGAAATTAAATGTAACACAATTTATCTTCTTTATGAGAAAAAAGAGAAAAATAAAAAAGAAGCAACTTATGTGAGATGTCTGTGTACAATAAAGTTTTGAGAGTGATTCTTGATTAAAATAACATTAGTGCAAAACACGAGCCCACTAAATTCATAATGGTGGGCTCAAAATGATGTTCACAAAAAGTTGCATCATTTGGTTGGTTGTGAGCACTGGCATGTTTTTCATCAATACTCTCACACACACCATAATATGGTATTTTTATTTTCAGCATAATAGCAAAAAAAAAAAAAAAAAAAAAAGGCAAAGTGTTCTTTCTCAATTGCACATCTTTTATACTATTTTCATGGAATTAAAAAAAAAAGAATTTCAAAGTTTACTTGTTAACTCATAATTAACTTGTTAATAATATGTTATTTGTCATAACTTTTTATATGGATAAGTTTATCAAAAAGTTATGTTAGTCAGCGATTTTAAAAGATGAACTTAAATAAGTTACATGTAAAAAAATTATCCTTGTTATATAGACATATGCCATGCTATCTCTTAATTATTTAAAAAAAACAAAAAATAAAAATAGTGAATGTTTAGTAACATACTTTTTTTAATACATTCCTAACTATTAGTTAAAATTTATTACAAAATATAAAAAATATATTAATTTAAAAATAAAAAATAGTAAGACTTACATAATTTTTATAATTTCTAAAAATTTAGTCAATGACCCAGAAACTGTACATTTCTTTCTCTCTCATATCTAAACCATTTGTTGGGCCACAAAATGAGGATTAGTCACCGGGGATGAGTTTTTTTCTACCAAAAAACTATGTTTCTTTCAATTCTTAGATTGGACCCGCTTTTAGACAATTTCTTCCAATTTCAAATATAAGCAAAAAATAATTAAATTATATTTATTAAAAAATAGGTAATATCATTTAATGTTTTTTAATTTATCTAAAAATTAAACCTTATTTTTTGAGAATAAAAAAAGTTATTAAAAATAAATTTTAAATTAATTGAAGATATTTTTAATTAATTTCATAAAATAATATAAAATGAATTAAGATTTGCTTATATTTTAAAACATCATGCCTCAGTTTATATTTCCTTATAGTTAAGATTGGAGGGAGTAATTTATTAAAATTTGTAAATTAAATATGTTAACTTATAATAATCCCTTTTTATTGAAAAGTATAAAGAATTATACCATTATCACAGCCCTACTAATTTTTTTCTTAAGTTAGTAGCAATGATAGTAACCCCAAACAAAATTAAAAGCATCATGGATCCAAAAATAATTGAGTTTATTTGTTTTTTATTTTTGAAATTATGTACAATTTAGATCTTTTAATTTTTTTTAAAAGGTATGTTTGGGAGGCAATTTTTTTTAAAAAAAAAAAGAAGAGAAGAAATAATTTTTAATTTTAAATTAAAAAATTATATATTATTTACGATAATAAATGCATAATTTATATATTAAATTTATGTTAATATATCAATTTATATTTTTATTTTAAAAAATTATTAATTTTAAATATATTTATTTAAAATACAAAATATATTTTTCCTTTCCTTTTCCTCCAACATCTTCTTTTCCAAACAACAGTTAGTTAATTAAGACCCTTTATTTTTTAAATTTTAACAAATTTGCTCCCGTTGCATTTTCTCAACTAAAAATTCTTATTTTCTATCCAAATATATTGTAGTCTATGATAGAATTGAAGTATGAAACAATTTTAAATGCGTATAAGTAAAAAAAAAAATAGTAAAAATTTGATGCATTTTGAAATACGTGAATTAGAGTTCAAAAAAGAAAAACAAACTTTTTTAATTTTAAGTATAATTTGATGTTTTAACTGACTAATTTTGAGCATAGGACAATTTAATCGATTCAGTTTATAACAATTTAGAATAAAACATAAGAATTTGAATGTTTTAGGGGAAAAAATTAATAAAGTACTAAATTTATTAAAATTAAAAAATAAAAGAAATTAATTAACTCATGAAAAATTTAAAAGGCCAAAATTATACAGTATAAATTAGAGGAACAAAAAAATATAATTAAGTCAAATAATTGTAAGTAAAATATCTCCAACCAATTTAATCAATTCTAAATCTATCTCAATTCAATAAAATCGATCATGTATCATAACACCACAATTGTCACAAAATATCTCGCCATCACCAAAATCAGGGTGTGAAATAATATAGCTATTATATTATACACTTAACACCTCCAAATATCATAACTAGAATTCTTATCTGGCAGTGTATGATGCTACACGAAAAATCACTTAGAAAGAATGTCATTCAAAATCATTTAAATGGGCAGTTCTAGTTCTTTGTAACAGGTTCTAGATTTATACAGTTTGCAGCCTGTATGTCCATAGTTACTGTAGACTAGGTTGTTCTCTTCCTTATCTATATATTGATTGAAACATAAGATAATGGCATCTACTTTTTCTGAAGAAAAGGTACATGTGTACCCTTAAAGTCACAGCATGTCATTTGGTGTTTGAACATAAATTTTCTTAGTTTGGTGGCAAGTATGCAAAGTAATCAAAATAACCAAGTGGATGTCAAATGCACGATATGATAGTCGAAATTACAGATTTCAGCATGTTGTATCCTATAATGATAGCATCTGGTATGTGTTAGTCAATCTGATTTACTATCATAAATGAATAAAAAATAACTAAATTAAAGATTGTTCAATTGTGTTCTGACTCAAATGCTTCTAAGAAATGAGATTAAATAATAATTACATGTATTTTTTATTGCATTGATGTTATTCGAAGAAGACTCACTACATTGCTATATTATGAATTAGGCCAAAAGTTTTTGTCATCATCCTCATCATCATGGATGAGTGCAACTCCATTATTCTTAAGAGCATTCACAACAGCCCAAACCTTGGTTTGGTTCTTAAATCCTTTCTTCCCTACTTCTTTACTTACATTTACATGAATCCCTTTTCCTTGTCCTTCATTAAGCCCCTCAACTTTGAGCCGCCTGGCCAACACCTCCCCAACAATAGCGGCTGCTTTTGCATTGCAGGATCGGCCACACTCAAGTGACTCTTTAATGGTGTGTTCTGCAGTGGATGATGTTGCTACAATCCGACCATTGTTTCTATCAACCACGTTTGCAGTAATGTACTTTAATGATATAAACAATCTCAACACATACCGCTTGATAACAGGCATTCTCCAGTTTGCTAATTGTGGAATGCTGACAATGACAATCAAGCACAGAAATCAATTTAAAAAAAAGAAAAGAAAAACAAAGGGAAAGACTAAGCAGTGCCTCACATAATAAAAGGAGAGAAATTTATGTACTGCATGCAAACAAGTTTTTTTTGGCTTAAACATGCTTTTTATTGTTAAATTTTCTTAGAATTTTTATTTTAGACCCTAGAAAATTTTCTTTTGATTTTTAATCCCTGATTTTTTAAAATTCAACGCTTATGGTCTTTAGCAAAAAATCAATACATGGCAACTTCTTGGTAAGCCATATAATTACTAGAGACTAAAAGCATTGACTTTTGAAAAATCAAATACTAAAACAAAAAGAAATTTTTAAGCAACTAAAATCAAATTCTAGCAAAAATATAGGCACCAATAACATATTCAAGCCTTTTTACCAAAAAACATCAAATTAATTTTTAACAAGAAACTATTGTTACAATTAACAGACAATCGGATGCTTCCTTCTTCCATTCAAACCTGAATGAAATCTTAACTTTCAGTTACAAATACCAATGGCAGCACATTTCAGTGTACTTGGTATTTAACTTTTAGCTTCAAAATAACATGCCATCAAAGAATTGTTGACATGTGACAAAAACATATTGAGCATGGTCTCGTGCAGCTGATGCATATAGATTAAATATAAATTAACATATGTACATGGAGTGGGATTAATTAATATGGACACTCTAGGTGAACAAAAGATGGGAAAAGTGGAAATGCATGAAAGATAGTTTTAATGAAAGTAAAATTTAGCCCAGTACATGCTCACTTGTTGCAAGGATTAGCACAGGTTGATTAACATTTTGAGTAAAGATCTGAGGCTTATGTATATGCCAAGAATATTCTGCAATTATTGCAGTGTAGGCGCTTGGGGGAACATCTCAAGATATGGAAGAGTATGAGATTATCCAACTTGTTCAATATAGTATTAAAGCAAAAGTTACTGGTAGTGTGGACAATGAAGATTTGGTAAGAATAATACTCCAAAAATGGGTAGGCACAAATGGTCTTGATATTAAGTTGTTGATAACTACATGCTCAAGATCAATACCCATGTCACTATTGACAATACAGACTACCATATATTTAAAGGGTCTTTCTGAACAGGATGATTGGTTTTGTTGGAAAATAGCTTCCAAAGAAGGGCATAAGCCAAGAATCCAAGAATAAACAGAAACTTGAAAGATAATCATCAAAGACATGTGAATAAGGCAATTATGCCAGTGGCATCGTATATGGAAAATGAAAAACAGAATGCTTTTGTAAAAATGCACATGGATTACTTTCTTCAATAATTCCAAATGACCAAACCTATGAATTAGTTCTCAAGATTGTATGGGCTAGAAACTTCAATTTCTTATATTTTAAAAACCATTGATTAGTCCCCCAACTTTGCAAAAATTCATTCATCTTAGTCCTTTTCTACTGTATTTTTCAGTCGTTTTGCACCAAAAATGACTAAAGAGAATGACATTGGGGTTGATCTTTACGTTAATTGAATGCCAAATTGAAATTTAATTCATATTATTATTTACTAAACTAAATATTAACCCAGTCATAATTTTGCATCACTTTAAAGTTAAATTTACAACATTGGGCACATATAACCAGAAAAATATAAAAGTGCACAAGCATTAAACTGCTGTTTTGAAAGATGTTTGTTTTCTTTCACCTATAAAAACAGGTACGATTTCACAAGCTTATACAGATGTGGAAGAAGCAATTTAATCAGAAGTGTATAATCTAAAATGGAGTTAAAACACAGCAGAAGTGAAGCATAAACAACCAGTAATCAAAACATAGCAAACAACAATCAATAATCTTAAAAAAGAAAAGGTAAATTGTTAAAATAGTCCCGGAAACAGACTATACCGGTCACATTAGACCTTTCGAACTGATTGGGTAAATGGAATAGGCATTCAGAGACAAATTTGGCCACCAAAATGCAACAGTATCTTTGAAGAACTAACTCAATTATTCACACAAGTAAACTATATATATATATTAGAGCAACAAACATGAATAGATAGAGCAACAAATTTGCGAGATTCCCAAGTGCTCTAACCCCTAAACCCTGCATAACTCTATACATAAACTGAAACACATAGCAAATCAATTGAAAGAGAATTAAAGAAGGGTTTACCAGAATCAGAATTGAAATCTAATGTATTATTAAAATATAAGGTAGTTAGCAACAGTGGATGACCATTCTTCAGAGTTGAGAGCATCAGTAAACCTTTGTCTTAATGTTATTTAACTAAAACAGGTCACTGAGTCATGAATTCTTGGTATGAACAGTAAGAGCAATTGATGTGGTTCAATCAATGTTACGGAACTTGATAACTCAAAAGCACTTAATTTTTCATTTGTCTAGACCTCAAACACAGCAAGTACAAAGCATAAACTTAAAAAGTATAATTTCTGTAAGCAAATGAAATTGTGAGTTGAGAAATAAATAGAAATGAAATACCTCACTCAGCACAAATGAATGCAGTGATTCAGATCCCTCTCCGTCTCAACGTGTTTTTGCCCTTTCACAATTTTTTAGGGCTTAAGGCTCAATCACTTTTTATTATTATTACTATTGAACTCATGCTATTTAGACCCGTTGCCATGTTGGGATCCAACTCAATGTTTCATGGGAGCTTTTTTTTTTTTTTTTCTTTTTTTTCTTTCAACTTTTATTTTCTTTTCACATCTTATTAAATTTGTTTATAATTTTTTAAAAATATAAGATGATAATAAAAACAACTTCTTGTTGATCTATTTTTTTATTTTTTTTATTGCAGAATTTAAAGTTTGAAAATATGTCTAAAATTGACTTCCAAAAATTAAATTCAAGAAACTTGTATAAAAAATGTTTCTGAAAATTAAGTTTGGAAATACATGTAAAAATAATTTATTTGGAAGAGAAGAATCCTAAAAAAATGTTAGAGTTGAGGTCGACAAATACCTATAAATACGTCATTTTTAATGATAAATTAATTTTTTAATAATGTATTCAAGTTGATATAATTGAAGAGTAACTATACTTATAATACACTTGAAAAAGGTAATGATAGAAGAATAATGAAACTTAAAACAATAGAGAAAGAACAAAATGCAACATAAAATGAGGAGTAAAAATTTTAAAAATTCTAAAATGTGAAAGAAAAATAAAAATAAAATTAGAGGTTGTTTAATTTTAGGAAATAATTTTAGAATTATTTAATAATTTAAATTTTTGTTAAGAATATTTTAGAAAAAAAATATTATGGTATAAAAAAAAAAAGTTGCAAAACGCAATCCCTTGAAACTTGGGTTGGACATAAACTTGGTTGCGTTTATTTTTTTCCATGTGTAAAGACTAGTTAGAACATCGGACCTAATTTTATTATTATTATTATTATTATTACCTTCATTACCTTCCCCTTTTTAAGTAATAATAATAATATTAAAATTCAGAAGTGTAAAAAATAGAATATTGTTTCAACCTTTACCTATATTTCATTTGAAACTTAAATAAGCAATCAACTCCTAAAATATTATATTTTTTGTTTTAGGTTTTAGAAAAATTTTATTCTATTTTAATATTTTAAAACATATTTAAAAAAACACATGATTTCACTGCAAATCAAATAAATTTTATTAAATGCAGGAATTAAAATCGAATATTTTTTAAAAGATTAAAATTTAAAATTATTATACTTTTTAGAAATAGTTACTTATTTGAGTCGTCGTCGTCATTATTATTATTATTATTATTATTATGTAAATGTCATTTAATTTTTAATCTTTATGTTTGTCATTTTCAATTTTTACTTATAAATCAAAATGATCTTTCCAAAAGTGATACTAAAAGGTAAGAAAATGAAAAAATAAATAAAAATCCTAATTTCAATTTTATTTTAAATTTTTTTACTATTTTATTTTCATAAAACCCTTAACTTTATGACAGCTTGCTGATCCTAAAATTGAGAATAACGATTTACCATTTTCTTAATTACAACTAACGAAACATTTGTAAGAATTAAATTGGCTTTGAAATCTCACAATACTTTGAGATATAGGTGCAAATTTTATTTTGCATAAGGCAAACTTGTATGTAACATTTTTTTTTCTTAATCCTTGATATTTATTCTATTCTTTTATAGTTAATTTACATTGATTTGTTTACTAAATACATTTAGTTCATGATCTAAAATTTGTAGTATTTGTAATTTGTTAATTTATATTTGCTCATATTTTCTTTACTTGTAGATATTTAATTTCTTACTTTATTTGAAAATTTTTAATATATTTTTATTTTGTGTATCTAATATCATGATTCATTGTATATTACAATTCGCACTGTAAATTCTGGAAAACAGTCTTAAGATGGATGTATTATACTTTGTATGGTTTGTTTTATATGCTTCCAAATACTCTAGCCTTATATTTTGTTTGTTACAAAATTTTATGAGCATATTATACTCACGTACCATGTTGAATTTTTTAGACATTTCATGGTGGAAAAGAATAAGTAATGTAAATTGTTTGATTAAGCACAATCTATTAGTCAACCAATCATGAGAATAATAATTTCAAAGGTTGTCATGAATAGGTATTTTCTTTTATTTTTCTATCCCCTTCCCCATCAATGAGTTGACAACAACTAAGTTTTTTAATTTTAAATTAAAAGAGTTATGTATTTATGAAAATAAACAAAAATAATACATATTAAGTCTATAATAAACTATCGTTTTAATTTTATAAATTAACATGAAAAAATATTTATTAAAAATAAAAAAATATTAAATAGCTCTTAAACATAATTAAAAACGGATACAAAAAGTAATGCTGAGGAGACAGATATTATCATACGAGACTCACGGATCTGGATCCCCTCATATTTAATTTCAAACATGACAGTCATGTTCGTGTATTTTTATACATTCGCTTAAGCGAAATTTCACTTAATTAAGCGAATGTATAAAAATACAGGAACATATAATCAAATATGAGGGGATCCTGACGCGGGGCCCACAACCTAAAACCACATACATTAACAAAAGTACATCTTCTAAGGGTCCCAAGACTTAGACCTCAACCCTAAAGTTTTACTAATTACTCCACATGCAATCCTACACACTGCTACTTCTTGAAGAGAATCTAAATTTATATGAATTCATAAATATAAACATTTCATTCTCATCTTCAATATATGAATTAGAAGTAACCATAATTGCACATTTTAGAGATTTTATGCATCATAAAATAAGCAGTAATTTCAACCAACCAAGTGCATACCCCATATAAAGAAGGTTCAACACAAAATCAGAAGTTCAGATTTGAGAATGACAATTCATAGAATTTTATTCACGAGCAACAACAACCACTTGTTTACCAACATTGCGACCTCTGTAGAGGCCAGCCAAGGCTGCAGGGCCATTTTCAAGACCCTCAGCCATGTCTTCTACGTACACAACCTTCCCTTCTCTGATATGAGGCAAGAGAAACTCCAAGAATTTGGGATAAAGGTCATAGAAATCTGTGACAATAAAACCTTCCATTCGAATGCGCTTAAATATGAGATTTGCCAAATTTGTTACACCTTCAGGTTGAGTAAGATTATACTGTGAGACCATTCCACAGACGGGTATGCGGCCATGGACTCTCATATTCAAGAGCACAGCATCAAGGGTCTTGCCTCCAACATTCTCAAAGTATATGTCAATGCCTTCTGGAAAGCACCTGATTTGTGAATTCACCAGTCACCAATGCATGTCATGTTACTAGGTGCAATAACAAAACATGTTTTTGGCAATACAAGAATTAAAAATTAAAATTGCTTTACCATAAAACTGTTAAATACTGACCTTTTCAAAGCTGCATTGAGGTCAGGCTCTTCTTTGTAGTTAAAAGCTTCATCAAATCCTAATTTGTTTTTCAACAGATGCACCTAGTTCCAAAAGACATACATGCTAGTGAAAAGAGGACTAAGGCATACATGCTAGTGAAAAGAGGACTAAGGCCCAGTTTGGGTGAACTTGTGAATAAGTCCTTATAAAATAAGAAATATTTTCCAAAGCTTGGAAAATGGAAAAAGTTTTTTTGTAAAATAATACGGCTAGTTCAAAATAAGTGTACTCTAAAGTTTTAACAGAAGGATAAATAATGAAATGTTGATGCTGATTTATCATTTATGAAGCCAAACACAACAACAATAATTAGACAAATACCTTTTCCTTACTTCCAGCACTTCCAACAACATAACAACCACTCAATTTAGCAAATTGCCCTACAAGTTGACCAACTGCACCACATGCAGCTGAAACAAAAACGTTCTCACCTTTCTTGGGAGAGCCTAATTCAAAGAAACCGACATAAGCAGTCATTCCTGGCGGACCTATGCTCAAAGAAGAAAATAACATGGGTCAAAACTCAAACAGCACAACAAAATGACAGAAAACTATGTGAATGGCATCCATAAGCTTGCTAAAATTCATTCTAAAGAAGTAAGGTGTATATACAAAATCAATGCATCAAATAGCACAATTAGAAAGAGGAGTTAATTTATCACAGCGATGTGGTTGTAAAAGATATAAAAATGCAGTGATCTATTGGTCCAAATGAGTATAAAGGTCGTTTAATTTTGTTATCCTCCAAAGAAAACCTGGCTAGCCAAAAATTTTAATAAATAAAGAATAAATTCCAGACATATAACCTTCCTTAAACAGCAACAACAACCTAGTTGAGATCACATGACACCATTAAACTCAATCAAAAATTAAATTCTCCGAGATATCATTACATAACATTCCCTACACAAAAGAATAAAATGGAAAAGAAGTATACTGACAAACAATCAAGACAACCAGTTCTAACACAGAAAGGAGCCATTTGTCTCATGAAAACTTCATAAATTGAGGATAGCATATAATACTAAAATCAAGTGCACCCTTCACTAAGAATCAATATAAGTTGAAATTGTTAAATACGTACCAAGAATTCCAGTATAGTAGGAAAGTGGGACATCAGTGTGCTCAATTTTGAAAAGTATTTGAGCTGAGGAGACAAAGCTATACTCTTCCCAGTTAGTAATTCCCAATACTAAATCACCTTTCTCATAGTCTGGGTTTCCAGATTCTAGGACTTTAGACACACCATGTCCTGTTAATGGCTGCAATTACTCAACAGTTAGAAGCTACATTATTTATGATTAAATTGTATTTTCAATGTAGTAGAAATAATGTAGCTACATTACCAAGCAACAATTCCTTCAACTAAAAACAACAACAATAAATACATTAGAAATCGATAAATATAAAAGTATATTAAAATTCAACAAAAAAGAGAGTGCAATGTACGGACAACATATTTTCATAAGTTTATTTCATGAAAGAGAGTGCATGACTTACAGTTGCAAGGGTGTAGGTACCTAATTCGGCAGTGTAATCCTTAGTCATGCGGATTCGCATGTAAGGGTCACAGGACAAGTAGAGATTTTTGAGGAGAACCTCATTGGATCCTTGAGGAAGCTTCAAAGTAATGGTACTTTCAACAATGTTCATGTCTGATTCCTTAAGAAAACCAGTGACATAGTCCCTTAGAACCACTTGCTTGTTCCTCATTTCAGCCATCTTAATTCTTAAGTTGTGTATCACTCAGTTCAGAGTGTTCAGATTTGTTTCATGAATGTATTGAGTTGAGGGTCTTCCATTTGTATAATGGTATCAAATGAATTGGACAGCACTAAGTCACGTGTGTGGGTAGGGCCAAAAAGCCCACCAACCTAAAAGCTCACCATGTAAGCTTAAAAAAAAATATTATAATTTATTAAAAATATTTATTTTATATAACATATTTTATTATAAATCATAAACAAATTTATTTAAAAATAAATGAAATACAATCAAATTTATATAAGATTAAATATTTAAAATAAATTATTATTATTAAAAACATTAAATAAAATATAATAATTTATTATTAAATTAAATTATATACCTGTCTGTACTATTTATAATTATTAAATCATAATAATATTTTATATTTATATAATTTATAATTAATTTCTTAGTAAATTATTTTATATTTTATTTAAGCATTAATTATAATAAATTTTGTATTTTGATATTTTTATAAAATTATTTTTATTTATTTATTTTTATAAAATCATTTTAAGAACATTACATGTTCAATAAATATTTAAAAATAATAATAAACATGAAATTGACAATAAAAAGCAATACTAATTATATTTATTATAAAAGATATATAATATTATAAAATTTATAGATGCAAAAAAAAATTTGTAAATAACAATTAAAAATAACAAAAATGTGACATGTGTCACGTACTCTAATGTTAAATTTTCGTTAAAAGGGTTATATAAGCTAGAAAGTATCACTTATAATATTACAATTAATCATGGAATCTACCCTTCTTCCAATACAAGTCACATGTTAAAAAGTGTAACACATGTTATGTTACATTCAATATTTATATTTTAATTAACATAAGAAGAAAACTAAATTTAATTTTTAAATTTAAATTTCAATTAGTGTGAGAAAAATTTAAAGTTAAAATTTAAATATAAATTAACGTAAAAGAGAGATTAAATTTAAAGTTAATTTTTAAAATGGAATTAAAATTAAGATTTTAAATTTAAAATTAACTTAAAATATTTCATGTGTCAATTTCTAACATGTAGAATAAAACAAAAACAACGTATTATAATATGACATGTATAAAATTTAAAACACTTATATAACTAATATCTTTTTATAAAATATAAGATTATACATTTGACTGTTGAATCATCTTTATAATTACGAATATAAAGTAATATTATCTATTAAAATAAAGTAGCAGATAAAATACTTATTAATTTTATACAAATATTTTTAAAATTATTTTTCAAATTAATAGTTGAACTTATATTAGTTAATAATAAAATAAATTATCAACTAAGTAAATATAAAAATATTACTTTGTATTTTCTTCTTTCCGAGACCACCACAACAACTTCTTCCAATTTTTTTAAACACCCAAACCTTACAACTTCAGTTTGTTTTTTTATTATGAAAAGTGCCAATGCATCTTATTTTGGGCCTCTCCATTACACTTTGATGTCTTAAGCATTTTACTTTTGCATTTAAATTTCTTTTATTATGACTTTATTATTTTAGTATTTTGTTTTCAAATAATATTATTTTAAAAAATTATTTTTAAATTTACCTAACACGATGAAAAAAAAAAGTTGTTCCATGCACATGGGTCTCTCTCATTTAATAAAATTTTGTATTTTCTTCTTATCGATTGAGATTTTAATATACATTTAATTCTAAGTTTCAATTTTATTGCGTAATTTTACTCTTTTTAATGAATTGACTTTTTAAAAGAAATTGATCTGACATCAAGTTGTGATAATGTATCATCATCTAATCATTTTGAAATGACAAATGATATAACATATTGCAGTATATGTCATATCAATAAATGATATTAATAGAAATTATTTTTAAAAATTTAAAATTATAAGTATTAAAATTTAAAAATTAAAGAATAAATTAAAATTAATAGAGACCTAAAACATATTTTATTTTTTGTATTGTTAATTTTTATATATCATACTTTGAATGTGTAGTATCTAACTTTTTGGTTGGGAACCTTCCCCGTTTTCGTCGTAGATGCACTACACGTGTAAGGCTTCTCTCACAATGAATCACTTCAAGTTTTTTTTTTTTCCCTATTATAATAGAATTAGAGTGAACAATATTTGATGTTTGGATAAATTAAGATAAGAAAGAAGAAAATTAATAAAAAAAGGTATTCTATTTATTTGCATGAGTATAAAAGGTGTAAAAAGAAATATTGAATTGTATTAAAAAATTCAAAAAAATTAAATTTGAGTTAATATTTTTTTTAAAAAAACGAAAATTTAAAAAAATATTTTCGTTTTTTTTTTTTTTAGTTTTTATGGGACCCATAGAAAAAATAAACCTCTTTTCTTCTTCCCTACCCTAATCCAAACAGTAGAAATTTTTAATTTTCACTCTACTTTCTTTCTTACTCCCTTAATTCACCCCATTCAAACAAAGGGTAAGAGTATATGCTGAGGACATGATTGTCCTTTCAAAAAAATTTGTTACTAAGGCATTGAAATTAATATAATTTAATAAATTTAATTTTTAATTGAACATTAAAACTTAGGTTGAAATATGATTTGATTGTTTGAAGTAAGGTTCGAGAGGATTCTATCTTAATTCTCTTAAACTCTATGTTTATATTACTAATTGCCCTGTTTTTTTCATCATGTGTGTGTTGATTTAAAACTGAATCTAAATAATGATAATTTTGTAAGTCGGTAATTGAGTCTAATTCCCATGAGAAAATTTGAGTTTTAAAAATAGTTTTATTTTGAAAATGGTAACTTATATATAAAAGTTAGCTTATATATAATTTTGACTTTTAATTTATTAATTTTATGACAATTTAATCCATATATCAAGTCATTATATGAGTTAATTTTGTCACAATTTAATTCTTAAATTGATTAATTTTATAAAAATATGTCAACTTTTTAAAGAAAGAGATAATTTGTTTTGAAGTTAGCAAATTTAAGAGCAAAAATGTATACACGTAAACATTTAAGAATCAAATCATGTGTGGAAGGTAATTTCAGAAAAGAAGAGAGAGAAGTGACTTATGATAATCGTTATTGAGGAGAGCTTGAGAATTTTTGTGAATCTTCTTCAGATTCATTCTGATTAAAAAGTCTTTTATTAATTATTTCTTTTTTCAATTTTCATCTCTTTCCCCATTCTTTAAACTCTTTTTCTTCTAACCTTACAAACAAAACCATAAAAAATAAATTTTTATGTATACCATAATTATCTCTGTCTATTTTTCACCTAATATGTTTTATAAAATTTAATTATATAAAATCTTGAAAAAAAAAGGATATATATATATATATATATATATATATATATATATAAACTATTTACAATCTTATGTAAAAAATCTTGCATATTTCTTATATATTAATTTTATTTTTCATTTTTGAACAAGAATTAAAATTTAATGCTTATTTCTATTTTAAAAATAAATCGTTAATTATTGTCAATTTTGCTTACTTTAATTTTTCCCAAATCTCAACTTTGCTTTTAAGATTTTCTATTTTATTTTTTACCTCAAATATATTATATTTGTATTTATTACTTGATTTAATTTTAGATGATTTTATTTTTTTATTTATACTATTCAATTTTTACTTATACTTTCTAGTTTTATTACAATACATCAGGTATGATTGAGAAGTAATCAATTTAGCAAGTTCTTTTAACTTATTCTAATATTAAAACAAAACTATATAACCATGCACAAAAAATGAAAATAACAACAAATGATTAATTTGAAGAACCAACACTCATTTCTTATCCTTTAAAAAAGTAAAAAATATTTTTAGCATTTTTCAGAAGAAAAAATATTTTAAAGATTTATAACTACATAAAATATTTAAAAATAATAATAATTAAAAAAAAAAGTAGATCTTGTTTTCATTTGCCAAAGCTTAAGCCTCAAATTTAATTATAAAAAGTACTTTTCATTCTCATGATATAAAATTTAGGAGTGAAAACAATAGCATTTTTGGTTTACAAAGAATCACCACATGTAATTACATTTTAAATAGCATTAGATCACATTGCCTATCACAAACACCACAATTTATGAAGATAATTGCAATGGTCATACAAAGAAAATTCCATATTTAACAGAGAGAGACAACAAAGTATACAAACAGCATGTAATCAATCATTCACGAGCAAGAACAACCACTTGTTTACCAACATTACGACCACTATAGAGGCCAACCAAGGCTGCAGGGCCATTCTCAAGACCTTCAACTATGTCTTCCACATACACAACCTTCCCTTCTTTAATGTGAGGCAAGATAAACTCCAAATATTTGCCATATAAGTGATAGAAATCTGCAACATTAAAACCGTGCATACGAACCCTCCTAAATATGAGATTTGTCAAATTTGTTACACCTTCAGGTTGAGTAAGATTATACTGTGACACCATTCCACACACAGGAATGCGACCATGGACTTTCATATTCAAGAGTACAGCATCAAGTGTCTTCCCACCAACATTCTCAAAGTAAATATCAATGCCTTCTGGAAAGTACCTGTTGTATCAAATGATATCCACCACTTGTTAGTGTGTACCGAGTTAGAAATCATAGTAACTTATGGCAATGGAAAAATTTAATTAAAATTTATCTATCTTAAAACTTCTAAATACTGACCTTTTCAAAGTTGTATTGAGATCAGGCTCTTCTTTGTAGTTAAAAGCTTCATCAAATCCTAATTTATTCTTCAACAGGTCCACCTGGTTATAAATGACATGCATTCAAGGACTAGAACTTTTGGTTGACCAAATATGAACTGAACATATTTCAGGCCTTCTGGCATTGCTAGTTTATAACACAATTCTCTTCATAAATTTCAAGGTTATGACACAACACATCAATAATAGGATACATGTGCAAACAAAGTTGAGCATACAACCACGTAGTGATCAAGTTTTGAAATATAGAAAACATAAGAGTCAAACTTTTAATATTTTACTTTAATAACCATATGCTCATGCCATTAAATAAAAAAAAAAAATCTTGTATTTTAGTCCTATATCTTGATTCTTGG